TCAGTCGTCGGTGGCGACGGTCTTTGGAGAGAAGGAGGGGCAGCAGACAGTCAAAGGATGCTGAAGCTGCCCAAACTCCAAGGCTCTTCCTTGTGGATGCGCGGCGCCTAGGCGAAAAGACGGGCTCGATATGCCGGTGCTTACGACTTGGACTTGCATCTATGGACTGGCGCCAACAATGGAACAGACCATCAAGCAGGTGGCCGATAGACGGAAAAGGTTGGATCCTTACGCCCAATGCGTAGGAAAGCCGAGTAACAAATTATAAGAAGGAAGAAGGAAAAGGAAAAAACACGAGGACAATGAGCACGGCCACGAGCGCTAACCTGGTACACGTGTGTGTGTCTCTCTCTCTCTCTCTCTCTCTCTCTCTCTCTCTCTCTCTCTCTCTCTCTCTCTCTCTCTCTCTCTCTCTGCATGTGTGCCGCCGTCTTTGTTTCTGTGTCATTGAATGTCTTTGGATGAGGCAAGTCAACGTTGACTGGGGTTGAGGAACACATGCGGATGGCCATGGGGCTGGCTGGCTGAGAGCGGGGTGTGGACCAACTACTGACTGACGACAGTGACACGAGGGCGAGAACAGGGCAAGTGGAAATTGGAAGCTCGACACAAGCGCCTGTGTCTGTAGGCATTGTCCGCTTGTCGATCTGATACATGTGAGTTGCTGCAGGTGTCAGAAGCGAAGCGAGCGTGGCTGATGCTGTACCAACGTTGTGCGGCTTTCCAGCAGCCATTGACAGCCGTGAAGGCGCACAAGCTGAGCATGTAACTGATTAGGCGGCGGGATGCCCATGCCTCAGGGCATGTGGCAGACATGATACGGCGATGCCGCCGCGCTAACACTGGTAGGCTCGCTGAAAAGCGCATCCGAAAGCTGCGCGTTTCTGAGAGTCAAGACGCTAGTTTACCCCGGGCTCCCAGGCATGGCCCCTGTCCTATAAGTCTGTCATCGAAAGAGGCGAGAGACAAGCAAGGACAGTCCAGGCAGATGCTGTCCCACTTTCTGCAACTTCGGGTCTTGGCCGTACATAGTATATACGATCACAGTACGCGTCTCGGTGCGGAACCTGGGGAGGCAAGCGGGCAAGCACGGAAGCACGCAAGCCGCATACATACATGTAGGATCAGACGATATGGATACTTGTATACTACACACCTTGAACGCAGGGCAGGTTGGATGAATGGCGTCTTGTTATACAGAGTAACCTATCCGTAATGGTCCTCAAGGACGGACGGTGGTTGAGATAACAGGTCTCAGCCGATCCGCGCTAGGGCGATCGATTTCCTCCGGGGGTTCAGTCTGGCAAGTGGTGGTGGTTTTCAAATTTCAGGCCTTTCCCCCTCGCAGGGCGGGCGGGTTTCCCAGGATGGATGGCACGAAGGAGAGACCAGGGGCCCTGGGGCGCCAGTGGACTTGCTAAGCATTGAAATGGCAAGGTAGCTTGGCCCCAGTGGGCGGGTGGGTAGAGCTGGTCCGTTTTAGGTTGTTTTGAGAGTGGATGATACCTGGGTAGCAGCGAGCAAGAAGAAAAACAAAAGAAGCAATGACGAAAGGGAGACAGGCCGGATGGTACATAAGCGGAGGCGGGGGCGCGTGTACTGTCACCTGTGAGATGGAAGGCAGAAGAGAGTCAGAAAGATAAAAAGTGGATGTCGTAGCATGGTTGATAGATTGAGTGACTGGCACAGACATAGGGGACTGGATGAAGAAGAAAGGGATAAGACGTTTGCCTCGTGGATTCGTCTTGTCGATGAAGCTACCTTGGAAACCTTAACGATGGCACTTACTACTGCGTAGTAATAATGCAAAAGGAAAGATTCTAGATGACGGAACAAGACGAAGCTAGCGGGTTGAAGATGGCTGGCACACACGAGTAACAAGTACTGGGTGCCTAGGTTTGTACACGGTATGACGGGCATTGGCATTGATTGCCATTGATTGCCATTGCCATTGCCTCACCATGTGTGCCGATTGTAGTGGAAGGTGAGGTAAGGTGCCGGTAAGGTGCCCAGGTAGGTAGGTACATAGTAGAGAACAAAGAAGAGCAGGGGAAGAGAAGCAGCGGTCCGTTGCAGCAGGAAGCCGACGGACTGGAAGGACCGCCCGGGGAATTGCCTTTTCCTGTCCAAGGGCCTGTGTATAGTAGCAGCGATTTGCAGAGAGTGAAAAGTGTGTTGCTTAGCATCGGTGTTATTGCCATCGCGGTGGGTGACTAGAGCAGGTCGGTAATAAAAACGAAGAAGAAAAAGTAAGGAAGACCTGGCGACGACGGTGCACCGGCTGGGTTGGGTTGGTGGTGCCAGTGCTGGTGTTGGTGTTGGTGTCGGTCTCTTCCTCAGGTGCTATGGAAGGTCCAGGTAGGTATCGTACCTTAGTACCTTAGGTAGGTAAGGTAGGTAATGTCGGGCGGGTTTTGTTATTGGGCTTTCAGCAGGGAGCCGCCCGGGCCAGGTCAGGTCCCCGGGGTCCCTGACTGGCGCTGTCCACTCACTGAGTGTGTGCGGACGGCCTCTCACTGGCCGGCATGCCACAGGAGTCATCTCCTGCGCTCCAGCCGAACTCCACTCCCCGTATGCATCCCATCTGCAGAGCTGGGTCTCCTCCATGCCGCTGCATGCCTTACATGGTATCAGAAGTAAGCAAGCAAGCAAGGTACGGGCTACGAATACCTTGCCTTACCTTGCAGAGACGAGAGACGATAGACGATAGACGAAAGACGAAGGACGAAGGACGAAGGACGGGACGGCAGAGATGAAGCCCCAAAGACCTTTCTAGTGTAGACACGCCCCAAAGTGCTTCCCAAATCCCCGATTGCATTCTGTGCACCTATTCCCTTCCGGGACAACGGCCCTGTCGCTCAGCTCCTCTGCTTTCTCCTTCAGCTCTCTCTCTCTTTCACTCTGACTCTCTTTCCCATTCATTCTCTCTCTCTCTCTCTCTCTCTCTTTCTCGCGCTCGTCCATTCCCTCTCCCCCTCCCTCCCTCTCTCTATCGCCTCTAGTTTCGATACTGTGCGTCTTCTTCTCGTTCTTCTTCTTCGTCTATTTCTCCCGTCCATCCCCGTCCGAGCAAGAGGAGCCTGGGGAATCCCACAGACTTTTGAGCACTTGGACTGTGGACTGTGGACTTGGACTTGGACCGGGGCCAAGGGCCAGGACGTGGACCTTGCTTGAACGACCGGGACCTGAAGCTGATCCTGGACCTCCATCCGAACGAGAGCGAACGATCCTCGCCTCCGCCCGTCCTCCGTCCTCCCACACGACCTACGGCCATTGGCAATTCCCAGGGCACAACACACCCGACACCCACCCACTCACACCCAGTCACACCCACCCACTGACCTCGACCCTCTTCTTACCTCACCTTACCGTACCTACCTTGACTACACACACTGACCTACCTACGTACCTTACGTCGTCGGTAGCCCACTTACGCGCTTCCTCTCCTCTTCCCACCGCGTTTGCTTGCTTGCTTGCTTTCTTCTCGACTTCTGTTCTGGCCCGATCTTGATCTCGTCTTCTGGAAAGGGGGAGGAAACCCGGGATACCATTGCCATTGCTTCGACGACCACCACGACGACAACGACTTCGACTTCCATTTTCGACTTCTGCACCATCCGAGAGCCCTCTCTGCTAGACGTCTGTGTGTGCCCGCGTTGGCCTGTTGATCCTTCATCCCGTCTTGCTTGTTCTCGTCACCTACCTATTTGCGCCCTCACTCTCACTCGCCCTCTCTCAACCTCTACTGGCCTGCATTTTCCTTGTCTCACGTCAACTCTTTCTTCTCGCTGTTTTTGCATCCTCTCTTCCGCTTCGCCTTTGTTTTTCTCACCCGTCAACGTCGCGACCGCCGCTCGTCCCCCCCCCCCCCCCCCCCCCCCTCCTCCTCCTCCCCCCAAGAATCGAATCCACAACACCAAGACCCGGCGCCCATTCCTCACCAACCCCAACCCGAGAGATTGGCCCATATGTCTTGACGATGCTTACCACGTCCCTCGAGAGCACCTTCGACTCCTCCGCCCGCATGCCCGTCTCCGGCCTTGCTCCTTGGTTCTCCCAGTAGTAGATTGACAACGTACTGCAAATATGCAGACCGTTCCCAGTGTAAGTTGACTGCTTGCCGTACCGTCCTAGTCCTACCCTCCTAGTGTCCTTCCTATATCCCGTATCCCGTATCCTATATTCGTACAGGCATCCCCCCAACTCTTGCCTCGACGCTACACTGCGAGATTTCCCTCTCAATCCGACACACGACCAGCCTACGGGGGCTTCTTCATTTCCCACAACCCATCATCCCCATCACCACGCCTTCACAAGACTCCCCTGACTTTCTGTTTGCCTGTCTATTTTCAATTCGTCCCGCTGACTCGACACGCGCCCATCCTTAGCTCGTAGGCACTGGCACTGCGGTTGCTGGAGCGGCACTCGGTCTGGTTTTTGCTCATCCAGATGATGCGAGTCCCACCCAGCCTCTTTCCACGTACAGGAGGAAACTAGCCTCAGACCAAGACATTCCTCAGAATCACCCATTGAGCAGCGCCGCCCCTGTCTCATCTCGTCCCGGCACCAGTTCTCTCGCCCAGCTGCCGGCACCAGACGAACGCTTCGGCACTCTTTCCCCCAACTTCTCCTTCGCCTCCAAATCGAACGAAACCTCGTCGCGTCCCAGTCGCCCGCTGAGCCAGCACTTCAACTTTCCACCCTCGTTCCTGCATAGCAGAAGGGCCTCTCTTGTACAGGGCGACCCAGCTTCGCCTACCTTGGCCGAGGACTCGAGAGAATCCGTTTCGTCCAACGGCTCTTGGATGAGGCGACTGTCTCTGCGACCATTGTCACAACACGGAAGCATTCGGTCAAGCCTCGGTTTTGACAACCAGTCGGTTGCCTTCTCAAACACCTCGGCCGCTCCGATTCTTTCTCCTACCGGTTCGATTCCCTCGCAGCTGCCACCAAACAAACTCGTCAAGCGGCAGCCCTCAGCGCACCAAAATGGTCCTGTAATGCGCCGTCGCTCGCGGACGCACCTTCCCAGCCTTCGCCGCCCCGCGACAAGCCACCAGAGATCCGCTACTCTGCACCAGATTCACCAAGACGTTCACGTTGTTGAGCCCATAGCCGAACCCAAATTCTCCTTCGATCAGTACAACTTTCCCGACCCAGAAGCCACCCCACGACCACCCAAGGAAGGCAACAAAGACGAGACGTCGCCCAAGGCCAAAACAAAAGCGTCAGCCAAGTGGACGTCCTTTTTTCACTCTCGCAGGGCCAATGTTATCTCGCGAAGCACTCCCGACCGCTTAATTGACCGCAGCCCTAGCACCAGATCGTCAACGACGACCAAACGCATCTTGGTACCCGGCGAAGACGCGCATAATATTTATTTAATCCGTGGTGCTATGCTAGGCGACGCTGCTGTCCCGCCATTGTCTAACGAGACGCCGACAAGTGACGAAGTGACGAAGGAAATCGAAGATTTGAAAGACGAAGCCATTACTCAGAAGGAGACCGAGAAGGAGAACGAAAACGAAAACGATCAAGATACACCTTCGACTCCAGGAGACACGCCGACGAAGCGCACGCGGCGGTCCATGATGCATTTCACCTCACCGAACTGGGTGCAGCGGGCGGGTAGCATTCGGCGTTCAAAGCGCGGGGAATCAAAAGGTGGGAACAAGCGGCATGTGTCTGCACCTGCGACGACAACCCCTGGTCACACCCAAGACGACCTCGACCTCGCCGCGCCTACTGCAGACAACACCTCCCCGGCGCAAAACAATCAGCCAGCCACCAACCTGGACCCCGCAACCGCCACTCACCTCCAGCCGCGCAGTCGCAACACTTCGTCGCCCTTGCCGCCTCTTTCGCGTCTTTCGAGTTTCAACGTCGACGTGTCCCGACTTGGCTCATCGGGAGGACCCGTGCCTTCGCCGCGTTCTACTCAGCCGTCCGGTAGTTCTCAGAGCTCCGCGGCTCTCGCTGCTTACTATCGCAGCGCCGGAACCGACCGAAGCTCGACCATGAACAGTTCCGATCTGGAGGCGAGAGACTTCATTTCAGGCGACGATGACGACACAGATTTCAAGAGTGACACAATGTTTGACTCTCTGCGCACCGCAGCGTCTGCCATCAACCGCTTGGAGACTCCGACAGAATCCATGTTCGACGAATCTCCACCAGGAACTGCCGTCGCCACTAAAACCAAGCGATTATCTATTCAGGAAATTCTAGGCCATTCCTGGGATGTTGATGACAGGATCATGGAGGAGGATGAGAGCATCCCGACGCCAATTCGTGTCAATCACGAACCTAGAATACGCCCGGATTCAGATGTCATGGTGCCGCGCTACAGCATCGAGCGCCCATCCAACGAATACTCCCTCGGGAGCAAGGATTTTGGTCGTCTGTCGCTTGAGGATGATTTCGATGATGACTGGGCTCGCGACGAGGATGAGATGGCATACAGCAATCAACTATCCCCTCCAAGCTCCATGAATTCGCGCGGCGTCAGCCCTAATTTGCGCATGGCTCTCGCTAGCATTAGCGGCAACGGCAATGTCGACACCGGAAATGACCTTAGCGAGAGGCCCCGGAGCAACATCTTCGACTGGAGTGAACCAAACAACGACAAGACCGACAATGGCAGCTCATTCCGCCCGAAAACTGCCTACGGCAAAGGCCTCGATATTAGAGGCGGCCGTACGGCCATCCGGAAAGGACCCACTGCGATGCATGTTCGCAGTCAAAGTGTACCCGTTGTTCACGACGCTGCCGAGACAGCCTCGATAGCATCTCAAAAGTTCGGAACCTGGGGCCTGGGCACGAAGACCGTCAGCGAAGACTGGGACGATGACTTTGAATTTGGCGGCAACGAGTCAGAGGATAAAGACACCGACAGCGCATTCGGTATGGTGGTGCCTGCCTCTATCCAGGCGTCTCAACCGAGTTTGAAGCAGCATTCCGGCCACATCCGGGAGTTCTCTCTGCTTGTTAATGATCTTAAGCGTCTATGTCGCCATGGTAAAGACTTGGACATGCTCGGCGGTCCCAACGCTGGTCTCTGGCAAGAAGCTGAGGGTATCATCGCCCTGGCATCTCCCGATGAGGATGAGCTGGAGGGGATGGATGTCGACTCATCGTCCGTTATGAGTGAGCGATTCATGGAAGGATTCGATGCCGCATCACCCGCTCCTATCGAAAAAGAAGACCCATTTGACGAAGTTCACGAGATCAACGTTTCCAAGACTGCCGTTATTCGCGAACGGCCCGCCGGCCGTCGCCGCTCTGTTTTCTCTCCTGATGACGACATATTTGGCGGGAACAGCCCGGCTCCCGATGACCTCCCTCCCCCGCGACCGAAAACGCCCGAGAACAACATCAACATGGGAGGACACGATGTCACGGACATCGTTAGATCCGTGCTTGATGCCATGCAGCAACGGACTGCTGCAGAGCCCGCCCGCGATGATAAGCTTCACTTCGGCACGAACAGCCTGAAAGCTCTCGTCAAGCGGGCTGGTGATCTGCGGGACACCCTATCAGAAGTTGTGCGCCGGGCAGATCAATTAACCTCCAGCCCTGCGCGAACGCCCCGGCAACATAGTGACAGCCCGGCTTTCACTAGGGTGTTCACCCCGGAGCACACACCATCCCCATCGAGCCCGCACAATAAGCTGCCTCACAGTCGGAGCACAAACTCAGTTCTCAGCCGGGGATCTGTTGACGCATCGCCATCAAGTGGTCTGCAACGCATGCAGATGATGACTGTCAGCTGAGGTTACATCCTATCAGATGTCAACCAAAGACATCGAAAGTCTGGATGAAGTAACATGACCCTCATCCGTCCAAGGCTACATACAAAAGCTCTGTACATGTACGAATATTGTCGATTTTTCTTGTCTGCATAGCGACGGCTAGGGGTTTCTTCGGTTCTTGGTCTTTTCTATCTTTCCTGTCCATCGCTGCGACATACAACACAAAGACGACTCGGCCACCTTTATCCATTCGACCGACAGGCACGGAGTGTTTCGCGCCGACCCGTAACTTGGCAAAGCCACTCATGGTCCCGCAACCAATTTGCCTCAGGCTCAACCCGTTGGAGGCTAGAGTTGACGTCCTCCAATACTTTTACTTTCCTTGCCCACGAACACAACTCTGACGACGACGTTAATTATGTACGATCTCGCCAGGCGCATCCGAAGCTTCTGGGTGTGTACCCCGGAGCAGGATACCTGCCACCTGGTGCAACACGGAGGAATGAAACGACGGTCATGTGAAGAAGACAAGGGAATGAAGCGGAGTGGTTGAGTGAAAACGGGCAAACACGCAAAATGCGCGAGCCTCGCAGAAAACCGCATCGCCAGTTGACAGAGGCTTTCATTGTCTCCGAGCCCTTTTCCTACACTGAGACGTTCTGGCTCTGGCATTGTACAATGGGTAGACAAGCAGGAAACGCAACAAAAAGAGACATACTTTGGCTGTTGGTTGGTCTGCTGCATTTTCTTCAATTCTTATCCTGCTGAGCACATAGTGGACGGACATGACCTTGCCTGCCTCCTCTGTTTCATGGCGGCAAGTCTTTCTCTTTTTGAGATATTTCTTGGGCGTGCCAGGCCCTCACGCGGATAACGTTCTGTTTCTTTGACACTCATGAAGAAAGATTGCATCCCTACCCACGAAGATGTGTCTCTGCCAGGACGGAGGAACATCTCGGGATCGCGTCAAAAGCCGAAAAGACCTTAGGTGGGATTACGGTCAAAAATTAATACAATAGTTTTACGGAAAAGGAATGGGATACGGGATTGGTTTCTTAAAAAGGTTGGATTGGACTGGACGAACTGAATAGTAGAAGGGAAGGTTTGCTAGCGGGTAGGGTTTACACATAGGTAGCTTCTTCATAAATGCGTTATCGACCTTCAGGTTTTGACAACAAGCAACTTCACCTGCCCAGTGGAGATCTTCATCTCTCTCATGACTGTCCAAGTCACGTCTGCAGCTGAGAATATCGTCACGTTGAATTGTACGCCGTTCAGTGCACTTGGAAGACCGGAACCTTCTAGCAGCTGTCTTGCCGGTCGGGCTGAAGCAGATGAACATTCTGAAATTTTATGCCTAGTGATACATGAGAGGAAACATTACTCGTTTCCCGCTCGATCGGACTAAAAAAAACGCGAGGAAAATAGGTTGAAGAGATTGGATGGGCTCCGAGAAGCCACATTAGGGAGTACGATGCGGTGTTCTCATTTTCTGCAACTGATGGGGGAGAAACCACCAGCACGAGATGCCGGATGACACGCGCAATACAATCTGAATAGAAGGCAGGGGGTATATCCAGGAGTAGGAGGAGCCTGAAGCCTGAAGCCTGAAGAGCAGAGACATGATATTTGGGAAAAGAAAGACAAGGGAAAACACACACGATGTTTTGTGTGCGTATGGTATGTATGAGTGCAGTTAAATCCAACAAATCAATCGCTGTTCCTTCTTCTTCGGATCCCTTTTTGATCTTCGTACATCATCACGCTGAAACCATGGACCATCTGTTCTCTTCTTCTTTTTTCCCCTTATCCATAACCCAAGATAGCAGTAGTAGATATCCAGCAGAAGATCACCCCTCCGTGGAGTCGTGTGTGTGTGTGTGTTGGCTCAGTAGCGGAAAGCAACCTAGGAGGCGGGCTTGGACGGGGCACCGGCGATCCAGTTGTGGCCACCGCCGAGGGGCACGACGCGCTGAAGCTCCTCGCCATAGAAGCGGTTCCACATGGAGTGACCCGCGAAACTCACAGCGTCGGGGGCGGACCGCGTCTGCGTACGCTTGAGTCGCAGGTAACGGGACTCAGAATCCTCGGGGGTCAATGGCGCGGAGTCGTAGGCGTGCAGCGCCGGCTTCGTGGGAGCAATCCACATGATGCCGTTGTCTTTGGGAATGATGACCTTTGGAGCCGACCACATGGGAACGATGGGTGTTGTAGGCGCGGACTGCGTCCACATGGAGTGGCCCTCAAAGCTGACGAGGCCGGTGGCGCGAGTCTGGGCCTTGGTTCGCTTGAGACGCAACTCGCGAGATTCGGAGTCCTCTGGCGTCAGGGGAGTGGCGTCGAAAGAGTGACGGAAAGGCTTCGCGGGCAGAGTCCACATGTTTCTGTTTTCCTCCGGAGTTGTCACCTCGGGCGCGGACCACAGAGACGTGGTAGTTGTGCTCATGGGCAAGGGAGACGGCGCAGGCTCGAACTCGGGCTCCGGGTCATACTCAGACTCGGTATCGGCCTCGCGCGCAGGCTGTACGTACTGCGTCGGTTGGAGGAAGATCTCGGGCTCGGCTCGCTGCTCGAATTGCGGCTCGGCGGGCTGCTCATACTGCTCATCGTACTGTGGATCAAACTGAGGCTCGAACTGCTGCTGCTGGTAGTATTGTTGCTGCTGATACATCTGTTGCTCGAGCAGTCTCTGATTATATTGCTGCTGCTCGAAAAGACGCTGCTCATACTGCTGTTGCTCGTACAAGCGTCGCTCATACTCCTGCTGCTCGAACTGTTGTTGCTCGTATGCCTGCTGCTCGAGTTGTTGCTGCTCGTAGTACGGCTGCTGCTCAAATTCGGGCTGCTCGGCATACGGTTGTTGTTCAAAGTTGAACTGCTCAACGAATCGAGGCTGCTCGTCCTCTTGCTCGAAAGGCGCTTCGACAGGGTAGGCGGATGCAGCGATGGCCTCATTTAAAGCTTCCTGCCACTGCTCAGGGCTAGCCTCGTTGCGGGTGAGATTAGCAGGGGTCGCAGAGGCAGAGATGGCTTTGTTCAGAGCGTCAACCCATTCAGCGGGGCTGGCAATGGTTCGGACAAGAGGAGCCGAAGCTGATATTTCTCCGATAGCCTCGTTCAGTGCAGCTTCCCAGTCTGCGGAGCTAGCTTCAGTACGGCGAAGTGGTTCCTGGGGCTTGTCGGATTCGTTCTCCCACCAGGTGGGTTTCTTAACAGGCACCTCCGGTAGTGGTTCGAACTCGGACACGGCTTCCGATACAACTGACCGCGTTGAAGCTGTGTCCAGGCTGGGTGTTGATCGGCCAGATGAGCCGGCATTTGAAGGTGAGCTGGGCCTTGCTGAAGCAACGGAGATCCAATCGTGTACAACAGGCTTGGTGGGGGAGGCAACCCAAAGGCTGGTGGAAGTGAGGGAAGGAAGAGCTTCAAAGCTCACACGTGCCGTCGAAGACATGCTTACACCAATGGGCAAGGCAGAGGTAGTCTTGAAAGTTGCGCGCTTGTGGCCGGCATCGAAAAGTCCCTCGTATACCACTTCGACAATGACGGCGGGGGCATTCCAGAGAGACTTGGCTGGTGTCCGTGGCGATGTCCAGAGGCTGTTTGAGGTCAGAGTAGGGAGTGCTTCAACAATAACGCGAGCGGTCGACGACACGGTCAGGCCAACGGGAGACGCAGAAGTTGTCCTGAAGGTGATGCGCTTGTAGTCAATGTTGAAGAGACCCGTGGCCTCCGTCTCGACGATTGTAGGAGAAGCGGCCCACAAGCTCTTCATGGTCTGAGGCTTGGTCACCGGCGTCGCCATTGTCTTGAGCTGCGATCGTGTCCAGAGGGTGCCGCTGTTCGGTGTTTCGACGAGCTTCAGAGGAGCGATCCAGAGATTATTGCTGTGGATGATTGCAGGTTCAAGAAGCTGAGTCTGGATACGAGGAGGAGCGTTCATCGTATCCATATACGCTGTCCAAGTACGTGCGTCAGGCTGCGGCAGCCCTGGTGGGAGACGGACACTAACGAAACGCTTGGGCTTCCCGGTCCAAAGCAGGGACGACGTCTCGGGCGACGACCGCACTTCTTCGGCAGCAACAGTAATAACCACGGAGTCATGCTTGGTATCGTCTTCATCATTGGCCGTTTTCTCGTCCTCGGAGGGATACTCAGAGGAACCCTGGGAAACGTACTCGTCCTCAACGAGAGAGTCGGGACGGTAGTATTGCGGCTGGGGGAGCAGGCTGTTCTTGGAGGGAACTTGGTCCGACTGCAAGAGACTGGCAATCTCCCACAGCGTGGTCTCATCGAAACCGTCGTCGCTCTCATCATCCTCGTCAATGTCCGACACCTCATCGTCGCCCTCCTCTTCCTCGTCATAGTCGTCGAAGAACGAGGAAGAGTATTCCTGAGCCTGGAGCTGTTGCGCGCGAGCCTCCAGAGCCGCGCGGACTGCTGATCCTCCGGTGGACATGGTACCAGGCATGGCCATGAACATTTGGCGGGGTCGCGGTTGGACAGTCGCAGTATCTGACTTCTCGCCCCAAGGGAACTGGAAGATGCCAAGGGTGCCGCGCTTGTCTGGAAGCGGCTCGGGGTTCTCAAGAATATCAGGAAGGGCGGTGATGCGCTTGCTTCGCCTTGGGGGTCGCTGTGTGAGGGGACGAGCCTGGGTCTTGGGAGGCTCAGCAACAAACGAAGCTCGCCAGAGGGACTTGGTGAAAGAGATGCGCAGCTTTTTAGCGGCAGTGTGATCCGACTGCCATAATTGGAAGCTCTCGATGACTAGAGGCTCGGAGGTCTTGCGCGCGGCAGGGCGGACTGATAGTCCAGGGAGCACGACGGCAGCTTGTCCGCTTTGAGTGGGCTCGCTTGCCACATCGTGGGTCGGGGCCCAGAGCAGCGCTGTTTCGCGCTCAGAAGATAGTGGCGAGACGGGTGCCCAAAGATGTCCCTCTGGTGCAGCTCGCTCCTTCGGCATGAGCGTCGCGAGAATCTGAGCGTCGACGCCCTCGGACTCGTCGGTGTCCGGTGGGGTAGGACTACCCAACTGCGCACTTACACGCGCCTTTGAGACAGACAAGAAATTGAGATTCCGCTTGGCCAATAGTTCGGTCGCATTCTCCATATACTCCATCTGCGCGTCGTTGAGTCGCCGTTGCCAGAGGCTAGTGCGATTGTCGTTGGAGGAGCTGGATGAGGCGGCGCTTCTGAGGTCTTCGTAGGACGACTTGTTCAGGCTAACTCCGCTCTGCATCCGAGCGCGACGCGATGCGCGTCGATCTGCCGCAATGTTGGAGTGCAGGGAAGAATCCCTCGAATGCACACTGACATTCGACGGCTCTTGCTGCGAGTTGCGAACAGAAGTCGTCCCATTCGTGGAGAAGGAATCGCGGCTAAGGCCATGCTGCATCTCGTGCCATTGGTTTTCTTGCTGACCCATTTCAGCTTCGAGAGACTCAAGGAGGCGGATTCTTTGTCCCTGGCTCTCATAAGAGTCCCTGTTGGGTTCCTCGAGCTTCTTGAGTTGCGCCTGGATCATCTCGTAGGCGTGTTGCGGCGACTCCAGCGGAGACGGCTCCGCCACCTGCAGCACCACAGCATTCATCCTCCTAGAAGGCGACTTGAGCTGCAGTGGTGTTGGCGGTGGCATCCGACGTGAGTTGACCTTCTCCTTACGCTCCGAGAACGTCACGCACTCGTCGCCAATACGACGGTGCCAACGGGCGCCCCGATTGGCGACACTCACGTCAGGGAGATCGGCTGGTCCGTCCTGTATAGAAGGCACGAAGTCTCTCTCGTGCTCTACAGAAGCGTCCAACATAATGTCAATGACCTCCTTGCCGTCACCGTGGCTAATCATCGATACGTCGCGTGGTTGAATCCAGGTGGGTTTAGGCATGTGCGTGACGTCTTGAAGGTTCACAGCAGCGACAGGCGAATGGATTGATCCCCAGTTTGTCGTCGCAACCTCGTCATGGGTTCTCGACTCGCTGAATTCCGAGAGGCTTGGGTTTCGAGTAGGAAGGACCGGAGACGACTGGCGCTTGGCTCCGTCGTATGATTTGCCCTGGGCGCGTTCGTGAACGGGCAGATCGGGAATCCACGAGTCGCGGTCTTCGGCAAGGCCTCTTCCAGTGACAATCGAAGTGTCGACACTGAACTTAGACGTGTTCCGAGGGTAGTTCAAGGGATGCTGAGGCTCGTCAATATCGAGGATACTCTGTGTGCGCACTGAAGTCTTGGTGGAGATGTCAGACGACATCTTTGATTGAACACGGCTGCTGTCTGTATCCCACCCTCCTTTGCCCTCGACCATAGCGTTGTTTTCAATCTTGTAAGCTGCGGGCAAAACCGGCATCTCAGGAACCGATTCCCTGGCCTTGGAACCAGCGTCGGAGCTGCTGGGCGGCCTGGGAAAAAAGAGGTCCATCTTCTCATCGAATGTCATGCTCTTCGTGTCATTAGGCAGCGGCCGAATGGGATTGCCGGCACTCTTAGGCGGGGGCGGGAGAGGAGGCAATTGAGTAGGGCTCCCCGGATTTGACAGCAGGATTGACTTTCTGCTGATGATGGAGCCTCCGGACTTGCTCCGCTTGTGGTTGGGAGTATCTTCCGCGGGAAACACCGAGCGATCCTTACCCTGTTGCCTTGGAATTGGACGTGGTCGATGAACAACGGAGCCGGATGACTTCAGCGCTGAACCGGGGGACTGCAACCCAAGAGGAGTCTTGGCGGCTTGATTGACCGCACCCTGAATGATGTTCTGCACTGCTGTCGGGTCATTATACTGAATGTTATTCACGAACATGACCGTCTGTTCATTTGGCACCATTGCTTCCTTGGGAAGAGGTCGCATCGTCATCGCTCTGGGGTTGGATGGCAAACCCGTCGTCGTTGGTCGTCGTTGTAGACCTGGCCCACTAGAGCCGTCCTGGCTCTGGTTCTGGTTCTGGTTCTTGGGCGACAACGGCTTGCTCCTAGATGGTCGGATCGTCGGATCAACAGACGATTGGATGGGCCATGTTGACGGGAGGTCCTTCTTTGGTGATGTCAGGCGAGCAGCGCTCTTTGGGGGAGGAGGCGGCACCAGGGCGGTTGGAGGTGACATGGCTTGGACGGTGGTGGATGTTGATTTCTGGCTGGCAGACCTGTCGATCGTTCTCTGACTAACAGACCTATCAGTGGTTTTTTGACTGCCAGATCTCTCCATCGTCTCAAAGGGACTGAGGGGTCGTTCCGGCCGGGGCGGACGAGGTGGAGAAACGGAGCTTAGAGGAGCTGCCGACCTTGGCGGCGTGACCGGCCTAGATTCTTCCTTGGGTGGAAGAGCCTCCGGCATTTGACGAGGCGATCTCCGCCTCAGTTCCTCAACTCCTGGAGAGAGCTGAGCGGATGAGGTTGTCGCTGGAGGATTTGACATCAATCCAGCAGACTTGAGGGGCTGAGGCGCCGCTGGGGGCGATGTCGGGCCAACCTCTTTACGCTTCATGCTCTGGGCTCGCTTGAGGGCCTCCTCTGGCGTGATCGCTGGTGGTTGAGGAGCGGGGCGTTGTGCAATCAAGCTCGGCAATCTTTGCATAGTTGCCATGTCGTTGTCCCTTTTCTCCCGGTCATTCTGTGCGGCGGTCGCCAGGTCGATGGTTGCGATCTTGTTGAGAGGGTTGCGCTCGCCGCTCTCCTGAAGAATCGGGTTGGAGATGGCGTTCTTAATGCTTGCGCCAGGCCCTCCTCGATCGAAGATGCTTCTCTTGTACTGCGGCTTCGGTGCGTTTTCCAACCTTCTGCCTTCTCGGACGGGGGCGGTCTGCGCACGTATGGGAGGGAAGAGTTGACCCTGGACAGGAACCCCTCCGACACCGATAGCAGCTTGGCCAGGTACGGAGCCGGCAATGATGGGCAAAGAACCACCAGCGCCTGCCTGGATCTCGGGACGCGGCGCTTCTCTAGGTTGTCCGAAGGTGGTCACGGTAGTGATGGTACCGGCCTTGAGATCTTCGTACCGGGTTGGCGGGTAGTCGGAATCGGAGGTGCCAAGATCTCTGCTGGAGCTTATGTTACGCGGTGACTGCGCGTCAGGGTGAGTAATCTGGTGGGGGCGGGGAGGAAGAAGAGAGTCAGAAAACCCGGTGATGATTCCTGGGGAAGTCAGCTGAGAACCGGAGATCGTCAAGAAGTTCACTCACCAACTAGGAGCGAAAGAGCAGTCGCGGGCAGGGCGGTTCTGAAGATCAGCTCAATAGACTCTGCTCCTAACAGCATAGGAATGCTTCCCTGTTACCATGAGATCAGTCATCTGAGTTTGATGCTCTCAACCGAAGCTTTACTCACTGCAGTCCACGCACCATGTCCACCCATGATCCACAGGACGGCCTTTTTACCCTGAGCACCAGCCTGGCCGCTTTTGGCCTCCGCGATGAGACCGAGAGAGCTCGCCCTGAAGGCGAGCATACCGATGATGAGAAAGTCCGTGACCATGATGACAACACCGATTGGCAAAACGTCGGTCTTGGACACGCAGACGGTGGCAATCTGTGGTTTCTGAAAGCCGACGAACACAGCGCCCAGCACAAAACGGGTTCCAATGACCGCCTGGGGAATGATGGCGCCCGTCGGCGCCTTGGCGTTTGAATTGATTGCCCATAGCAGGTATTGTTCGATGGCGAAACGGGCCAACTGGTCGAAAATGGTAGTAAATATTACGGCGACTTGGCACCCGGAGGTCGCAGTCGGATCGATAGTAAGGGCGGCGAAGTCGATTTGAGCCCACAGGGCTGCGGAAGCAAGGAATGTGATGAGGACCAGCCTCAGGCCGTCCCGAAAGATCTTTGAGCCATGGCCCTTTGCGAAAAGAAAGACGGCGGCGGACGCGGCGTTGAGAACGATGCCACTATTCACTGCGGGTTAGCCTCTGTTCCTGAACCCGAGTCCTCCCATTCCATGATCTCCTCTCTCTTTCTATCCCCTCAAGGGTCATTCATGACGTCCCATCCTCCATCATATACATCCATCTTCAAGGTTGCGGAGAGGCGGGCGACTGACAAGGTGAGGGCGGCAACGAGGGCCTGGACAATTCCTGGAATGAACATTTCGTGTGTCGTCGGCGCCGCGGGCCGGCCGGGATAGAATCGAAAACCCAGTCAATGGGAAAATGCGAGAAGTAAGATCTAAGAAAGAAAGCGAATCATCATGGAAGTGCTGTCGAATTACGGTAGCATCCTATGATTGAGCAGAAGAGAACATGACCAGCTACGCCCCACGAGGTGGCAGATAGATGGTATGAAGGAAATTGAGATGGAGTCCAGCGCGCAATGTTCTTAGTTGGCAGCCCTTCTCTCGAGTTGTCGGGGACGCAAGAGAGTGGAGTTTGAACGGAGGACACAGACGAAGAGGGAAGGAAACTACATTAGCCGACAGACGACAGTTGGGGTGTGTGTGCAGGCTGTGCGAAGGAGGGAGGGAGGGAGGCTCGGTCGACTCTCGAGGGCGTCTGTGTCTGTGTCTGCGTCTGTGTATGGGTTGCCGCGCTGGTCCCGGACTACCGACACCTTGAATGGAGAACCTAGAAGAGACGACGTATCATGGGCAAGGAAAGGGCAATTCGAGAGACTGCAGTGGCAGGCCACCTTTCTCAGAAAAGACAGCCAGGTGTTACTCTACCGGGGTGTCTAAGCCAGTCCGACGCGACGAAGCAGAGGGGAGGAGCACGCGGTGAGCAGGAAGCGAGAACAGAGCCAGGGACAACCAAGGCGGTAGAGACAAGAGAGGGGCGAATTGGGCAAAGTGGTAAAAGATCCTGAAAAAAAAAAGGACAAGAGGGTCTCAAACCGGCCTTGGGCAGGGTGCTGTGTGAGATCTCTCGATACGTCGTTCATGCCGGTAGTGGTCAGGGGGTGCGATTGGATTGTCTGCAAGGCTGACAGGGGTCGCAACCTTGTTTATCCACCAGGACGGCGTGGCGTACGTCGACTCTGTTTCAGCATCGAAACCCACGATGTTCGGAATGGAGGGGTCGAGGACCGGCCAGAGGTCGGTGTCGGGAGATGGGCCCGATTTTTCGTCTATTTTCCTCCTCTGCGTCTTGTCTGTTCGGTGGCTTTGTATTCATTGGTTTTTGCTTTTCTTTTTCTTTTTGGACGCTTTTAGGTTGGGGGCCGTCGGAACAGCAGGAGGCCAGACTTTGCGTAAAGAGTCTCCTCGAGTCTTGGGGCGAGTCTTGAGGCTGAGGATACTTGCTGCCCTCTGTGGCAACTTGCAAGAGAGGAGCTTGGGGCTATTGCAGTCTTGACGCAGCCAGAGTCGGCCCATAATTGCCAATGAGGGTGAGCACGAATACATAGTAGCCAAGTCAACTTGGCCAGAGGGATCCTCGGTCTGAGGAAGTGACATGTGTTTGCATCATGCAGAGATAGCCAGCCCGCCCGAGGTGCGACAGAATAAGCAGAAGGTCACAAGGAAGAGGCTGGTAGAGTCAGGGGAAATATGCAGCAGCTAGGGAAAAGGGCTGAAGTGTTGAGTCTGGAAGATGGGCGCAACGGAAAGGCTTGCACACGCACTCACACACACACGCACACATACACAAATACACAGAGAAGCATTTCCGAAAAGAGCGCTGTCCCTGAGATTTGTCAGGGGTTTCGGTGTTCTTGGCATCTCGGTAGCGGATGTCCCTGGCGAGGGTTCCCTTGCTGCATGCTCTGCCACAGCACGAGGGGCGGCGGCGGTTACTGACGTGCCGCTGCTGCTGCCGCCGCTGCTGCTGTTTACCGCAGTACCTCACTCACTGCCCTGTGCACGAGAACAAGAACAGACATCCATCCATATTGCAGCCATGCAGCAGAGACTGCCGAATACTAATCAGCCTACCTGCCTTACGAATACCTCACCGAACAAGCTTTGGCCGCCGGGTTGACTCTACGTTTCGGCTGCTACCGAATCCGAACGGAACCTGGGAACATGATTGGTTTCTCTGCTTCGTCCAACATCCATCCTCCGTGTTCCTTCACTGTCACCTAAACCTCCAAAGGCATACCAATTTCTGTCGATCCATTGCCAGCAAGGCATCTGTAATACTGTAATAGTATCCATCCATCATCGACCTATTAGACTACGGTAAGGCTTGACCGCCGAAATGGTGATGTTGGAAGTGCTTCCGGGGCTTTGAAGCCGTCAGACAATTCTTCGCCCAGATTCCTAATGATATCTAAGCCGTCTGAATGCTGCCCTGTCGTTTGGGGATGAACTCGATCGGCGTCGTCATTACCCCGCCTATACCGCAAGAGACAGCGGCGATTTGGACTTTGTCACCGGCAGTGCGTCAAGGTTTTCACTCAGTTCTCTCTCCGTCACTTACTTCCCAGTGTCCCCGTCTGGGCGGTCCAAGTATCGACCGGGTCGGACTTCGTTTCTGAAGTTTCCGCTGCCTCTCGGCTACGAGAATCGAGCTCACGGAACCACGAACTCCAGACAATGAGTCACATCCATGGTTCGCTAAACGAAGCCTTCGAGTCCAATGCAGCCCATGAACGTTAACGCTTCCTACGCTTAGAGGCGCAGGGGATGTGCAGAAAGCCGTACAGTTTCGCAGTCCAGCAAAAGTGACAGCCGTTTGCGTCCCCTTCTCAAGCGGCGATCCCGCCTCAGCTTCATTCCGCCTACGCTTCAATTGACCAACCGCACGTGTCGTAATCTGAGCATCCCAAGAAGGATGAACGGCTGGCCACTGTAATCAGGGGTTTCGTGGATGGACCTACTGGATTCGGTTTGGCGTTATGTCACACACCTTTCCTCCCATCCCCATCGGCTTACTCCGCATGCCTGGCTCTTCGGCACCGGGCCCGAACACGGTTGATGGGCAGGCTCACCGGCGTTGTTCTCCAATGAGTCAACAACATGGCGTAAAGGGCGTAAGTTGATATAGAGCCTTATCGCGCGGGCGCTCGAAGGAGCGCTGGTATCATGTGGTGCTGCTGTCTTCGCTACACGAGGTGTACAACCGACCATATAATAAATACGCAATGAAACCCATCCTTCGATGATGGTCCTAGACTTTGCCACATCTCTGTAATTAACAGTATATTTGCCATGCCGCGCACCGAACTCGAGTATCCGAAGAAGCCTTTTGGCACTGTCAAGCGTTACGGCCCGCGAGGTGACACCCCATCTGCTTTGGTGGTTTAGACATCAACTCATTGCTTCCCAGCTTCATACGCACTTCCCACGATCCACAAGATCATAAATACCAGCCCCATATTGCATGTCTCTTTCAATGATATCAGCAGTCCCTTCCCCAGCATCCTACCAATGCTTGGGCAAATGGGGTCTTACACTCGACCATCGGCCGACGAAGGCGACGTCCTCGACCTTTATCTTCATGGCTACGTCTCCTCGCGAATGATGAATACGTCCCGTGGTAGTGGCCCTTCAGACGGCATGCCCGTCTGCGTTGCTGCCAGCCACCTTGATGGTCTCGTCATGGCCTTGACTCCCAACTCTCACAGCTACAACTATCGCTCCTCTGTGCTCTTCGGCCATGCTAAAGTGGTGGAAGATCCAGCCGAACGTCTGTACGCCATGGAACTCATTACTAACGGCGTCATCCCCGGATCTTGGTCCAACACAAGAGTGCCCCCAAACAAGGCCGAGCTGTCATCTACCAGTGTGCTCAAAGTCACCATCGAGGCCGGAAGTGCCAAGGTGAGGTTCGGGCCACCTGGAGACGAGAAACATGATAGAGATGACGCAGAGGCTGTCAACAAAGTCTGGACCGGCGTCGTGCCTGTGTATAGAACAATGGGTGAGCCTGTATCTGGGCCCTACAATGTTGTAGACCCTCCGTCGTACATCACCGACTTTATCAAAAGTGTCAATTCAGAGACGCGAGAATTTGCTGAATCGGCGGCAGCCCGTGTTCCGGTCAAGAGAGGCGGGCCCGGAGAAGCATGAGACACTGAAGGGTAGACGAGAATGCGCGAACTACAAGCGCAACCGGGCTATCGAGAAGGGGAGCAAACAATCAATCTAGTTGAAATATTCAAAGGACAGTGACTTCCGCATGAGTGAACCCGTCCGTACTTTCTCCTGCAATGTCCCCGACACAAACATATGTACAGCTTCCACAGTATATACAATCTACAGTATCCGTGAATATAGCAATCTCGCCAATGTACTCAAACCGACGTGATCACCAGTTCTCCCAGATAAATGCGGGCAACACGACACGCATGACCTCCCAGTGCCCCAGGGCGCTCTTTTCATGCCACTTGGTCAGTTGTTCAGTGGCATTGTTTCTCAGCAAGCCGAAGTCGCCATCCAGGAAATGCTTGGGCAGGACCTCGTGGCGGGGTTGCAGGAAGACTTGACGACTGCGGCTGGCGAGAAAATCTTCCTCGGTGGGCTTTCTGAAGAACAGCTTGCCGCTAGTCTTCTTGCAGAAGATGACCATGTTGGTGAAGTCCTGGCCTTCCTCCTGAATTTTCTTCTTGCTGGGGTGCTCCGATTCCCGGAAAATGCGGCACGACGGGAAAACCTCCCTGATGGTGTCGACGACAAGCTTGGGCGCCGGATGCAGGAAGTCTCCAGCATAGTTCTGCGTGGGTTTAGAAACGCGGGCCATCATGCACTAGCAGAAAAACTTACGATTGCAATAACACCGTCAGGCTTCAAAAGGGAGTTCAGGCCTTGTAAGAACTCGAGGGTGAACAACGGGACAGGCTCGGCGCCTCCAGTGAAGACGTCGTGGACGATGTAGTCGTATCTGGCACTAGGGTCGTCGACGAGCTTTGCAGTGTAGCTCACAGCATCCGCAATGACGGGAGTGTGGTTGGAAGGCAGGTCAAAGTACTTGGAAGCAAACTCGTGAACAACCGGATCGATCTCAACAATTGTGGTGTCAATGCCATGGGCAATCAGAGCACCGGGGGTTGTACCGATACCAAGGCCGCTATCTCTCGGTCAACTTCAAGTGGGGTTGGCTCTGGCGGATAGCGACTTACATGTTGAGAGCCTTAGCCTCGTTGTCAGGCACGGGATTCTTGGTCTTGACGAGGCGGACAGCCTCGAGCATGACGAAAACGCCGTAGATGGGCTCGGCAAGGATACGTCCTTTGTGTCTGACCCATTCACCGCCTAGGAGCGAGTGATCACATCTCAACACCCGATAGCCGTCCTTGATACTCTCGAGTACTGAAACATATCCGGTAATGGATTCTTTACGGTCCAAGAGAAACCAGTCGTCTGCCAGTAAGGTACTGTTGAGCGAGGCAGCTGCCATGGGAGTTAGGGCATGGGTGTTGAGCACAGCGGTGTGTAGGACAGTCGGAATAGCAAACAAGAGAAGCTTTGAGGGAGCGTAGACAGAGTATGCGGCCGCAAGCAACGCTTCCAGGCCAATGCGGGTCTGAAAAAACGATTTGCCGATATACGCCTGCAAATAGTCTCCCGACAATTTCTCCATGAACTTGAAGAGTCCCCATGATCCAAGGCCGGGACCTGCGTCGGCCAGAAACTTGGGCAACTTCGACAGGTCTGCCTTCTCCAGTTCAGTCGCCACACAACTGACGGATACCAAGATCAGAGGAAACAGAGTGACAGCCTCAGTGGCCAAAGGGCCCCAATGCGCCGTGAGAGTTGCGCTGGTCTTGTACAGGTAAAACTGGATTGTCGGAACCGTGAGAGCAATGACAGGTAGCAGTTTTGCTGTCTTGAATGGCAGTGTGCGATTCAGAAGTACGTTACCCGACCAGCCAAAGAAACACGCCACCATGACGAGTTTCGCATGATATATCGACGACGGAATCGAGCCGTAGACGGGAGAAAGCGCCAGCTGAGAGACATTGCTGTAGATAGCCGCCAATGTGAGAAGGATGGTGGTCTTGATGTATGTGGAAGCCTGCTCCTTGAAGAATTTGCCCTTGGTCTCACCCTTGGCCTTCGCTGCTAATGTCTTGAGCTCCTTTTCGAACCGCTCTGGCGTGAAAGCGTCGGAGTCGTCGGCGACGGAGACTTTAGGTTTCGGTGGCATTTTGTGCGAGGATTGGTGATGCCGTCTGAAAGCGAGCAAGGAAGCGAGAAGGTGAGTCGCGGTTGACGTGAAGATGCAGTCGGATCAAATCCGAAAGTACAGATATGAAATCGGAAGTGGAAGAGGATGAGCGTCCGGGGTCAAGCTTCGTTGGAGCTCAGCTCAGGGACAGGAGCAACCTTCAGCGGGGATTCAGTGGATAATCAGCGCGCAAGAACAGCAATAGCAAACCTATAGAGACAGGGGGGGAAAAGGACTATCTGGCATTCAACAGCCTGCTGTTACAGCTCTCTGCTTCTCCGACTCGAGCGAAGACTTCACAAAAAGTCCAGGCCGTGTTTTGACATGCGACATGCGCTGTGGGCAGAAGGGGTTGTCTGTTGCTATCCTCGCGCGTTTTGAAACGTCTCCTCAGCCCATCCTTTCATTCACAGCAGTTTCTTTTGTGCGCCACACCGTTCCTCTATGTGTGGCTTGACCGCACCGCACGATGTATGGCGGTGCAGTCCAGCAAGCATACGGATCACTATTCGTCGCAATCAAGGACAAAAACAAAAAAAAAGAGAAAAAAAAAAAGGGAAAAGGGCCAGGGTCATTTAAGGACACAAAGTCCCTGCTCATTATTTCGTTATCGTTGCGGGATAGTGAGCTTCTTCGCTCATGCTATACAAGATGCCATCGTTGCCTTGCGGAATGGCTCCTTTAGCCAAACCCCCCTTTTTTTGTAATATCTTCCCAAAACATAAAAACAAGGATAGAAATCGCTTATTCGGGATGGTCACAAGGCATGATCTGTGCCATGCAGGATGTCATCGTTGCCCTGCGGAATGGCCCTCTTCGCCAAACCCCCTTTTCAATGCCGCAGTAACGCATCTGCCTTGCCTGATGCACAAGGACAGCCAAAGTCTTTCCTTGGGCTATGCAGGATGCCATCGTTGCCCTGCAGACTGGCCTTCTTGGCCAGACCCCTCCCCCTTTTCATGCCATTATTTCGTTAAGAAGGATGGTCAGCAAATAGCGACCATGCAGGATGCCATCGTTGCCCTGCGGACAAGTATTCGCCAACTTGACCCCTTGAATTCGACGCCGTGTGTGCCAAGACCTCGATGAATCAAATCTTCTCACCCTCGAGGATAGGCTTGGCCTCGTCACTGGTCCACCAGCTGACACCAGATTGACCAGGGTAGCTGAATTTGTCCATGCTGTCTGCCTTCATTTCGACACTGTAGCCAGGCTCCAAGGGGGTCTGGTAGTATCCATCCTTGATGACGGAAGGATGGAGGAAGTGCTCGTGGAGGTGGTCGACATACTCAAGAACGGAGAGCTTGCCACTGACGACAACGTAGTCGATGGTGCTCAGGTGCTGGGTGTACTCTGGGAGGCCGACACCGCCGGAGTGAGGGACGATGGGGACGTTGAACTTCTTGGCCATCAACAAGACCGCGAGGACCTCGTTGACGCCACCCATGCGGCAGGCATCAATCTGGCAGATGTCAATGGCACCAGACATGAGAAGCTGCTTGAAGATAACGCGGTTCTGACACATCTCGCCGGTGGCAACACCGATGCCGTAGGGCTTGAGGGCCTCACGGATGGCCTTGTGGCCGAGGATGTCGTCGGGAGACGTGGGCTCCTCGATGAACCACGGCTTGAACTCTTTAAGCTGCTTCATGTACTCAATGGCCTCAGGCACAGACCAGACCTGGTTGGCGTCGACCATGAGGATGTTGCCGCTATCGTAACCAATGACCTCACGAGCAATGCCCAGACGTCTCTTGTCTTGCTCGACACTGCTGCCCACCTTGAGCTTGAAGTGGCGGTAACCCTTGCCGAGGGTCTCCTGCAACAGGCCCTTCATCTTGTCCTCTCCGTAGCCAAGCCATCCGGCACTGGTGGTGTAAGCCGGGACGGCGCGGCTGTTCTCGGCGTCCTTGATGCGCTGAGCCTTCGTCGGCTCCTGCTCCTTGAGGAGCTGGATAGCCTCCTCGGGTGTGATGGCGTCGGTGATGTATCGGAAGTCAATGCAGCTGACGAACTCCTCCGGGGTCATGTCCGCGACGATGCGCCAGACCGGCTTGCCCAGCACCTTGGCCCAGAGATCCCAGATGGCGTTCACTACGGAGCCAAGGGCGAGGTGAATAACGCCTTTCTCAGGACCAATCCATCTCAGCTGGCTGTCGTTCACGAGGTATCTCCAGGTCTGGCCCCAGTTGGATACCAGCTCGGACAGCTTTTTGCCCTTGATACGCTCAACCAGATAGTCAATGGCTTTGCACACAATGTCGTTGCCTCGGCCGATAGTAAACGTCTGCAGAGAAGTTCTTGTCAGCGGTTGTGTCCCTCAACTCCAAGTGTGAAATTTGGGGGGATAATTCTAACGCACCATTCCGTGGCCAGAGAATTTGGAGTCGGTCTCAAGAATGCAGTAAGCGGCCGAGTAGTCACCAGCGGCGTTCATGGCATCAGAGCCGGTCTTGTCGAGAGATGTGGGAAAGCGCACATCGCGCGTGGTCCAGCCTGTGATGGTAATTTCGGTCATGATGGCGGCTTAGGGGGGAAACTGAGATGGGAGAGGATGAAGGAGGGGAGCTGGTGAGGGACAACAGAGCAAGCGATCAAACCCCGAGGCCATGGGAGAGAGAAATCTCGAGTTATATAGTGTCTACGAAGCAATTTCCCCCACCTAGCCAACCGGTGACCAGCAGGGACCACGACACTTTACCCCGAGTCTGGAATTGGGTCGTATGGGCTGGAGGGAGAGAGGGGGAGGGGCAGGCCGCGGCGGAGGGGTCGTGGACGTGGACGTGGAGATGAGAACGGTGCGTGGGGTCTGTTTGGTGGGGCTTCTGGCCGTAGACACCTGTGACCCCCGGCCTGAAGGCCGCCTGCCAGCGCGGGGGCAGCGCCAGAACGAACCGGCCCTGGCTCCCCCAGCTTTGGCTGCCTCTGATTGATGGAACAATTCTTCCGTCTCCTCCCCAGCCCGCGCTTGTTCGGCATCCTCTGCATGAAGATGTGTGTTGATGGTTGACCATTTTGCGGAAAAAATATTTCGTCTTCTCGCCTAGGCAAGCGGACTCAGCTCTGTTCCCCGGCATTTCGGAGACTATCGACTAGGTCAGGTACCTAAGGTAAGCAGGAATGTACTGCATAGTAGTTTGGCTTGATTTTGTACTTCCAAGTTAGGTAGACTTGGCATCAGTCCATCTGCACGATCAAGGACCACGATAGCCGTGAGAGGCTCGGAGACAACGTGGTTTGCCGTGCGCATGTTAATCTCCGACGTCCCCTCTGATGGGCTAGCAGAGCATCTCCAGTGGCTTTACGCGACCTGCCAAAATCACGTTGAAGCCAACCTAATCGCCAAGTGGCGGGTTGAGCTATCAACCGAGCCATCTTCTACTGCGGACGCGACTCCAAAGCCTGCTGGGCAGGTAGAACATGGAAGGCCGTGCAAATAGGCGGGCGAGCGGCAGATCTCGAAACCTTGTCTTAGAGATGGCGATTCGTTGAAGTCTGGGCCGGGAGGGCAAGAGCGTGTGCCGGAAGAAGCTCCGATTGTTTGCACTTCTTGGCGCACAACTACGCAGTACATTGTAGAGCCAATGGCGCTGGCGGCTTCGGTGACGGTGTCGGCCCGGAGCAATGACTCGGCGAAGACGGAACCTGAGACGGGAACTTCACAGAGAAAAGACGGAGAAGGCGAGGGTCTTGATGACATGAGCCAATCGATTGTGTTCCGACCTTCACCAGTGAGGCCGCAGATCGACCTGATGCCGGTTCCGGGGAGACACTGTGCAGCTCCGACACATTCCCACGCAAGACTCTCAATGTTCCCCGTCCATTATCCTTCCTTCGCCCAACCTAGTCGTCAGAGGCCTGTGATGATGCTGTTTGCTCTGCAACACTGATCGGCCAGCCGCCTTGCATCTTGTTTCTCGTCTGGTCCCAACTCAATCCATCATCTTACAGAGACTCCGAGCTAGGTCGTCCTGTCTTTTCTTTGGGCGAGTGCGAACTCTGTCTACCAAGGAGATCCAAAGATACCCTTGTCCGCGATCGGGGTCTTCACCCCCTCCACCAGACGCGCTGCTTCCCTGCAAACCTTGGCGACAAGTGAGCCTCGAACGCACTTTTTGCTCTGTATCCCCCCCGCGTCACTTCTGCAAGTGGGCGACAATGACGTGGGGACAAGGATGCATCCACCATGTCTCGGCTGCTTATCCATGCTTCTAGACCACCATATGGATGGCCTGTCGATAAGCAGTACCGCAGTACCGCAGTACTCGCGAAGGCAGTGCGAGCTTCTTCGCCTTGCCTGCGGCCTGCCTGCTTGTCATCATATCCCTGCAGCAGGTCGAGTCGAGCCACTTGTTATGCGTTGTCCGCCAAAGATGCGTCGCCCACACTCGGTTTCCCAGGTTGACTGATGTGAGCATTTGAGCTTAGCCTCTCTTCTCGTCAAATCTTGTTTTGCGCTTTCTTGCCTGGATATCCACATAACTCCATCATTGTACATGCATATCCTGTCATCCGTACGCGCGGATACCTGCACTGCTGAGCCTTCGTTCGTCTTCGCTTTCCTGCTGTCCACCACCTATAACCATCCTTCCTTCGCCTCCATACCGACATGTGCATGGGACATGCTTTCTCACACACCATTCACATACGTTGGCGAACGTCATTTGCCTTTTGGACAGACTCATGACTTTTTCAGCTATGAACTGATTTCTGCATCCATCTATGAATTCGGCCAACACTTTCCTGCGCTCTCAAGATCTTCAACTATTAACAGTCCAGTCGCCCACATCCCACACCCATCCAGTCCAGGGCAGTGACATATACCGTTCTGTCATTCGCATTCCAGCTGCTACACATCACACAAAATGAACCACTCACGAGAGCCGTCACTGGTCTCGCCAGTCTCCGATTCGATCAAATCGTCAGAGCCACCACGTCTACGGAACAGGTTACGAAAGAAGTTCCCGTCACTACGTCGGCCCGCGCCTGTCGACTCATCTGCGTCAAATAAACTTACTACCGCTGTCGGACTAGTCGCTCAACAAGCCGGAACCGTCGGCCAACCTTCCTTGCGGTTATCTCCAGATCTCAGCGACTCCAAATGGCACGAATACCTACGCACGAGCAGCACACAAAAACGTTCGCCCCATCACCCCAAAGTCTCACTCGACACTTCTGTTTCAGCAGCAGTTCCAGAACTTATCCCAGAGTTATCTCATCTCACCATCAACAATTCAAAACCAAGGCCCTCGCTCGACAGCTCGCTCGCGTCGCCAACTTCTTCCATTAGTACAAGATCCAGTATGAGACGCCGCGCAAAAACACCCGTCTACACCATCGGCCAGCTTGAGAGCACCCCTGGTGCCAAAGATCCGGTCGTAATCGACAGGTCTAGCGTGGACCTGATTGCCAAGCAATATCAGGCTCTTATTGAGTCGCAAGATTCGAACTCCATCTGCACCGATACGCGATCCGATCCGCCGCCCTCGCGACAATCCTCGTACACCAGTTCTTCGTTGGCGCGGTCAACATGCAGCGCTGGAGAGGTCTCGGAGGACTTGAGACCAGACGTATATCAGTCTCCAGTCCGTACACACCGACGGCATGTCTCGGCACACTCTCCGACGTCAGACGACGGGACCTTGGTCGCCTTTGACGAAGAGGCCATATACTTCAAGCCCATGTCTTTCTCTCCTGAACCGTCATCGCCATCCTTGCCACCAACTCCACCACCAAGAAGCCGAGCCCGCGTCCAGCGCAGCTCGGAATTTCCTGCGCCAGACCACAACCTCAGCCTGCAAATCTGTACGGACCTTCTGGCGCGAGAGCTTTCGACGGTCATGATAGAACGGCCGCGGGGAAGTGGAGAGGATATCTCATCTCTTCAGATATGGGTCATGATTGAGGCGTATGAAAGACTAAGAGACCAGGTCAAGGATAAAGAAGGCGCACAACACTTGGAGCCTATGTTCGACACGTGGCTGGCGGCTCTGTACGCTTTACACGACAAGCTCACAAACGACGCGAATTCCTTCCAGAGTCACTATGAAACAACAGGCGCGGACTAGCATATTCCAAAGCACGGGTGATTAACGCGTAGACAGTATACACGCTTAGTTTTGTCAGTTTCTTGGGCAAGGTGAGGAAGATAGAACACCAACGAATGAATGTATACCATGAAGCTAGAATTCTTCAATCTATCGAAGTTTTCGATAATGACCCCGCGCTCATTGCAATGAGGTGGCTGCCCCCGCTGTCGATGTACACCCGTAGGTACCTTACGCAGGGGAGGTACCGAGTTGAGGGGTTAGTGGGCAAAGTGCCCCCTCCCACGGTGCCGAGGACGTGCGAGGATCATCACCTGCCTACCGGGCTTACCTTGGTACGTTCCTAGGTAAGGTTACCTACCTAGTGTTAGGCCCATTCCCCCCACTGCCACCTAGGTAGGTAGGGTGGTAGGTAGCGGGGCGGAGACGCGTCGCCGTCTACTTTCGCCATCAGCCGTGACGTGACTATTCCTCATCTCTATTTTTCTACCAGCTATCTAGGTAGATAGCCGCCTCGCCCCGCCGACGGTTTTCTATCCGCCACTTCAATCGCAGCTCATCCAGACGAAACTTTGGGGGACATGGACGACGATTTCGGCGCCGACGAGGACTTTCTAGCCGCCCTCGCTTCCTCAGCTTCGGGATCTTCACGATCACACCTAGGCCCTCCGTCTCAACCTGCTCCTACTCGCTCTCGCGTACAGCAGCATAACCCCCAGAAGATCCAACAGCCGACACCCCAACGTCTAGACAGGGCGCCGCCGACCAATACGTCCAACAATAACAACAATGGCAAGGTCATTCAACCAACGCCGCAAGCCTTGCCCCAGCGAGGGTCGGGCTCTGCCATTATGGTATCCCCTCGCCAGAGAGGAAACCCAGTGCTCGCCTCCCTGAAGTCCATGCCATGGGAATATAGTGACATTGCAGCTGACTACGCTTTGGGTTTGACAACATGCGCTTTGTTCTTGAGGTTGGTCCGATACGCATTCCATGTCGTGCTTGCTGCCATCTTTCTGACCACACCCAGCCTGAAATATCATCGCCTCCACCCCGAGTACATTTACACAAGGATAAGGAATCTCCAAGGAAAATACAACCTGCGTATCTTGCTGACAATGGTCGACATACCCAATCACGAAGAAGTTTTGCGCGAGCTCTCCAAAACGTCACTCGTGAACAACGTCACCATCATCCTATGTTGGTCAGCAGCAGAAGCTGCGCGCTATCTCGAACTTTACAAGTCCTACGAACACGCCAATTTCAACGCGATCCGCGGCCAGCAGGCCTCAAGTTATGCCGAAAAGCTAGTCGAATTCGTCACCGTCCCACGAAGTGTAAACAAGTCCGATGCCGTTGCACTAGTCAGCAACTTTGGCAGCCTGAAAAATGCCATTAATGCCGATCCTGAACAGGTCGGCATCATTGCTGGATGGGGAGCTATCAAAGTGAACAAATGGATCAAGGCAGTAGAGGAACCTTTCCGAGCCCAAAAAGCCGCCAAACGCCAGCTGGAAAGGGTCGAAAGCACCGAAAACGGGAGGCCAGCTCAAGTGTCTAGACTCGACCAAGCCGTTCCTCTCGCCAGAGTCCCGCTGCGGGAGATGGAGTCAACAAGAGACTCATCCCTCGGCTCGCCAGCGACAGATAGATCGACAAGCGCCCAGGAGAAACGGCCTGCACAGCGCCAAAGGAACATTGCGGGCCCGGATGAAGATGATGAAGAGGCAATGATTGCAGCTGCTATTGAGGAGTCCAAGCAGACTGCGCAGACGCATGCAGAAGCACAGACCCGGGCGAAACAATCAACCAGTCAAAGTAACAAAAACGATGCACTTCCTGACGGAGTAGCGGCTGCGCTCGCCAAGCTGAGAAAGCAGGGCTGAGCCATCGAATCCAAAGCCTCAAGGACGGCCCGTACAAGTTGCCGATATTCAAGGCAAAGCTTAATCGACTGACACAAGCATGGTTCGAACCTGGAGGGAAATCCACCCATCGCATTTTGTTAGCGTTGCAAGAGGATATCCTCATGTGCATCAAACCCGGAAAAATCCTGACTCGCGGCGGCGTCTCTGCAATGCAAGCCAACTGATGAGCGGGAGAGGCGAGAAATAACGTTCACGACGACAAGATGACCCAGAACCCGTCGTCAAGCCAATCAGGGCCAGGCTGATAACAAAACCGACTCGCCGTTTGCTCATTAGACGGAGGGGCCAGTCAGGAGACGCGCTGCACTTATGGACGGGACATTTTGATGCTACTTGGGACCATCCCACGCCATCCACAACGTTTCACGGAGCAGGTGGGGGGAAGTCTGGTGTTCTATTCTGTTCGCCCAATGCGGGGGAGCCAGGACGCTTCCGCAGGCACCGAACTCAACCAAGTTGGAGATGATGATCGTCACAGATGCGCTTATGTCTCTTCCAATGGCACCTTCTGACCAAGTCAAGTGGTTGATATTTGACGGACTGTTATGTTGCTGGCCGCTACGCCGCGTCCGCTTACTGGTGATGTGGGAGGCTTTTGCAATATTGGTGTCTGGCGAGCAACTAGTGCCGTCGCTCCTCCTTTACCGTACATGAAAAGAGTTGCACAACATGCGTCAAAGCCAAGAAACAATCAGCTGGTAGTATGTTCATTAGAAGGTTAGCAGCCAAGGGTTCTGGCGTTAAACGGCAATGTTGCGCCGGGTGCAACGGCAATAGGCGCATGTGGATGGTTGCAGTCCTGTCTCTTCGCCGTTGTTGCCAAGAAGGTGGCCAGAGTCAATTGCAACTCCAGGGCCTTGGGAGTTGTACTGGACCCCGCTGGGGCGATGGCGACTGGACGATGCAGGTGGTGAGGCCCCCAGGAGACAGGAGGCTCGGAGGCTCGGGCATTAGGCTGGGCCTGCCTTCACCTGCATTTCTTTTGCGATCTTGTCCTCTATGCAACGCGACTCTGCATTTAGCTTTGGGTTGCACTGGCAAGGGGGTTTTCTCAACCACTGCTCCGCACGTGCCTGATTCAGCAAAACCAGTCCGTGCCTGATGACTTTCTCACTTCAAGGCGAGCGACCAACTCGGCAAGATCTGCTCTGCGCGTGTTGCTGCCAGTCATGTACGCCGACCGACGGACTTGGCTCGCGTGATGGCGAACTACCCTCTAATCGCTTTGCAGCCCTACCAAAGTGCAACCCTGGCGTGGATGATGCGAATGTATCGCGTTCATCTGGAGCTCTGCGTGCAACCTCGCCCTGTTGAGGGGTGGGTAGCATCGAGAAGAACGGCCGATGCACGACACAGAGAAACTGGAGAAACGCACCATCATGCGGGCTAGCGATTCCCGACTGATTAGCTAGGGATTGGAACTTTGGCAATCAAAAACCACAACGTGCAGGAAGAAGAAGCAGGAGAAGCAGGGGCGCAGCAGAACGTCCAGACCATGAGACAAGGGTAGGCACAATCACAATGTCCGGGGACTCTGGACGAGAAACAGAGTTTATCCAGTCTCCTTGGGGTGTACCAGAATCAACCGATTTCTTGCGGGTTGCAGTTGCATGATCCCAACCTGCCCCGGCCACTCATTCGAAATTTTATTAACTTTCCGCGCTCCTGCTCATGATTCCTTTGGCGCTGGTTCCCTTTCTCCGCGTGCGTCTTATATCTTGACTCCCTCTTTCCCGCGTCCTCAACCACTGCGCATCCTACCTCCTCACTTTCGTCCGTTGCCTACCTCACCTTGGCTTGGATGTCCCTTTGGACTTTGCGTACGGTGCTACTACTGCGACTGTTCCCAGGCATCATCTGTACTCGTCAGAGGCCTCTCTTTGGATACAATGCGTCTTTCACGCTCCGGAAGCATATTGGCCTTCGCCGGGCTTCTTGCCCAAGCGTCGGCCAGCCCGCAAAGCTCAGTGCAACCTGCTGCGACTCCCAACTATACGAACCAACCAGACAGAGCCAACGCTGTGAAAGAAGCTTTCCAACGTTCGTGGGATGGCTATCGCAAATTTGCGTTCCCGAATGACACGCTGAAGCCGGTCTCCAACACGTTTGAAAACGACCGGTAAGTCTCGCGCTCAGTCCTGCGCAAGACTGTTGCTGATATGTCTGCTGTAGAAACGGATGGGGCGCCAGTGCTGTTGATGCTTTGAGTACGGCCATCATCATGGAGAACAAAGATATCGTTGGGCAAATTCTGGATTTCGTACCGACAATCAACTTTGACGTGACATCCACCGAAGTGTCGGTTTTCGAAACAACCATCCGATATCTGGGTGGTCTGCTGTCAGGTAAATCCGAGCTCTACAATCGCCGCTCGCGTGGTTCCCGGCTAACTGAAAGTCCAGGACACGACATGCTGAAGGGCGTTCTGAGGGACGTTGCTTCCAACTCAGCAGGTGTGGATGCGCTGCTTACCCAGGCGAAGAAACTTGCGGACAACCTCAAGGTGGCATTTGATACCCCGTCCGGAGTTCCAGACAACATTCTTGTCTACGATCCGAAGCCTCGCAAGAACGGTTCTAGCACCAACGGCATTGCGACCATCGGAACACTCGTCCTAGAGTGGACTCGGCTTAGCGATCTTACAGGCGACACACAATACGCCAACCTGTCTCAGCGCGGCGAGGACTATCTGCTGAAGCCCAATGAAGAGGTGTTTCCTGGTCTGCTAGGCACGGATGTCTTCATCTCCAATGGAACATTCGCTGATCGTAGTGGAGGTTGGAATGGTGGCACCGACAGCTTCTACGAATATCTCATCAAGATGTGGGTGTATGACCAAAAGCGCTTCTCTCTTTACAAGGACCGCTGGATTGCCGCCGCCGACTCTTCAATCAAGTTTTTAGCTTCGAACCCGTCAACGCGTCCTGACTTGACGTTCTTGGCTGCCTACACCAACGCCCAGCTGAGGTTTGTTTCGACACACTGTGAGTTTCTCGACCCGATCGAGGGCAACTATTGCTGATCTTCTCGACAGTGGCATGCTTTGATGGAGGCAACTTCATTTTGGGAGGTCTCGTTCTCAAAGAACAGAAGTACGTCGATTTCGGTATCAAGCTCACAGAGGCTTGCCGTGAGACGTACAAGCAGACGGCCACCCGCATCGGACCTGAAGTCTTCCGTTGGTTTGAGGACAAGCCCGGCATTAACACCACCTTGAACCCGCAACCACCCGCCAACGACACGGAGTTTTACAACCGAGCCGGATTTTGGATTAGGAGTGATGGTGGTTCGTATGTGCTTCGACCAGAAGTCATTGAGAGCTACTACTACGCCTACCGCGCTACTGGAGATTCCAAGTATCAGGACTGGGCCTGGGACGCTTTCCTTGCCATCAACAAGACTTGCAGCGCCGGCAGCGGTTTCTCATCCATTACGAATGTGAACGATCCCAAGGGAGGGTCCTTCGATGACTTCCAGGAGAGCTTCTGGTTTGCAGAGGTAATGAAGTACAGCTACTTGATCCAAGCTACTGACGCGAAAGTGCAGGTAGATGTGGCGGACAACAAGTTCGTGTTCAACACGGAGGCCCATCCGTTCTCTGTGGCTTAGCATGCGTGCGGGTGTTGACAGAAAGAAGCGGCGGGCCAGTCATTAGATAGATATCACGAACAGGGGTGCAATATCACTAGTCGAAATGAATACCCAACAGCAATACAGGTACAGGATTTCCTTGAAGCCATCTGTGCCTAAGCTACCGGTGACACATGCTTCATGAGCCACCATCTCTCTTGGCATATTCTTCCTCCATAGCCTCCTCGTAAAGTCGATCGGCTTCGAGCTCAGCCTCCGTCTTGGGACGTGTGGTGCCGGCCCCGATATTTGCGCCTGCCCCGGTGGCCGCCTGCGACGCCTCTTGGCTTCGGGCCGCAGCGGGCTGGCTTGACTGCTGCTGAGAAGAAGACTCTTCAGGGACGTTGGGAACGCCAAGCTTGAGGGGAAGACCCATGATGATATTGAAGATGCGTTGCGACAAAAAGCACGAGTTCGCGGACGGCGGTAAATGCTGCAAATGGCAAACAACGTGATGTGTGTATTGGACAGGATTTTCGGATATTTTGTAATGAGAAGGGCAGGCCGAGGGTCATTATTACGGAATAGCAGGTGGCGAACGGTTCACCCGACCGAGATGACAACCTAGCTCGCGTCCAACCAGAGTCGGAGCCGAAGTTTCGCGCCGACCCGCCTGGGCCCAAGGCAGGACTGAAATGCCATCCATCCCCCAGTCTCCGTAGTGGGTGCCACACAACTGGGCGTGTGTAAGACGTAGCTATGGTTCGACATGGTCATTGTCGTTCCCGTGGGCCAGGACCGTTCATCAGGTTTTCACTCTAGGGGACCCAAGTTTGGAGCGCAAGCCGCTTCCGACAAAACACAGGAAGCGTCCCGCGGAATGCTAAAGCGTGCTATGGAAACTTTGTCCACAGGGACATGGCCGGCAGCAATTGAATGTTGCGACGTCAAAGCGCAGCAGCAGCGCAATGCTTGAATCGCTCTTATTTTGCACATCAATTGCGAGACTTGTGTAGGTAGGGAAGTTGTCTGCTCTACGCGGTCGTATTTCCTGTCTATACTTGAGGACGACGACGGCAAAATGACAACAATAACACCAATACCACGATGAATACAATAGAGGGTAAATGAAGCCACAGGAAAAAAGTCGCCATGGCGAAAGGAAAATAGGCAGTCTCCCAAACAAGAAATGCAGACGAATTCCGCGTCTGTGTCTAGTTTTGCTTGTTCCAGGTGCTTAGGATGTCCATCGAGGAGAAGGCACCTCCATCAGATATCAGATGTCAGGTGACGATGGTGAAGACGGCAAAGGAATTTTATTGCATCATGGGCAGTCTCTCTTCTGGAGCAACGTCATTCCAGGGTGACGAAGCCCTTGTGAAGCCTGGACTCCACGTAACAAGATGGCTTTCGATCTGGGCGGGGTTTTGCGTCGGAGAAGACGGAGACGGCCTTAACGGCCAGACAGCCTGTAGGGAAGCGTTACCTGTATGTATGTGCAAGGCCGTTTTTGTGTTCGCCTTTGGTCGTGAGCCAGTCAAGCACGCCGCATTTCAATTCACCGCGCCGAGCCCCGAGCGGAGCTGCGTGGGAGTCGGACATCGAGACGGCAGCCTTGCTCAGCGGTCACTGATTTATCCTGCTTGTGTTTCCTCCTCCGACCTCCATTGAAATCTTTGCACTCTGGAGCTTGTCAGGCGGCCAGGCCTGCTGGTCTCTCGGCACCAATACCGAACGGGGGATACCACAAAAAAGTAAACGCCGGGACGCCGTCCGTGGCCTCCCGGAGGGTCGGAGGGTTGGGCAGGCCAATCAGTGGGAGGCAACATGCTTCTACAGACGCCAAAAGGGGCAACTTGACAGAACCTTCGTGCGAGCCCTGCGCAAGCGCAGCGCGGACCCCCAAGTCGGCTCCCGAGAAGGCAGCCTGTGGTGACGGAGGAGAGGGGTGGGAGGAAGCTGGGGGGCGCTCCCGACCCAATCACCATCCTCAGGATTCTGCTTAGAGAACCAGCCAAGCCAATCAGGGAACGTTTAATGATGCTTACTCGTCTGAAGGGTAACCCGCTGCCCACCAAGCCCTGCAGATGGGGGACGACCAGGTCCAGGCCCCAGGTCCTCGATGGGTCTGAGGGTCTCATTGAGAGACCTGTCGACGAACAAGAGACCAAAAAATCGTCTGTGAGTGAAAGGGCCAAGCTTGTCTTGTGTCAGCTTGCCAGGGGGCTAGGAAGTTACCAGTTCGTTGCCCGGGTTCTTCTGGTTTTTCTTTATATCCCACCCGGGTAGCGAAGCTTGTGGAAAGCATGTAGCATAGGAATGTGACTTGTATTAAAGACACCAGAAGCCTGTCTCGTCTCAGATTGTTGGCACTTGCCTAGATCACCACTCGCGACCACACACCCCAGACAGAATCTAAGCAAGGCATAGGAAAGAAAACAAACAAGTCAGCTTTTCCGCTTGTCTTATTACCCCAGACTTTCTCCTCGACGCCGCCAGCTTCTGGCGTCACCCCAGGCGGACAATAAATTCAAAGCGTCCATCATCTTGCCTCCTTGACGGAAGAGACAGGCCTCGATCTCTCAGGATCTGACGGAGAGCAGAGTTATTGGACTCTCTGGCTTCAAGACCTCCTCTTCTCAGGACGCTCTTGGGAGCAGGCCAAAGATAGCCGAACGAAGCTTCATCATGGGTCTCGTCACTCTGAAAAACCTCCTGTTCGGGCGCACACAGGCTCCCGCCCGCAGACCGGTCAACGAGCGCGCAGAGAGCACATGCTCTGACGATACCATCGCCGAGGGGGATCTTGAGAGACAGCCTCTGCTGGGTGCCAGGACAGCATCGACGGCGACGATGGCGACAATCACATCTACAAACTCCACAGCCTCCGAGAGCGACTCTCGCCGCTTCCGCATCGATGCCCGTGTCATCTCCGATGCTACTATTGGTCTGTCTGACGGCTTGACGGTGCCATTTGCCCTTACAGCTGGTCTGTCTGCGCTAGGCCAGACCAAGGTTGTCATCTTCGGAGGTATGGCCGAGCTGATTGCCGGGGCCATCTCCATGGGTTTAGGTGGTTATCTCGGAGCCAAAAGCGAGGCGTGAGTCCCTGCTCTCCCCCGGCCTGTTGTCCAGAAACAATATCCATTCCTCTTCCTACATGATGCTAACGTTGTCTTTCCGCAGCGCTTCCTACAAGGAAACCCTCAACGAGTGTACCCGCCTGACGCAAGATGATCCGAACCTCGCCCGCGCTCAGGTCCGGGAAGTTCTCGAACCCTACGACCTCCCTAAACACACTCTCGAGGAGGTGACGGACCATCTCTCGACTTCGCCCCGTCTCATCGACTTCCTAATGCAGTTCCATCATTGCGAACAAGAACCGGCCTCGAACCGCGCCTTCGTCTCGGCGTTGACCATTGCTGCCGGCTACCTTCTGGGCGGTCTTGTTCCCCTGTTCCCCTACTTCTTCGTTCCCTCCGAGGACGTCTATCTCGCCCTCTACGTGTCCGTCGCCGTCATGGCTGTCGCTCTCTTCGCCTTTGGTTACGTCAAAACTTGCATCGTCTCTGGCTGGCAAGGCTTCCGCGCTGTGCGGCAGGCCGTGGTCGGTGGCCTGGAGATGGTTGTTGTGGGCGGTGCCGCGGCTGGTGCAGCAATGGGGCTCGTCAAGGCGTTTGATCAACTCGCGCAGTCGGATGATGTGTCGGCGCTGGCGAGTAGAATATTGTGATTGCCCGTTCCTGTTCCTTTCATCTCTTTATCTTCTCTAAACCCCCTTTGGCCGACCACATTTGAAGTCTGTACGGGGTCAATCATGTGTAATGTGAACTTTGGATGGGATAGTCAGGACAAGTCTCTGTGTCAATCAGGTTGAAAATTCTCTTATGTTGATTTGCATTGTTCGGCGTTGCGCGGAGCCCTGGTCCAGGTTAGACGACACCTCAGCATTGGTGGCAGCGGTTGGAAAAGGCGTTGGGGTCAAAGACTCCCGTAAGCTATATCAAGTTGCCGGACAATCGGGCCAAGCAGAATACCACTCTATTTTCGAGACGAGATGCCTGCCTTCCGTCTGAATGAACGTGTGAGAGCGCCGAGTACATACAAAACGCTCGTCCGAAAGTTGTTACTCGACCTCGTGCCTACTGGAACAAGACACTGACTCCACCATTGTGACAGTGACAAGTACACAAAAGTCGCAACAAGCCCGGCCTACGCGACGCAAAGCCCTGCGCCCACATCGGAGAGAAATGTACTATGGGTGCTGACAGGTGCAGTGCAACGAAAATCATGTCTAGTATTAGCCAAGTGCTTATTCGCACCCATTGTCACGCTATCTATGGTATTCCTCCTTATAAAACAACCACGAGCCCAATCATCCTGACGGGACTTGAGAACCAAACGCCAACTCGCCATGCAAGGAAAGCACTAATGAGGTGTACACTGCGACTCCCACCTCCAACTGAGTTAGAACTCTTTGCTTTCTCCAATGTCGCAGACGTCAAAAACACCATTCTCAGGAAGGCCCTTGCGCTTCATGGCCAGCTGAAGAAGCTTGGGCGGCTCCAAGACTTCCTCCATAGTCAGGGCCCAGGTCCCCCAATGGATGCCCATGGCGCGCTGACACTTAGTATCTTTAAAAATCTCGACCGAGTCAAAAGGATTGGCGTGCATCGGCGAGAAAGCGACCCGAGGATAGTATGCGCCAATGGGGATCAGACCGAGATCGAAAGGGCCTCTGAACTCGCCAATCTGCTTGAATTGCGGGCAAACCGGCAGAGAGGCGAATTCCGGGCCGTAGTCGTCGACACTCGGGGGAACGTACGGCACGGCACGGTACCCAGTATCACCTCCGAACCAGACGGACTTCGCGCCTGATTTGACACCCCACGAAGCCCACAAGGTCTCGTCCTTGTCGAACGGTGTGCGGGCGGATGTGTGCTGGCATGGGAGGCACGATACTTGGGCGGTGATAGTCTCGGGCTCGTCAGCGGTACCTTTCTCGACGTTCAATGTGATTTCCGCATCCTCCCACCAATCCAGCTCCGTCACATTTTTCAGGCCGGCCTTCTGGAACCACGACTCCAAACCCATGCCGACGAAGAAGTGGGCTTTCGGGTTGTGCTTCTGGATCGTGAGGACGGACTCGTGGGAGAGGTGGTCGTAGTGACTGTGGCTGATGAGAACTGCGTCGACGAAGGGAATATCAGCGAGGTCGCAGGGCTTCGGAGTATATCGCTTGGGACCCAAAAAGGTGAAGGGCGAGCAGCGATCCTCGAAGACAGGGTCGAACAGCACGCGCAGCCCGGAGGGAAACTCGACGTAGTAGCAGGCGTGGCCGAGCCATGTCGCGCGGAGCTTAGCGGAGGCTGTACGGCTGGGCAGGAAGTCTGGCTTGATGACGGAAACATTTGGAGGCGTCGTGTCAGGAGACGGCAGCTTGCCTGTCCAGCTCGGCCTAGACCACGGTATCGTTAGCCAGTGTTGCTGAGGGACGGCGGCTGGGAACGTGGCAGGGCGTACCAAACGACATGCTTAATGAGCTCCCAAGGACCGACGCCATCACCATAAGAGGGATGAATATTCTTGAAGCCGACGGTGGCGCCGTTCTTCTTCACATGGTGCGGCTTGGAAGAAGCATCGTCGGGTGAGGGGCCCAGCTCGGGGATCTTGGCTACAGCAGTCGTGTATGAAGCCATTGAGATGGCAAGGATGGAGGTTGGAGTGGTTGACGCTTTTCTAGCACCGAGGCGAACTGTTGGTTGCTGAAAGAACGTGCGCAGGAAGTGTCGTAACCTGGACATGGCTTTAATAAGGCATTGGGGAAAGATTCCTAGGGAGCAAAGGGACATATAGAGCAGCTGTGGGTGTTCTCGCAGAAAACATCATGTCTCCAGAAGCAAGTATGCTATTGGTGGCCGGGCGGGCCGGGCAGAGCAATGGGCCAACGAGCACTCAAGCAGCGTAAACTCCGTTCACATACTAACCGACCTTCAGTCGGGTTTACGGCGACTAGTATATAGCTATGTCCCGACAAATTGCGAGGAACCGCCTAGGCTGCGCAGGCCGCGTCTATTGTGGCATTAAAATTCACCCGTGTCGCATGATGGCGGTGCCCTATTACATTGCCCGGCTTACTTGCCTGCCCATCCCGGGTTACCTAGTCTGCGCGTCACCATGTACAAGCTGTACGTTTGCACCCGTCACCTTTTGTTTTGGTGGAGTTATCGGACATAAAGTGCGGCTCCGGCGCTGATAGCCTAGAATCAGCATCGGAGCTCCCTATCCTTTCGCCGACTCGCCGTCCACCCGACCTTTTGACCTACGGGCTGCATTTTGCCATACGCGGAGCGGAGTGCTGGAAAAGTCCGGCCTGTCGCTGGACAGAAATCGCTAAGAATGGGGTTATTGCTCCTCTGCATCAAGTTGGAGGCGCAAGTTGGCGGCGGCCCTTGAAACGCGGGAAAACGATTCACCCGTGGATGGGTCGGATCGGGTTGGGCGCCCACTGGCGATAACACCGCGCGAAAGTGTGCATAGTTAGAACAGCCAATACAAAATCATATACCTGGGACTGCGCTAGTCTTCCCAAACCGTCATTATCCGTCATCATGGTATCTGAGAAACAACACCCAAAGCAGAACAGGAACAAAACGCGCACCCGAACGCTCAGCAAACTGACAAGGGACTGTCCTCCTCCAGGACGTCCACCGAGCCGCCCATGAACTTGTAAAGCACCTCACATATCCATGCTCCGGGTATCATCCCTAGTCCCACTGCCGCTGCCCAATTCATCCTCCAATTCGTTGGTGACAAAATCTTCGTACTCTTCCAAGTTCTTCTGCACATGTATCTTGAACTTGATCACGTCGTTGAGCATCCGGTCAATCTCCGTGTGGAGCTCCTCTCTCAAGGAGTTGGCACGAAGCACAAGCTGCTCATACCTGCAATACATTATCAGTTGTGTCCACAATGATCTCTTTGATTAACGGCACTTACTCGATGCTGGTGTTCATCTCTCGCTGTTCCATGAGTTGCACTGATTCGGATAACGAAGCCCGCATCTTTGCAAGCTCCTTTTCCATCTTCTCGATTTGGGCGTCGGAAGCCATCTTTTGCGCCGTTGTGACCTGTTATGCAAAGTCAGCCGCCATTCATGTGCTTTCGTCGTGATACATGAACTTACCTCTTTGGTCTTCTCATACTCTTCCTCGGCAGCACGAACTCGATGTTCGAGCGCTTCGACCTCGTTTCGTTTGTCCTCGATGGCCTCCTTGATGCCGTCAAGCAGGTCATGATCCTTCATCATCATGTCCATCGCAATGCTTCTCCGCTCAGAGATCTCTTTCCTCAGCGCGAGGAAGCTGTTCTTCACCTGTCCTCGCAGGTCGAGGTTGAGAATGTGCGCAGGCTGGTACCCAGTCACGGGGTCGGCGAGCAACCTATCCGAAGACGAAGCTCCGCTGGAGCCCTTGAGTTGAGACGAGCTAAAGTCTGGCCCGTCCTTGACTGTGACTTGCAGTTCGTAGTCCTTGCCCTTGGCGTTGACAGCCGTCGCTGGGATGAGGGCAATTTGATACGCGAGAGTGTTGTACTTGTCAACCATTCGCTCCAGCTCGTCCAGCTTCCTGCTTGCATCCATCTCCTTGTCTGCTACCTTCTTCTTGACCTCTTCTAGCCTCTGCACCGCCGACTCGATGCCTTTCTGCAGACGCTCTCGTTCAGCAGTCATGCGGTCGATATCCTGCATGCTGATACCCAGATCGTCCACAGCTTTTTGCAAGCCTCGGCGCTCGCCCTCGACTTCCTTCAGCTCTTGCATGAGCTTGTCCAGCTCCTCCTGCAAGACCTGTATGCGGTTTTCGTATTTGTCTGACCTTTGCATGGCGAGAGCATTGTACTCCTCGAATTTGACCTTGTCTTCTTCCATGATCCTGAAGTGGTTATCGAGGACTGCAGGATCAGGGGTTGATTTCTCGAGGTCTTCTATTTCTCGCAGTAGTCGGCTGTTCTCTGCCTCAAGCATTTCAAGCTCGGAAGTGTACTTGGAATTGGACTGCTCGAAGGCCTGGGCCATCCGCTCCACATGTGGCGCCAGCACTCGATTAGCGTCCTCGTCGTCCGCATCCTCGTCCATGGAAAGCCAATCCCTGTACGCTTTGCTGAGGAAGTCAAAGATAATATGATCTCCAGTGACGTCGATACCGCTCTCTAGGCAGGCGTCGTCGTACCGATTGCAGGCGTAGCCATCGAGCATTTGCGCCAGTTGCATCATCCAATGCAAAAGGCCCAGGAAGGTGCTCCAATTCTGGCCACCGACGGCCGCAATTTGGCTCTTTGTGATGCTTCGCTCGTAGGGATACCGCAGTTGTTTCAGGATGGGCGGTACCTCTTGGTCGATGTTCTTTTGAAACTTGTGGCTTGGGTCGATACGGCGGTACAGCCACTGGAACATGAAGTTGAAATCCTTCTGTGTTGGAGATTTGATAATGTTCTGGGATAGCACGTGCTTCATCTGCATCTCGAAATTGTTCTGGGCAAGGTAGTCCAGCAGCTCCTGACCGATCCTGGCCTGGTACGACCTGTCCTTTAGAGGGCGGGGGTCTCGCGGTACGCCGGCGGGCTGGGGTGCTTGTTGGAAAAACGACTGATGGCTCATGGGGCCGTTTGTTGAAGGTCTCGCGCGGTATACACTGCTCCTCCTGTCTGCGTCCGTGGAGGCGCGTCCCGGGGCCGGTGTCGGCGCGAAAGACTTGTCGCGGATCGACGTTCGCTTGACAGAAGAAAGGCCCATTTCCGCCAAGTTGGTTCCAGAAGAGGAGCGCTGGAACATTGGTTGGCTCGGTCGTGATAGGGCCAAAGACTGTCTGGAGCCCGACACGGAGCGAGCATGGCTATTCGAGAAGGGCGCACCTGCGCCTGAATTCGATCGCTTCATTGCGGATGCGGGTTGGGGTAAGCCTGAGTTGTAGTTGATGCCTCCTAAGGTCTATGCATCATGTTAGAGGGCAGCTTAGGAACGAGAAGTATCGCTGCGAGGAGCTTCTCTACAGAGTGTGACTGACACATACCTCTCTTGGTCTGCGCACACTCCACAGTCCGGTGTCTTGCGACATGGTGGGATGGCGCGGAACGGCTATGATCAAGGGGTCGAATGGCGGCCGACCGACTTGCGACACGACTTGCGATGCTCCAAGCGTTGCGCCGAAGTCGTCGAGCAGAGAATACGTTTGCGCGACAGCTTTGCTTTCGCGGCGCGTGGTTTCGAGGTGTGAGGGTGGGAAGGGAAAGCCGTTGCAGAAGTCGTCGGTCGGTGTTGTTGCCCTGGGGGAAGTAAACAAAATGCTCTACTCGATTCTGATTGGCTGCAAGAGGCACCTCTCAAACAATAAGGCAGGCGCCAGGGCCACCACTTTTTTTTTTTTTTTTTTTTTGTTAAATGATGCCCAACACGTGAGGCTTCCCTCGTTTATCGGGTGTTTCCTTAGCACCTTTAGATACATAAGCCTACCTTAGTCACGTCGGCTGCATCTGACTGACGGGGTGTTTCCCTGCAGGGGCCACCCCAGACTAACGGGTTCCCCAGCCGCGCTGAACTGCGCCGAAGCCTCGGTTCAAAACCCGGCCCCCCGTATTACGTATCTGTCGCCAGCTGCGCTGCAGACTTCCCACGGCTTCTTCTCAGGAACACATGTGCCATCTGTCTCTGTCGCACCCATCACACGACACCTCCTCGACTGGGTGATGTGGCGAGGCTGGTAAGGCAACAATAACAACCATGGCGATTCGAGAGGATATCGTCGCGTCGGCGGTACGCTGGGCCTGATTCCATTGCTTCCTCTGTTGATTGCTAACTGAAGGTAGACGCAATGTCAGTACCCGAACCGAGCCTATGGACTGCGACTCATCAGACTAATAAACCCGTAGTTCTCCAGGACCCAAGTGTCGCGAGCTCGTCCATTGATAATCGCGTGGCCTTCCTGCGAACCAAGAACCTTACACAAGAGGAGATCGATGCCGCTCTTGCCAGAGTTGGCGCGCAACCGGCCCCAACTGCCGCCCCAACTCCGATGCCGGTCGCCCAGCAGCAACCACCGCAACAGTACTATCAATCATATCCTCCTCAGTATGCAGCATGGCAACCGCCCCCACCGCCTCCCAAGAGAGACTGGAGAGACTGGTTTATCATGGCGACCGTCGTCGGAGGCGTTGGCTACGGCGCGTATGCTCTGGCCAAGGTATGAACTGTGTAGAGACGCGTCCAACATGTGGCAACTAACGAACCCAGCGATATGTTTATCCGATGATCGCTCCCCCAACCCCCGAGAAGCTCGAGCAAGACAAGAAGTCCATTGAGGAGCAATTCGACAAAGCATTCGGATTGGTTGAGCAGCTGGCCAAAGACACTGAAGCTCTCAAGGAGGCGGAGAAGGAGCGGACAGAGAAGCTCGATACAGCGCTCACGGAACTTGAGTCTGTGGTCAAGGAGCTTCGGTCTGCAAACGCGCGAAGGGAGTCGGAAGCACAGCGCATCAAGGACGATGTCCAAGTTCTCAAGGCTTCGATCCCTAAGGCCATGGAAACGCAAAAGGATACTACCGATAACAGACTCAAGGAGGTTAATTCAGAACTCACCAGTCTGAAGACATTGATCACCCAGAGAATGTCGGCCGCTGCATCACCCCCGAGCACGAATGGATTGCGAAATGGCGGAAGTGCTGCGCCCGTAGCTTCTGTTGCTGGCACCACTGGGGCTGCCGGCAACGGAAGCCAGGGCGGGGACAAGGAGGCGGTGAGCACTGTCGAAACACCAAAGACCACGGCAACACCCAGTTTCAACCGACCCTCTCCGCTCAGCGGCAAGCCTGGTGGAAAGGCCTCGATCCCGGCATGGCAGATGGCCATGGCCAACAAGGACTCTGCGGCGGCGTCGTCGACGACAACAAACGGCGCTGAGTCTGCTGGGGGTAGCTCGCAACAAGAGGCCACGAGCTCGTGACGGAAGTTGTCGTAGTTTCGATGTTCTTTTCTCTTTTGTACAGTAATCAGGTTCGTGCAAGGGAGCCATTGTAGTCATGGGCTTGCATAAGCCGGCATCTATCAATCCAATTCAAGATACAATGTCAAAATGGTGTGCCAGAGTGTTTGATATTTTACTAGTGCCGTTTGCCTGGCTCTCGTGCCACGCGCGAAAGCTATCCGACAACCATCCTAGCTGACCGCGACGACAGGCAAGTAGCCGGCGGCGAGTCGGAAGGGAGCGGCGCTTGACGTGTTTCATGCGGGCTCAGTGTCATTGAGTTGCAGCCTGTGGGCGGCCAGCACCAGCAAGCAGAGTTTCGTGGGGAAGGTTCGTGTAGGGGGGGTGATGTCGAAAGGGCTGTTTGCGGGCGCCGGGTCAACTCCGTGCCTTGAACCCCCGGAAGGACAAGGCGAGCCAGCCCAGCAGGTACAATGAGCTTGAGATGTTGGCCCGGATCAGTTGGAGTTGAGGGTTTGGCAATGTCCATGCCCTCAAAATAAGCGACACGATAGGCAAAGTCGTACATGGCACAACAGAGGCGCGGAGCCCTCAACCGGCGATTGGCAGAGTCGTATTGTTCAGATCGACCGTTTCATGGCCGGGTTGTGGTGTGTGTGAGGGGGCATGGGCGAGGGGTTGTCCCGCAATTGGTAGTTGCCGGGAATAAGGCGAGCGGCAAATAGCTCAGCCCAGTGTGGTCAAGTATCTGTCGATTTCGCAAGTGATTCTGAAATGGGGTGGCGTGGGCCGACGTAGGTAACTGCAGGTTGCACGAGGTGCTAGGTAGGCCACATGTCTGTCACTGTGCTGGGTGTGCTGTGCTGTGTTGCGCTGTGCTTTGCGATATTGCCAGAGCCGCAGTGTTGGGTGCATTTCTTATTTCTCTAAGTGGACGGGCCAAGGGTGCATTTTCGTAAATTCTCCTTGATTCGGCAATGGGTGCAGATCACTCTTATGCTCAGCTAACAAAAGCTCTGTTGCATGAGCTGAGGTGAAGGGTGGCTTGAGATGAAGAAAAGATGCCAATGTGCCAATGTCTGATACCTTACCTTAGGTAGCGTATGATATCTTCTAAGGAAGGAAAGGCACCACGGCACTTGACATGCCCACCTGGTGCTTTCTGTTGATCCCACGTTCTAGAAGCAATGGAGCCGATGATTTGTCGGTTCGGCAGGTCCAGGCCGCAGCAGAGCCAACAGTCTGGTGTCGAGCGTCTCCATCCGCAACCATTTCCTATTTCGACCGATGTTGCGGCCCTGTCCCGGACGCTACGGAGCGCCCTGCTGATGACCAATGATGGTGGTGCCTTGTCATCTGGTCGTGGGGAGAAACATGCCACCTGCAGGGCCCATCCCCGCGATCCATCTGCCATCTCAATCGTGATTCCGCCTGAAGCTTGAAGCTCTTGCCTCTCGAGTCTCGAGAGACGCTGGCTCTTTCCACCATGCTCAATACGAATACCGCAACGCGCTCCCGTTGGCCACTCAGATCGCAGGACCGTCCTTCTTCATCGGCGACTTCTCATTGGGTTCGCCACGGCACGAATTGCTCCGACGGGCTCTCGGGGCTTTGCAATCGTCCTTTCTTGTCCTCTTTTGCAGATGTCACTTCATTTACTAGCCACGATGATGAGGAACATTTTATCTCCAAACCTGGTGCCGTCTTCCATAACACCGATATACTTCAACAGAGGATGCAAGGATTTTGACAAGGGAACTAGCGTTTGGTCAAGTGGACTACTGCATCTAAGGCACCTCGTACTGCACGAACGTCTGGCGGCCACAAGCGATTCGTCAATCTAGGTAGGCACCTTACCCAGCCTTCAGCCCATCAACAACAACCGAGGCTCCTTGCCAAGCAGCATGTCATAGGCTCTCCCACGATTTGTCTCATTCTCACCACATTAATCAACCCCCCTGCACCTACAGGCCTACAAGTCATCATCTCGCAAGGTAGTCTTCCTTCATCTTCAACAATTCCTTTCTGCTCTGTTACGCGGGGCTGTCAGTATCCGCCAGCGTTGCATTTTCTCATCCCCATTCATCGTCGTTCGTCCCAGTCTACAAGGACGTCCCCCCCCGCCCCAGTAAACGGCTACTCTTCCCGGCCACACGCAAACTTGCTACGCAGTAGCTCGTCTTCTCTCCTCATCTGCTTCCTCGTCTCCGTCCTCCCACTCCTCCACTCCACATCCTTGCTTCTGGATACCTTCCTCGAACGGGACCATCAGTCGGTGTACAACGCATGCAGATCAGGCTCTTTCGTCCAGGGACCGCAGTTAATCCCCTCTCATCTGAACTTTTTGTCGACCACGAGCCCTTGACCGTTGCGACTCTTTCTCAACGGGTAGCAGCCTGTTCTTCCAGGGTACCGTATTATTAGAGTGTTTCAACCACGTCAGGCATAGCACGCGGCTTGGCTCAAGTTCAACACCTGTCTGCTTCACCTCACAACTCATATTAGAAGCCCTCTTCCACTATCCTCTCGACTTGAACAATGACTACTTCTGCCGATTTCAACAGTCCTTCTTCCTCTTCTTCATCGGGCTTCCCAAATCCACTCGATATGGACCCTGCGCAGTTCAAGTTATTGCTCTCACTTCTGCCAAAGGTGCCCCTGATAACACGGGTGGCCCTGCTTCACGTCCTACATCTATCGAAGCCCGCCAGATACCTCGATTTAAGGAGTGAGCTCATTGTCGCTGTCCTCCGCTCGTATCTCATGGCCAGCAAACCGCGATCCATCACATCATCCCAAAAGCTTGCAAATCGGGATAATGGCGTCAAGGGTAGAATATGGGTTTCAACTTATGCCAGTCCTGCTTCCTCCGAGACGGACGTCCGCGACGCGGTTGTAGGCACGATACAATCGCTCCGAACACCGGGCACGCCAGAAATCAATCTTAGACTGCCAGACCTTGTGCCTGTTGAGGCTGAATGGACCGGCTACCGTGCCGGCGCCACTTCCGAATCGAAACCGCCGGCAATCGGAGAAAAAGAGAAGTTCGATGAACTGATGAGAGAGGTCACAAACCCTCTGACCGTCTTGTATCTTCACGGAGGAGCGTACTATCTTTGCGATCCAGCGACTCATCGACCTGCCACCAAGAAAATAGCCAAGCTGACGGGCGGGCGTCTTTACTCTGTCCGCTACCGGCTGGCTCCGCAGCATCCCTTCCCTGCAGCCCTAATGGATGCTCTTGTCTCTTACTTGACGTTGTTGTATCCTCCACCCGATGCCTATCATGAGGGAGTTGAGCCGAAGCACATCGTCGTAGCCGGTGACAGGTGAGTCGTCATTATGAACCAAATCGAGACATCGGCACTGACAAATTGGCAGCGCAGGGGGTAATTTGAGCTTAGCCTTGCTGCAGCTGCTGCTGGAGTTGCGCAGGCAGAAGCGGAAGATACAATGGCTTGGGGAGGAACGCGAAATACCACTGCCCAGCGGTTTGGCCCTCAACTCGCCATGGATGGATATCACGCAAAGCTCCCCGAGCTGGGAATCCAACTGGGAGTTTGACTACCTGCCAAAGGCCTCCGTATATGCCGAGTACAACCCACCGCCGTGCGAAGCCTGGCCAGCAAAACCCCCACGCGCTAGCATTTATGCCGATGACGATCTCATCGCGCACCCGCTCGTGACTCTCGTCATGAACAAGAGCTGGACAGGTTCGCCGCCTGTCTTCATTTGCACGGGGTGGGAGCTGTTAGCGGACGAGGACAGGTACATGGCGCGCAAGCTGAGAGAAGACGGCGTGCCCGTGGTATTCGAAGAGTATGAGGGAATGCCACACTGCTTTGCCCTGATCTTGGCCAAGATTCCCAACGCTAAGCGTTGCTTTGAGGGTTGGACTGGTTTCATGAAGACGGTTACCAGCAATCCGGAGAGCATATCGTCCAAGGCAACCACTGTCAAGGCCAAGTCATTGGAGGAAGTTCCTCGCGAGTTCGTGTCGCTCAGCACGCTGAGTGACGAGGAGATACAAAAGAGAGTCCTTCAAAAGAAAGACGAGAGCTTGAACTCTACACCGGAGGCAGTCCCAAAACTGTAACCGGCCAAAACCGGGGGCGAGAGCAGCAAGGGATTGAGGCATCGAAGCGGCCCCATGATTTCTGGCTGTTCAACGTAAGGTATCTACATCACTCATATCATGTAATTATTTACGAAAACATATGTAAAGAAGGTCGGGCAAGCGGATATTGAGCCGCATGAAAAGGGCCGCGCGTCGAAACAGATATGAAGAAATATAGTTGCTTAATTGGAATAACACAGAGGTAGAGGACATAAGCAGATTGCCCTGCTGCGTTCATACAAATTCCCCGATATGCAGGGGCATAGCGACCACTGTGCTTCGGGGCGCTTTGACTTAACCGGGCTCTCTTCCGGGCTAACAAGCTACGAATGCCTACCTTACTATGCGGTACGTTGCCTACCTAGGTAGGTAGGTATCTTAACATATGGATCTCACTATTGTGTTACTTCGCAAGGTATCCGTACTTCACCCTCTATAAGGTAGCCCTGGAGGTGCATTGGTGTACCGACATACCCCTGTCAGAACCTTGATTTTACCTCAGGTTCCCTACCTACCGGGCTCACCTACTCCAACGTGGCACTGCGCGGGCATTTGGGGTAAAAAAAAAATCTCACCCTGTAGCTCTACGGAAATCGCGACCTCACCTGCCGATTGTCGACTATCGACCATGGAGCGCCACAAGAAGACTGTCTCCAAAATTGCTGCTGCAGTGCGGTCGTTCTTCGACCGGAAGGAGCCCTACCGCATCTTCCACGGCTCGACCAACAGCACCCGTCCCTTCCGCCGAGATCGCTTCGTTGATATCAGCGCCCTCGGCAATGTTCTCGAGGTCAACAAAGCCGCGCGCACCGCCCTGGTCGAGCCCAATGTCCCCATGGACCGCCTTGTTGAGAGCACCCTTCGTCACGGCCTGATCCCCCCCGTCGTTATGGAGTTTCCCGGCATCACGGCCGGAGGAGGCTATGCCGGTACCGCAGGCGAGAGCTCGAGCTTCAAGCATGGCTTCTTCGATGATACCATCAATGAGGTCGAGCTTGTACTGGCAAACGGCGAGGTCGTCCGCGCCAGCCGCCATGAGAGATCCGACCTCTTCCGGGGCGCCGCTGGCGCCGTCGGCACTCTAGGTGTCACCACCATGATTGAGCTTCAACTGATCGAGGCCAAGAAGTACGTGAAGACGACGTACCACCGCACTCACAGCGTCGCCGAGGCTGTCGAGACGGTTCAGGCCGAGACGATGAACCCGGAAAACGACTACGTTGATGGCATCCTTTTCTCCAAGGACCACGGCGTCATCATCACCGGCAAGCTGACGGACGATATTCCCGCTGACAGCAAGCCTCAGACTTTCAGCGGCGCCTGGGATCCCTGGTTCTATCTTCACGTCAAAGACCGAACCATTGGCGCCTCTTCCGGTGCCATCGAAGGCACTGCCCCTGTCATCGATTTCGTCCCCTTGGCCGAATATCTATTCCGCTATGACCGAGCTGGCTTCTGGGTCGGCGCTGCTGCCTTTGATTACTTCAAGTACGTGCCGTTCACGCGCTTCACCCGTTGGTTTCTCGACGACTTTCTTCACACGCGTATGCTCTATCGTGCGCTGCACGGGAGTGGCGAGTCGGCACGCTTCGTCGTTCAGGACCTCGCGCTCCCCTACAAAAACGCCGAGCGCTTCGTGGACTACACTGCCGAAAACTTCAACATCTGGCCGCTGTGGCTTTGCCCCTTGAAGCAGACGGCACCGCCAACCTTTCACCCGCACACGGGCGAGATTGAGACCCGACCGGCAGCCGGTAGCAGCTCGAGCAGTGTCACTACCGCGCCCAAACCGATGCTCAACATCGGTCTATGGGGCTGGGGCCCTGCGAACCCTGATGAGTTCGTGGCTAAGAACCGCGCGCTCGAGCATAAGCTGCGCGAGCTCGGCGGGATGAAGTGGCTATACGCGCACACATACTACACCGAGGACGAATTCTGGCAGGCCTATGATCGTGAGTGGTATGACGAACTTCGTGTCAAGTATGGCGCTACGACCCTACCAACGGTCTACAACAAGGTCAAGGTTGATGTCGATGCCCGGAAAGAGGAGCTTAAGAACTGGCGCCAAGTTGTAAAGTCGAAGCCGCCCATCGGCGGCCTTTATGGTATCTGGAAAGCTATCCAGAGTAAGGATTACCACCTGCATCGCCACGCAGAGTGGAAGTACAGGCGTGAGCAGTAGGCAAGTTCAACCGGGCGAACTTGGCATTGGAGTACATCATGTTTGGAAACGAACGACTGAGCATACGAACAATTGAATGAGATTGTGCTCTTTGTGACATGTACCGATGTGGTAGTGGCATCTCTGGCGGCTTTGCCGCTAGATGAAAACATCAAAAGTGGACAGACAAGAAGAAGCATTGTAGGCGCATGGGACGCGGTAATACAGGCGCGAATTCATGGTTGCAAGATTTTCAGGCTGTTACTCTGGAGGACTTCATTAACATGAAAAGCCGTTTCAATTCATTCATATCTCTCTTTTGCCCTGGCCTCATCATTTCGATGCTCGAATAACCCCATCTGGCCCGGTATATACAATCACTATTACGAGAGACATCCTCGCGACATGATCCCCGTATCTAGGTTCACATCCATCGCGACCCGTAGCGCCTCTGCTCCTCCTCTCAGATTAACTACCTCATGCTGGCTTATGCTTTTTGCAGCAGTGATGTCGCAAGACCTATGCATCCGCCTCTATCCGTGCGCAAGTCCAAGATCGAAAAAGAAAATGTGCATCTGTTCGCAATTGCGATACAGCTTATGCCTTGACGCTGTAGGATCGCTTGAACATCTCGTCAATGTGCTCGAGGTAGTAGGTACCGGGGGCGATGGTGGAAGCATCACCTTTGGGTGCGTAGCCCTTCTGGAGGTGAGCCTGTTTGCGAAGGTCGCACATCTAGTTCATATGTTAGCTGCTCATCCAATTTCGTACCCTGGAGAGGTATCGTATCTTACAGAATCGTAGGTCTCAGGAGCCACCTTGCGGCGGGCCTCCAGTCTTGCGGGGATATCAAGGACCTTGGCGAGAGGAGTCACATCTCCATTGATGCGGAAAGACAAAAAGGAGGCAGCGAGGCCGGAGCCGTAGCTAAAGACACCGATGCGCTTTCCGCTGAGGGTGGCGGCATCAACATGAGACAGCAAGCTAGCGACACCGCCCCAGACGCTGCCGCAGTACATGTTGCCGCAGAGGGTGGCGACCTGGATGCTGGGGTTCACTCTCTCCTGGAACTTCTTCTTGGTGAGCGCCATGAAAGTCTTCTCAACGACCTTGTCTGTCAGAGACTTCTCGTAGTCCATATCACGCAACTCGGGAGCGACCTCAGCGAAGACGGAGCTGTCGGCATCGGCAAGGTAGTCGTGGTATAGCAGACGAGCGTACGACTTTTGAACCAGCTTGCAAGTGGGGGCGTGGAAAGCAAGGTAATCGAATCGGTCCAGGCCCGCCTTGGGGGCAGCGTCGCCGTTGGACAGCTTGGCCTCGCGCTTGTTGTACTCGCGGTAGGCAGCGTCCAGGGCCTTGGTGTAGCAGTTGACCGAGTAGTGGCCGTCGACGTAAGGGTACTCGCTGGTCAGGTCGGGCTTGTAGAAGTCGTAGGCGTGCTGCATGTAGGTGCCGCGCAGGCCAGGCTCCAAAACCACGGGCGCGTTAGGACCGACGAGCATGGCAACGGCACCAGCACCGCCCGTAGGGCGGGCATTTCCCTTAGCGTAAAGGGCGATGTCACCGGCGACAACGATAGCATCGCGACCGTCCCAGGCAGATGACTCGATCCAATTAACAGTGTTGAAAAAAGCGTTCGTTCCTCCGTAGCAGGCGTTCACGGTGTCAACACCTTCAATGTTGGTGTTGTCGCCAAAGAGCTGCATGAGCACGGTCTTGACCGACTTGGACTTGTCCAGAATGGTCTCAGTACCGACCTCGAGGCGACCGATGGAGTTGGGGTCGACATTGTACTTCTTCAGGAGGTTGGAGGTGACGGTCAGAGCGAAAGAGTAGATATCTGCAAGATGGGAGAGTTAAAACCGAACTTGTGCGAAAACAGGACTATGATAGTTCGGCGTACCCTCACGGTCGTCGCAGAAAGCCATCTTGGTCTGGCCAAGGCCGATAGTGTACTTGCCGGCGCTGACGCCATCGAAAGTCTCAAGCTCAGATTGCTCGACATACTGGTTGTTAAGGGCAGAGTATTAGCGAGCAATTGCTCCTTGAGGCGGAAAATCACACAAAAGGGCTTCGAGGGTAGCGACGCAGGCGAGCAAGGAGAGGGGTAATCAGCGAGTGGTGAAGGGTGGGTTGCGATTTCGGCGGGGTAGAGAGTGGTTTTTTTTCCCGGGGTGACTGAGAGCTTTCTGTGTCTAGCAACTTACCTGGCTGGGGAAGTAGATCTCAATGGCCTTGATGCCAACGTTCTGAGGGCGGGAAGCCATTTTGGAGAGCGATTCAATTGGGCTGAAGAACGGGGAGAGGAGAAAGATTGCGGAGGATTGGAATGGTCTGTCAGGTTGTAGAGTTAGCCAGGAGCTCTCTCTGTTTTTGAACTCGACGGGCTTTCACCGCCGTTTCAACAAAACGACAGAGCAGTCGCAGAGGTGCCCAACATGCAGAAAGAGAGAGCCAGGGTTCAGCACTCCAGCAACATGTGGTTGCTGGGGTGGTCGAGGTTGAGAGAGGGGGAGGGGCAGCGAGACCCAACGCACCTATTGGTAGGGAAGGCGGGTTTGTTTGCTTGAGGGCGGATGAATTGCGCAAACTTTGGAGGTGGATGCGGAGAAGGAGGATGAAGAGGGTAGAGAGGAGGAGTAGCAGGTGGCAGTCGGAGAGTACAAGTAGGATTTTTTTCGGGGGGAAAGAGAGGGAAAAAGGTGTGCCTAGAGACGAGACGAGACGGAGAGAAGTGTCGAGACCGAGACGAGGGGCGTTTACGGATATGATTTTTTTTATTTTAATTTTCCACAGCTCTGCAGATGATAGGAGACTAACAGCGGGAGGCAAAGGCAGAGAGGGGAGTGTTTTAATATTAATCCCCACTGACGTAGCAACACACCACGGCGGTGCAATGGGCGTCGAGTAAGGTATCCATCCATCAATGGATAGCACTACACTTGGATGGGACAGGACAGGACAGGATAGGACACCCAGGATGGGGATGGGATGGGATGGGATGGGATGGGATGGGATGGGATGGGAGGGAATGGAATGGATTGGGACGGGACGGGGACGGGGACGGGGCATTAAAGAACGACAAGGTACATACATAGACAGCTACGCAGTCGAGGCAGAGCAGAGCGGGACGGGTAAAGCTTGAGGAAGACTTGCTCAATGCAGAGGCAGATGCAGGTTCCGATGCCTGGCCTGATGAAGGAAGGAGGAAAGCAAGAACAAAATTAAAAATTAAAAATTAAAAACGAAAAACGAAAATCAGGGGACCAACAGCACCAGTGACGGGTGTGCATGTGTAACGGACGAGGTGAGGAGGGGAGTGTGCGCGGATGATGGAGGCAAACTATACCTACCAGTCCAATTCTAACCAGTCCAGTAATAAAGCCATCCCCTATCAGTCTCAAAGGCGCGAAAGCTAGCGTCCAGCGACGGACCGCTTCAATAATGGCGTGACCTTCCCCCTCTGTTGTATCCATGAGAAGCTCTACGAAGGCGCAACTTGAGCTACAGCTAGCCTTCCATGTCCTCCAGGTCTTGTCCGTCCGGAGCCGGCATTCGTATTGTAAGGTACGGAGCCTTCTCATGTCTGTTGGGCAGCGGACACAGGACGCCTGTTATGCTACGGTTCGAATCATGCGAGGTTTTTCTACCCTTCTCTTTCTCTGCGTCAGAAGTAATCCCTCGGCCTTGACCTCGACCTCGACCTCTACCTCGCTCGTTCTTGGCCCGATACGGGCACCTGCTTGCCAAGGTATCTTCTGTCATGCCGCCGCAACATGGCGGGACATGGCTGCCAGAGCTGAGGGCGGGTTCGCAGAATACGCAGTACAAGTAAAAATAAAGACGACGTGCTGTGTCCTCCCTCAACTGGCCGGTGCATCGGACCCGGAGGATCACAGGCCCCCCTCCCTGCTCGGCTGGTTACCCTTGCCTTTGTGACCAATCTGGCGGTGGTTTGCCATGCCAACACTGCATCCATCATGACAGATACAGAGCATTCCTTGCCAACTGTCATCGTGTCTTGCCCTGCAACCCTTGCCCAGGGCAGACCCGAAGGTAGGGTAACGATGAAGTTAGGTGTTGCATAGGTAGGTAAGGTAGGAGATACTAGGTAGGTGGTGGTGAGGTTGAGCTGCTGCGGGCCGTGAGTTCAGGCAGGGTGCGGGTGCGCTGCGGGTGCGGCAGCGGTAGCGGTAGGTGCAGAGAACTTTCTACGACGGAGAGAGGTGTGTCTTGTTGAAAAAGTACAAGTGGTTGGAAGCAATGTGTGTTTGTGTCTGTTTGCTTTGTGTGTGCCGCAATACGCACCTGCACCTGTATCTGTACACGTCTTTTGTTGGTGGGGGGATGGGGTGGAGGGGTGGGCAAGATGGACGGGAAATCCACGTCCCCTCCCTCCTTCACCACCAAGTTTGAGCCCTCAAAACACATAAGGCGCTCAACGTTGAATACCCTGCCACCCTGCTCCGCCTGCCCGCCTCGAGACTTGATGAGGGGACCTACTGCGTATGTACGGCGTAAAGATGTGAAAGTCACAGGTATCGGAACACCCCCAGTGGGGTCGTTTCGGGAACAATGAGTGGGACCTGCGAGAAGTGAATACTGAAGTACACTACCTTACCTACCTTAGGTACCTTATCAATCAGTAATCCACCTGAGTGGGCGGGTTAGATCATGCCCGGGTACACTAACACTACCTACCTAAGGTAAAGTACCTTGGGTAGGTAGGTATAGGTAGGTATACTACCTAGGTAGTCACTGAAGATGCGATGCGATGCGATGCGATGCCCACGCTCTTCTTCAAGCTCAAACAGACAGGATTTTGCGCCCCTCCCATCCGGCTCGTCGGTCCCGGCTGCGGTCTTGGGTACCCGTACGTACGTGACAAATCTGCAGTTCTTCAACGAGTTTGTTTGCTTCTGTCTCTTTGATTACCTGGGATCGCAATTTGGCCTGCGCGAAAACGGGTAAGCGGATAAGGACACGGCGGCTGACCTTGGAAGCGAACGGTACTCACGCACACACCGGACTCGCCAAGGACGTCCAAAGGTACTTGATAACGTAGCAGGGCCTGTACATTGTGGGCGATGCTTGAGAAACTCTCATTCATGTTTCGGGTTGCGAACTTGAGGCTCCACTGGACAAGCCGTTCTCGCATCTTTTCCCCTCCCTCCCTCCTTCTTCTTCATCTCGGACGCCGGCGCCAGTGTGAAAAGAACAGAAAAAGACAAGGGGGGAAAAGACCGCACGAAACCCACACCAAGGCCGTAGCCCGCGGCTCGCATGGCTTGGCAGTTCCGAGTCTCTGTTTCGCTCGGGGCGTGGCGGCTTCGGCCTCGAACTCGAATGAGACTGAACAGCTTTCACAGTCATCTAGGCACTTATCCACAAACATACGCGGGACTCTTATTATGCGTCTTGACTGTGGCTGAGTCTTTCGCCTTGCCGAAACTACAAACCTTGCGCAGCTGACAACCTCAACTGCATCTTGCCTCGCCTTGGCTACCTTAGGTCATCATCGTTGTCGTCGTCGGGCAACGAGATGTCACCAAGGTCCTTCTGCTTCGGGGACTGTACGTAACAGAGTCGCCATTACTCCTTCTTAGCCGCCGCGCCACCCTTGTTCCCCACCTCTTCTGAATGGATCACCTCGACTTGAGCAAGTCGTCCTATTCACCACCACATCTGTTTCGATATCGAAGCCGCATCGGCCCTCCGAGAGGCGTGGGCTCTCCTCCTCCTCCTCAACCTCTTCTAATATCTGAGTCCTCCTCCGTCGACACTGATGCTCCGAGTCACCCACCCTGCAAAGCTCCCCCCCGTCTCGATGCATACTTGGTTATATTCCCTCAACGTCTACACCACATTGCTTGAGGTATTTTTTTTTATTTATTTTTTTGGCTTGCCCTTGACTAAGAAGTCGCCTTGGGTCTGCATTTGCCGTCACTCTTTGGCCAGGCTATGGTGTCATCCCAGCTTCACCCGCGTGTCTTGCTCGAAATCCGAGCTTCTTCGACCGAGTGTAACCAGACTCAAAATCCAGCAAAATTTTTCTCCTTGGCCTGTCGTCTCCGTCATCGCCATACCCGCACATCTCCGCGCTCGCATCGGCCCTCTGGCCCTGGCACATGGTTCAAAACCCCTCCTTTACGAACACAGGTTCCGGCTTCTCCCTTTCAGAGAGCATGAAAAACATGCCCTTCACCCCACGCTCACTGCCGTCTCAGCACAGGCAAAATATCGTCCAAAATCTGAACCGCCCTTCAAGTCCCCTAGGTCGCAACTCGGATTCAGCTGCACCTGCACTCCCCCCCCCCCCACACCCCCGACCTTCTTTTTCTCCTCTATTGTGCCCTTTCCGTCAATCGGACTTGCCTCGGGTGCCTTGATTGGCCCTTATCCGCAAAGACTGCGAAATCGAGGTTGCTCGTGGATATTCCGTTTCCTGAGGCACTATGCAGACTGCCGTCATGGTCAAGCTAGTAGGCTATTCGTCTTCCATATGCACTGGCTCACACATCTGAATGAGACACCCATCGTAGGGATTTCTTCCGGTTGGTCTATGTGAGCCGGTTTTCTAACCCAACCGAGAAAGAATTACAGCAGCCAAGTTAGTCCGATCACTGGACTAAGTTGACGAACCCAACCCAGCCCAGCGTCATCGTTCACTATGCCTAGCTTTTTTGGCCGGCCACAAGAACAACGTGGCGATAGACGCATTGTTATGGACATCATCGAACTCGAAAAGTTGGGTTTGATAGAAGGTGTCCTAGTGCGGTTTTCCGCAAAGCAGCTGCTTGAGATGCGCATTTACAAAGACGAGCGCAGTGACATGGATACGTAGTCATCTGTCGGAATTCCCCATTTACAAGTGAACAGTCCCAAACGCCGGTCAATGCACAATAAGCTCGTTCAAGTGCCAGCAATGTAACTCAAATCTCCACTGGGGTACCGTAGCCCGAGTCTCTCTTTCGGGTGGTCTCGTCACCTCCACCCTCGGTTTTCGCTCCATCAGTCAACGGGCCCGGCGGTTCTGTCACCTGTTCTTCCGCCTCGGCCGCCCCCTTCGCCGCTGCCGTCTCCGCAACCTCGGTAGTAGCATCCACATCGGAGCCGGAACCGGACTCCGAATCGCTTGAGGAGTCGGGGGAATTTTCCTTGTTTGGCTTGCTCCTCATCTTTTTCTTCTCAACGTTGCGTTTCTCCTTGCTCTCCTGCTTCCTACGCACCTTGTCAGCTTCCTTCTCCTCCGCCGACTCTTCCGACTTTTTCCCCTCTTCCTCTCTTTTCTTCTTCTCCTCTTCCTCCTTCTTCTCAGCTTCGGCCTGCCGCTTCTCCTCAGCGGCTTTTAATTCCTTCTCCTTCTTCTCCTTGCGCGTCTCCACAACCCATTCTGCAGCGCCTGCAACCGCGTTCTCGGCGCTACGCTTGTGCTTCATAAGGAACCCTTGAATCTCAGCTGGACTAAACTCGTGGGCAGGGATCTTTGTTGCGAAATCCCTCGATAGTTTGTCGACCTTGAACTTGATCTCAGCTGTACGCATGGCCTGTTGCTCGGCCAAAGCCTTCTCGTCTTCGGAGTCTTTGAGGCTCTGCATCTGCTGGGCGGCTTCGTTCTCGTCACCTTCGAGGGGAGCAAAGATGGCTCTGAATATGGACCCGATGATCTCCTCGTCGGCAAGTGTGAACTTTACCACAAGATCCACGCGACCAGGTCGAATGAGAGCCTTGTCGAGCTTCTCCACGTGATTTGTCGTCATGATCAGTACACGGCCCTCTTGACTTGCCACGCCATCCAATATGTTTAGCAAACCAGAGAGTGACAGCCTGCTCGAATTCGTTGTCGTTGTGGCGTTGCCCGGGGTGGTCTGTCCAGGTACCATGTCGCTAGACCCCTCCTTGGCATCGGAGTTTTCAGCCGTCGAGTCCTCCCTCGTGTGGGTAAGACCAGCAGTGTCAATGTCCTCGAGAAGAACTACACATCGGCGTGGCAACTCTGCGAAGAGTGTGGCAAGATTTTCCTCGTTGGCAGAGATGGAGTTCAGACTGACTATATAGATCCTCATCTTGAAGAATCCCGCCAGAGCAAGCGACAAAGACGACTTGCCGGTTCCAGGGGGCCCGGTCAATAGGTAACCGCGCCGCCAAGGGATTCCACGGTTCGAATACCACTTCCGGGTTGCGGGTGAGAGGTAATCGGCGACATCTTCCACGAGCTCTTGCTTCGTCTTTTCATTGAGAATAACAGTGGAAAAGGGTCGAGATGTGCGCGCCATGCACCGCTGCCATGAGGGCTCCGTCGTGCCGGCACGTGTACTACCGCGGTAGATCATTGTTTTTTGAGAATCCTTCTTGAGGTACTCGGTTCGAGCCTCCTGGAGCAACTCCTTAAGAATCCAGGGGTTACGGCCAAAGCAGGAAACACTGATTTCTTCGCGCTCGCTCACGACCAGGTAAGAGGCTTGTTGCTGGTTCTGGCTACGCTTGAAGAGTAGCAGGTGACCGCGGTACCAAAAGGTATGGCTACCAAAGCTGGGTGTGTAAGCCAGGGGCTTCTTCTTCGGGCCCGGCTCGCTTGACGCTTCCCCAGAATCGTTGTCCTCCTCGTCATCATCATCCCAGCGCCAAAGGAACCAGGACCGCGAGTTCAGGTTTGTGTTGACGACGAACCGCCGAGAGTTCTTGGCAAAGCGTTGGGCAGCGACCCAAGACATGAAAATGTTCTATCCGAGTTCAGCTTTCTTGGTCATGGAGTATGTCACCCATCACGACTGAATCTTTGACCCATACTTACGTAGATTTCATCGTCGGTGCGGACCTCGACTGTGGACATGAGATAGGTATCAATCTTCTCCCAAAGGTAATCGCTGAAGTAGCGCCATGCGAATGTTGCTCCACCGCAGAGGATAACCAGGGGTATGTAGACGTTGAGATCGATGCCTAGATACTTTTGGAAGGCGGTCGAGAAGACGCTGAACCCGGGGAAAAAGAAGTCCAGCAGTGCCATTTGAGGGGGCGCCTGAGCCGCGATGGACTCGGATGTATTCAAGGGGTCCGCGCAGGAGGCGGGTTGCGGGAAAGTTTCCATGATGTCTACGGGGTTTGAGGAATTGTTTTTGAGGGCCGGCTCTTGGAAATGAATGATTGCGGTGCTTCGAACGGCTTGTGTGTTTGGAGGCCAGTTAAGAGTTGTAAGTGATGTGGGACGGAGGGAGGGTTTTGAGAGAAAAGGGTGGGTGACACAGAACGAAGAGACCCGTGAATATGGTCAGGCTGCCTTGAGGTATATATCTCGCAGAGAAGGCAGCCATCCCGCCTTTCATTCTGTGTTCGTGACCGGAACCAGCCAGTCATGAACAGACATCTCCATGAAGGCGAGCATTTGCCTCTGTGGTTCCTACGGGCCAATCACATTGCCTAGACGATGAGGCCGCCAGGCACGATCCATCCACTTGAGTCACTCCGGAAGGGCTAGGGGCGGTGGGCCGCAGCGAGAGGACGCAACAGACATCTTTTGAAGATATTCTGTGAGGGCAAGAAGAAGCTAAGCAGCCGCAGCGAGCTGGCCGGTGCCTTCGCCAGGTTATGCTTCACAACTGCGTGTCCGAAGAGACTAGCTGTCCGCAGGTGGAACAAATGGACCATGTTTGGATTAGTCGAAGGAGTAAGAAGAGGAGCTGCACCTTGTCTGACTGCAAGACCCAGGAAAGTGTGAAAAGGATGACTGCATATCATCATGTGGGATGAATGGCATCTGACGTATCGGCAAAAGAATACTCGCGAAACCAACGAATGAGAAGACCCGACACCCGGTAAAGCCATTAGAGGCTGAGTCCTTTTGTGGTTCCCGATTCCTTCCTAACTACTCTATCAGAGGCTGGGGTTGACGGTGCGATGGTTGCCTGGAGATGGTGCGCCAGATGGAGCGCCCAAGTTGTGGCTGAGGACTCTGCGCTTAGCCACGCCATGCGCCAACGTTCTGTGCAGCGGGCTCTCCGAATGACGCATACCCACCTGTTCTTCCATTGGCTCGAGCTGTGTCCTACGACGTTAATGTACGGTCACTTCACGCGGCACCAGGCTTGGATGCAATGGTCTCAAGCAGCAATTCATCATCATATTAGCAACTATACGAACACATTCTTCGCTCACAGACTATCATAATCACGTTACTGCAATTACATATTGTAAGTTGTTTGGCCGTACCCGACCTCTCCTTGAAGGTTCTGTTCTTCCCTCCTGTGTTCTGGGTACGTGAAGGGGGGTCAAAGTTATAGGTGTGTCTCTCTTCGTACGCCGAGACCCAACAATCCGTCAAAAGAGCAGACCGCCTGAAACGCAACTAACCATTTTTCACTCATTCGAAGCAAAGTTTCGAAATGATGCAATCCGGAACCTTTCAATCACCAAGGCGTGTATTTGTGAGCGCCGCCGCCGTCGCCGCCGTTCAGAACGATGAAGGGAGCTTCGCCACCTGGGGCTGGCGGGTGTGCGGACGCTGGCGGGAAAGGAGGGTGAGGATGTGAGTGGAATTGCGGTTCTGTGCCATAATCTTCGTAACCGCTCTCAACATCGTCGTCGTCGTCGTCGTCGTCTTCGTAGCCATGGTAGTCGTGAAATGTGTGCTGAGGCGGCATGAAGGGTGGAGGCGGCGGCCCCGGTGGATGTGGGTGTTGCGGGAAGAGAGGTGGCGGGTGCATGGCGGGAGACGGTCCGAAGCGAGGCGGGGCTCTGGACCGGTGCTCCCTCCGAAGACGGCCAGACGAGCGACTACTTGTCCTGGACGCTATTTCGGAAATGCTGTCGTCGAATCTTGGGGTGACCCACGCGTAATGGGTGTAAGAGCAATCGCTGTAGATTGAAGCATCGTCCTGGTACAAGCCCCAAGTCTCGTCAATCTCGTGGACCTTGGTTCTTCGCAACGATAGAGGCTTCCCGAGCGGAGCGCCGGTGGTCCATTTCATGAAGGATACGGCCCAGTGATCACTCTTAATATTGGAGTGAGAGACCTGGGAAGATCTCGACTTTTTGGAACTCCCCGAGCGCAAGGATGAGGCCGAGGATGATCTCGAGGATGGCCGAGAGCTTCCCGACGAGCTCGAAGCCGATGAGTGGGGCATGCTGCCTGCACAGGATATGCCGAGCTTTGGGAATCTTCGTCCCAGCACCAACTTTTACTTTTGGGGGCAAGACCAAGAGCAAGAGAAGGAGCAGAATCACACGTAGAAGCGAGAGCGGGAGCGGGAGCGGGAGCAAGAGCAGCAGAGAGAAACCTCTGCAAGAGAGGGATGGGACGAAGGTGCGCCGGCAGGTAGTGACGCGAGAAGACAAGGCACCGGAGGCACCGTATGGGCAAAACCCTTACTAAGACGGGCTGAGTTTGCTGAACACCGAGCAAGAGACGAAGCAAGCAACAAGCAGCGGAACCCCGGGAAGAGCCCTCTCAAATACTCGTTGCATTCTTACTGCAGATAGAGGGGACGAGCGTGGCCGTGAGCAAATCCACTGCTGGTCGATGCTGCTCGCCTCATCTTGGTGCATGGCTCCGACGGGGGCAACGGCCCACATGTGTTGAAGTGCGTGATGCAAGTGCAAAAGCAAGGGGACTCGAGGTAATTTGTACCTCGTCATATCACGGCGACGAGAGATGTATTCGAGATCGAACCAGTGATATACCCAAGACTCGAGGGACTACGCTGCTGTGTGTGTCTCATGCGGGGTACAACACCCTCCCGTGAAAAGGCAGCCATTTCGCCCTACTTCCACGGCAGCCCTGCACATGTTTGACCAGTAAAGCTGTTTCGACAGAAGCTTTTGAGACAACTTAAAGTGCACACGAGTTACCTACCATGTGGAATGGCAGAATATCTGGGCAACACCGATCAAGATCTCATGAAGCGGCTACCCACGCCCAAGTTGCACGAGTGTTGACCCCTAGTTAGTTGTCCAAGTACGAGGCTGAAGGCGTCGCACATATATATACATATTAGAGGGGCCAGGGCAACATGACATTATACCTACTGCCTTTGTGTTGCTTTGTACGCCCTCGGAAAATCAGGGGAAACGGACATAAGGTAGTATACAATGCGTATCGAAGGTATATGGGCAGCGGAATCGCAGCCTGCGGCTGTTGCGACCTTCCAGCCTCCAATCTCCAGACTCAACTACCGGTAGACTACAGAGCAGAGCATTCGGAGTGAACATGAGGCTGCGAGCGCGAGAGCGGTAGCCGGCCAAAACCATTCGTCACTGGCGTTCGGTGAGCCAGACGCGATGCATCTAGACGTGCAGCTGTAGGTTGGCCGAAAAGGGGGGATCACTAGACGAAAACAGGGCTGCGCCAGCGTCGACGGCAGCCAGTCGCAGCACACATCCTGCCTGCGAAAGTGCACCTAGACAGCTGCGTACGAGCTCCGACAGCCATACGAAAAAGACCATAAGCAACATGCGCTGACGAGCCTTGGTTCGGACTTCCGCCCCAGCAAAGCCACCGCAAGTTTACCGATGTTGGCTTCCGGGCGAATGAGACCACGGCGATGTTGGTCTCCGAGGTGCCATGGTCAGATTTGAGCAAAACAGCACCAGGTCATTCACCTGTCTGAACCGCCTGCTTGCTAGCAGGCGGGTGCAAGCAAGACGTGAGACGGGGTAACACGAACGTTTGGCATCGCGCATTCAGTTAGATGGGTGATGAATGGGGAGGCTTGAGACGAATTAAAGCATGAGATGCGCTACACCGTGCCTAAAGGTGAAGAGTTAGAAGTGAAATAGATGTACTATTACATGGTAGTGCTGCTGGCGACGGTAACGGGGCACACTTGTGATGAGATGGGATTCTCCCACCGACTGGAGTACATAGTAGGTACGGATACACTGGAGTCCAACTCGTTCGAGGACCCGACTGGTTGAATCCTGCTTGCTGGTAATTAAGCAGACCTTATGTACATACCTTGGTTAGTTACTGCGTACTATGTGTCCGCAACGTGGAAAGCTTCGTTGGCGATGCGATTTGAGAAGCAGGGTTCATTTCTTAGCGAGCCAGTAAGGGACAGTAACCTTAAAGTAGCCCAGGTACGTGACGGCGGATCTTTTATCGCGGGCATTGTCGGGTGTCAGCAACCGGGCTGCCTTAGGTTGAGTCGCCGTTCGGCGGATCTGCTTCCACTTTCTCAAGCGGACTGCAGTGAGCAGTCCCGGTCCACGTCCCGTCACCACACTACCTGCTTTTCTGGACCATCTGCACTCACGTGCTGTGACCGGGTACAGTGCTAGGTACCACATCTGTCTCCGGGCCCCACCAGCTTCTGAGTTTCGGTCCATCTCTTGGAGAGTCGTAGGATTTGCCTGAGATGCGGTCTTGGCCGACTGCGCAGTGAGCAGCGCGCAGGGGCCTACCTGGGCTCTGTCACAGTGCCCGTGCCGAAGGAAGCGACACTATGCCAGTACGGGCCCTAGCGCCATGGTCTGCCCCAGCACCCAAAACCGAGATCTGCGGTCGTCCCTGCTCCCATTCGCGTTTCTGTTTGGACATTATCGTCTTTTGGCCAGACACACAACACACGCAGCACTTGAAGCAGCCCCCACTGCTTGCCAAACGTCTGAAACCTTCCGTTGTGACAGCGTCATTCCGAGCAAGTCTTCTTCATCCCTCCCTGCAGCCCTCTCTCCTCCACCGAGTCGGGTGTCATGAGCTACCTCGGAGCCTTCCTTTGTCAGCACTGGTCGGGCTGTGACTGTTTCTCAGCGCAACGAAACAAGAGTCGCCCAAGATCGGAGATTAATAGGCTCAGCAATCATAGCATGTCTTGTGTGTAGATCGACTCACGCCGACACGGGGATCTCCCGTCTAATTTATGCTCTTCTAGATGTCACAACATGTTGATCTGGATTCATCTGGATGGTGTACTTGACTTGGGCGACCATTCGTAGAGAATAGGCACCTTATACGGCATCCACGCGGGCAACCAGCTCTATGAACTACCGATACCGTCACCATCTAAGGTAGTGTGAGGTACAGATAAGCAGAACAAGAAAAAAGAGAGAGTTCGTATCTTCTTGTTTCTCGCCCGTCCTCTCCGTCCAAGTGGGCTCACTTATTTTAGCGTTTGTGGACTCCAGACGCCAATGCTGCAATATCCCCACCGTTCTCTCACACGAACGAACACCTGCACCACGACCTGCATCTGCACCTGCACCTGCACCTGCACCTGCGCCTGCACCTGCGCCTGCACTGTTGCCGGCGCCTGCACTTCCAGGGAGCATCGGCGGGGCTTTCTGGCTCCCGCTGCATCGTCTTCTGTAGCGCGTTCCGTAGGCAAGCTGTCGTTAGGTATTTTGAGATTCTTTGTCTTGATGACCATCACTTCACCGACGAGGCACGGGCATCGCCTTCCAGGATCAGTCGGTCTGCCGCTGTTCTTGGTCTTCTATTGGTCTTGGTCTTGCACCCGACGCGAGCCAGGAAACATTGACTACCTGCCTTCTGGACGCAGTGTTCTATCCATACCTACCTACCTAGCTGGGGACAGGTATCGCTCGGCAATAGGTACTTGCTTCGCCCGCTGCTGACGGCGCATCGCTCGTGTATCTTTTCCCCGTTCTCTCCGTGTGGCTAGACTTCTTTCTACTCAGGCTTCCTAGTCATCCCCCCCAGTCCTCGGCCTCGTCCAGGGCTCCTTGCACAAATGCACCCAGAGACGGCACGGCTCCCCTTCTTCCCAAGTGCATCCATCCATGGATCACCCCCCCTTCCCATCCCTCACGCAGCGCGCTCCTTGGTTCTCTCGCCGTCTCTCTCACACCCCTGGTCGTTTCTAGCAGAAAAGTCTCCAGCGGACTCGCTCCTCGTCGCTGTTCTTACTTCTGAATACGGCCCCTGGGTATCCTGCCTCCGCGGCCCGGTACACAGAAAAAAAGGGCCCCTCCCCTGAGCCCACCAATCATGCGCCTGGACGCTTCGTGTCGGACCCCAAACCCAAACTGTTCCTGAATCGTCCAACCTTGTCTAGTAGTGCCCTCCCGCACCCGCACTTCCTCCCTCTCTCTCTCTCCCCCTCCCATCGCCCTGTCCTTTGCCTTCGCCTCTCTCTCCGACTGTGTCCTGTCCTGTCCTGCGCTACTGCCCGGTCTGTCTGACTATCCTTCCTTCCTCCTCCCAAGACCATACTACTCTCCTTTTCGTACTGCACATCCACCCACGACCTTTTTCTTCAATCTTAGTAGCCCACACCCCGACGCTTCAATCCTCGAATTGTCCACCTCTTCTCAGCGACGACTGGTTCGGAGCGGTATTATCGAGGAATCACGGGTTGAGGTTGGGTTTGGACTTGGGCCTCTGGGGTCAGCGGCCGACGCCCATGTTGTGAAATTGGTGCAACCACGTCTTAACCGCCGCAGCTCGTCGTCGATTTGAATCCTGACCATCGCACAACATCACAATGGATCCTTTTCATGACAAAGCGGGCAACGAGAGGAGGGCTTCCCTGAGGATGTCTGCGAGGCAATCAACCACCGTCGACGGCGACGACGATGAATACGACCTGGCTGCCGCCATGGGATTATCTGACGGTTTTCGCCCAGCCGATCTTTCTGCGTCCCATCCACCCATTCCCTCGATCACAAACCCTTCGACTGGCTCGGCGGTTGTGTCACGAGACTCTGCCGCTACCCATCGAGCCCTACCTTCTGCCCGACCCTCGAGTATCGCGAAACCTCCACGCTCTCACGACCCCCTCGCCCTTCGTCATGATGGTTCCACCGGCCAAATGAACGGCACCGCACTTTCACGCGTATCCAGCGCTTCCACCGATTCGCCCATAATGCGCTCCGAGAGTCCCTACGACGGCCCCTCTGGCCCCTCGCACCCGTATCAGATGTACCCCCAGCGAACAAACAGTGTGGCGACGTCATCCACCGCCCGTATGTCAGAACGGTCGTACGCTGGCCCCCGTGGCCCGACCCATCCGTACACTCTCTACACACAGAACACGGTGCCGGTGGATTCCGGTGAAGGTGACAATATTCCCGTGGGGTTCGGACGCTCTGATAACTATCAGCGACGTATGGGACCCGAAGGGGAGGAAATTGCCGACTTGATCGGTCCCTTGGGGCATACCGAAGAGCTCCCTCCATACACCAGGTATCCAGAGCAGGCATACGCGAGAAAACAGCCCGGCGATCTGCCCCAGGCTCAATCGCAAGATCATCAGCAGCACCAAGATCAACCTCACCAGCAGCTCTCGCCACAACCATCGGGCCAGCAACCACAACCGCAACCGCAACCACAATCACAACCACAAAACACGGTAACGGTCATGGCTGCCTCTGTCCCCCCTGCAGTGATTCCCGGCGCTGGTGGTCTCGGACTCGCAACAAGAAACCCCGAGTTTGAGTCTCGTGAAGACCTTCGTTTGCCGTCGCGCATGTCATCAAGGACTTTGACTTCAGACACTGCAAGCCAACACGAAATCAACACTGCTGCAGAGGCTTATGCCGAGAAGGCCACCGATCGCAAGTGGCAGAAGAGGGCCAAGAAAAGAATGTTTGGCGTCATCCCGTACTGGGCGATCTGCTTGTTGGCAGTTGGGTTGGTGCTGATGTAAGTGGGACTCGACCTTCATGTGAACCTATCGACTAACTTTGTTTCGCAGGGGCATTATTCTAGGTGCAGTCATTGGCACTTTCTTTGCCAAACACAAGAAACCGCCAGGCCGTCATCAAGATGACGAGCCTGTCCCCCTCGTCATCCCAACTGCCACGGTTGACATAAAACCATTGGCAACTCTTCCACCTGACCTGCCTTCAATGGAGATCGGTACATTTGGCTTGCCCCCGTTGATCGCTAGTCAGGCACCGAGCACATGCTTCAACGATACGACACAATCGCAGGCCTGGACCTGTAACATCCCTTTCACTAGTTACGTCATGGGCGTTTCTCGAATTGCCAACGAACTACCCATATCTGATTACACCTTAAAACTTACTACGTTCAATGACAGCGACCACACCGACGAAAAACTCAATATGTTCGCTTGGGGCACTCAACCGCCTCTCATTATCGACCCGCTGAAGATGCGGCTGGTCAACGACACTTCTGAACCTGGTAGGGGTGCCGCCTGGTTTGCTCAAATGACATACAACAAAACCGTCGTCGTACCTGAGGACAGATTTCCCGGGGTCAGCACAGCTAGGCCAAGTGCGAAAAGGCGGTGGAATGGCCCTCCTCCTGGGTCCGGAGACTTTAGCAGGAAGGGTGTTAGGGGAGCACAGGCCGGTGATCGACCCTGGATCTGCACTTGGCCTGGTACTCTCCTCGAAGTTTTCGTCTATCCATCACAAAATAACAGCTATCAACGGAAGCCAACGTCGACGACAAAGCCCTTAGCAGCTGCCACAATTCCACCCAGCTCAACACCTTTCTTGGTGCGCCACGGATTGGCGACGAGCACCTTCTCCACCGCGGTTCCCACCGACAAGCCACGACGAGCTCCGCCTCCGCCATACCCGCAGGTCATCAAGTTCGAAGAGCGTCGCGTATCCCTCGACGAGACCAAGAATGCCTTTTGCCGACAGGTTGAGGTTTGTGACGACGGAGAGAATACGGTTCCCGTTTTGAACGAGGAAGGCCAGCCCGTAGAGGTGATGATCATGGAGAACAGGCAGACAGTCGCTATCGCCGACTCGAAACGTTGGATCCACGAAGACAGCCTTTTGATATCACGGGATCGGCCGACGAGGACAAGCCAGCTGAGTGATTGCGGCTGCATTTGGTGGTTCACATAACACCCAGCGTCTGTCACGATGTGCCATGACAAAACATTATTATTGCACGGCTTAATGTACTACACCATCTTTTATTGGCCCATAGGCCTTGTTGTTACATGTGCGTTTTTTAAGGCGTTTGATATCTACCTGGACGAGCATCGTGGGCTTCGTTCATCCGGCGCAGTCGGCTGGCGATTGTGTATATATATGTGTATTTGGCGGAATACTTAGGAATGGGCCCGCAAGGCCCCAACAGCCCTTCCGAGGCAAAAGAAGATATCGGAGCAAATTTTCAGTCTCAGGCTGGCTTAGCACTGTTGAAAGACTTGATGCCGCAGGTTTGGTTTGTCTTGCACGGTCAACCATATTGTTAGTACTAGTTCAAATTATTTATGAAAAGAACACAGAAGCTGGGCAAATGAGATTTCCGTCATTTGGCAATTTAAACAAGCAAATCCTCCTGAGCAGCCCACCTGAGCACGCTTCTACACTATAATCTACTAGCCTTTGAGATCGGTTGCTAAATCGTCCAGGAAGCTATCAGCGAGTTTCTGGGCTCTCCTCGCCTCGACGTCTTTACGCCGTTGCTCTATTTCCTTCCGTCTTGCCTCCTTTTTTTCCTCACGATCTTTCCTCGCTGTCTCTGTCCTCTGTCGCTCTGCTTCAAGACTCTCAAATTCCTTAGACCTCGTCTCCTCATCCTTGCTGAACTTGTAGAACCCCGTACCCTTGGTTCGGATTTCGCTATCGGCATCGTAGTGCCTCAAGTCGGGGGGTGTGGCGCTCCTGTCACGTTTGCGTGCCAACTCCTCCATCTTCTCGGGGTCTTCCGGGTTGAATGCCATGGTTTGAATAGCGTCACCATGTAGAAGTTTCGCGGGTGCCGCAGGCCGAGCAGACATGCGCTCGAGCTCCTCAGCGCCGAGAAGGCCGCGGCGGCGTTGTCGCTCCAGACGTTCTATCTCGACTTTGGTGCCCCGCCGCAAACGCCCAAATTCGTCCTCATACTCGACAGTTCCCTGGTTGGCGTTCTCTCTACCACCATCGTCGCGGTTGTCGTCGTCGTCATCGGAGTCGGAACTCAGAGCGTCTTCATCGTCGTCCTTTCTCCCTCTTGCCTCGGCTTCTGCCCATTTTCGGTCAAAGTCGATCAGGGGCGCAGCTTCGTTTTCCTTTGGCACATAATCACCGCGTTTCATGGCGGTGTACAGGCGCGCCTTCTCTTCCATCTTGCGCCGGGTGCGGGCCAGCTCTGAGGATTCTTCGTCGGTACCCAGAGGATCCCTCAGCTTTAGCTTCGCGGAATCCGCCTTGGAGGACGAGCCCGCCTTTCTGGGGCTGTCGTTCTGCCGCCTCGATTTTGCCCCAGTGAAGATGTTGTCTTTGGTCCGCGACGTGCGAGGTCTTGCCACCGTAGGAGCGTTGGCGAATGGGCCAGATATGATAGAGGACAGCTGGGCAGTGAAATCCATGGAACTGCTCAAAGCCATATTATTCTTGCGCTTTTTAGGCGGTGGTTGCCCATAGAGGTTTGGGTCTTGGGGCATGATGCTTTGCCGCCGGCAGGAAGCCAGATCTGAGGCAGTTGCAAATCGGCAAGTCGGGAGCTATTGGGTGCGATTCTCTGTTCCCGTCGAGGACAAACGATGAAGTGCGGCGGTAAGTTGCTGGGGTGTCGGGGCGGGGGTTGTCGTGTAGAGTCCACAGGCGCTTCTACTCTGGGCACCTTCAGCGTGGAGTGGCGCTTGGAGTGGCCCACACGCAACCTTAGAAGGCACCGAAGGTACCTAGGTACCTTGAGGTTCTTGCTGGGCTTACATACCACCTACCACTGCTACCTACCTTACCTTACCTAAGGTACCAATCTAAGGTAAAGACAGCGGTGTAAGTTAGTTGCTAGACACCCGGGTAAGTTTCCACCTATGGTCAATACCATACACGACGGGAGGGGGGGGGACAAGCCAAAGCGAAGTCAATGAATTCACGTCAATAGAGAATGGATATAATCGTTGCTTCGTGCATATATCCAGTCGTATTCGACATGGTAATTATGCGCTTGTAAACGCAAACTCCTGTAAAAGCTGTCAATTGAGCCCTAATGCATTCCGAAAACCGAACGGCCTCCTCCATTTACTTGTGTGTTGGTCAGCCCGCGACTGGAGGACGACGACAACGATGATGACGACGCCTGCCCGCCAAGCCTCTCGGTACTATGCAGACTTCATGCGCTGATTCACATCTGTCAGGCCATCGGCCGTCTCTGGGGCATGTCGAGCAGCTGTGGGAGGTCTGAGTTGACCATTTCTTGACTCCTGCCAGGGGCGACTCCAGCAGATTCGGTAGACCCAGACAACGAAGTCAAATCCAATCAACAGGACGATGGGAACCACAAAAAACAGGCCCAGCACAATCTATCGTCTCGTCTCGTCAGTTTGGAGTTTGCCTGGTTGGTTTGACACGACGGGGATGTTCAATGTGAGACTTACGAAAGCGCCTGATATGTACCTGACCAGAGAAGGGTAATCCGGGGCCAGAAGCGAGTAAGTCATCATTGTGTCGCACCACGAGGCTTGCTGCGAGCGAGATCCCATCCCCATCGGGTGGAAATCAAGCAGCCAACGTCTTTTTGCAACAGGGGCGAAAGAAAGTGGTGGGGTTTCGGTGATATGACTTAGGTTGGTAGGTGCAAGTGGTAATAATAATAGGTTCCTAGATGCGTGTGCGGCGGGTGACGAACGAAGGCAAGCAGACGAGGGAAGTGAGTATGTAGGAACGCATGTACGGCGGATAACAAACTTCAGGGCGAACGACAATTATTTGAGCAGCTGATGAGTTGACCATCGGGCCTGGCAAGTTCAATGTTTCTCCAGAGAATGAGGTGAGAGCCGCGTGAGGTGGAAGGAAGTTGATGGTGGAATATGAGATGTCACGTCAGACCCAAGGGAGCGGAGAACGCGCTTGCGTGAGCATGGGTTAGCCGGTGCCTCCGTGATGAAGTATAGCCCAGGTGGCTACCTAGGCACCTTAATGACCGACCAGCAGCAACTGCGACACTGGAGGTATGGATAAGTGCGTTCCTCTTTCCCCAGCTTGGTAAGTGCCTTCAGCGCGCATCCGTTGTAGGTACACCATCTTCAGGGGGTGGGTGTGTGACCGCCTTCCGTTTGCGATACCCCACTACCTACGAACCCCCCCTCCATGGACATCGTACTGTACCACGAATTGCATCGCAATTTTCTGCCTGACGCCTTTTCCCTCTTCTTTTTCTTCGCTCTCTCTATACTTATTTCCTTCCTGTGACACCCGGTTCAAAAGACCCAAACCCCACGTCCTTCGCGAATCTTATAAGCCCAATTCGAAGAGACTTGCGACATCGAAACATTCTCCCACAAGCACCTCACAAATTCCCAACCGCGGAGCGAAAACGACAAAATGGGCAAAGTGACGCACAAACCAAAGAGCCAGAAACGCGAAGACTATCGCAATGCGCGCAGCCAAGAAGGCGTGCTCGAGTTGCCCAAAAAAAAGTTCTACCGGCAAAGAGCTCATGCGAACCCCTTCTCAGATCATCAATTAGTCTAGTTGAGTCGCACAACGGTCCGCTGCCCATGGACAATGATACTAATTGCATGTTGCATGTCAGCCCAGTTGGTCCGAATGAGATGGACTGGACTCAATACTATCCCGCATTCACCGTCCAAGAAGACCACCCCTTGGTATCCAAACCCGTGGCAGCGACATCCCTCGACACAGATACTCAGGCCATTTCAACAAACCAAACGAGTCGTATGCGGAAGGATGTCGAGGTTGTTGACATTGGCTGTGGGTTTGGAGGGTTGCTTGTGGCCCTGGCACCCCTCTTGCCAGACACACTGGTTCTTGGTATGTGGATAACGCACGCCTTTAGTTGTTGGTTGACTGACTTGGGCAGGCCTCGAGATTCGGACCTCGGTCACAGAGTACGTACAGGAGCGGATCAGAGCGCTTCGCGCGCAGAACGAGGACACTGGACTCTACCAGAATATCAGCTGCCTCAGGGCCAACAGCATGAAGTTCCTACCCAATTTCTTCCAAAAGGCACAGCTTTCCAAGATCTTCATTTGCTTTCCGGACCCTCACTTCAAAGCCCGGAAACACAAGGCCAGGATCGTTTCGACCACGCTCAACTCAGAGTATGCTTTTGCGCTGCGGCCTGGCGGCATAGTGTACACCATTACAGACGTCGAGCCCCTGCACCAGTGGATGGTAGAGCACTTCGGCGCCCATCCATCTTTCGAGCGTATACCCGAGGAAGAGCAGGAAGCGGACGAGTGCGTCAAGGTCATGAGGTCAGAAACGGAGGAGGGAAAGAAAGTGGCGCGGAATCAAGGCCAGAAGCATGTTGCCCTCTTCCGCAGAAAGGAAGACCCGGCCTGGTAATTGGTAATGGCGTTAAAAACGAGGATGGGCGACGGATTCTGGGCAGGGCGCAACAGGCACAGCCCTGAATGCCAAACATTTTCATTGATACCCAAGAGGAGCGTCATACTAGGTTCCATCTCTGGTTGATACGGATGGTTCATCCGCATTGTACGAGTGATTTCTTTATAAAATACTCTCGCGGATTACATATTCATGTCAAGGTACCGGTCGCAAAGCTTCGTTGGGCACGGACCCATTCGGCCACATGCATATTCCATTACAGTGCTACCTAGCGCTCTATTCGTAAGGCGGACAGGCATCTTGCAGCGATGTGCTGGTCAGGGGACAAGATATGCACGCAGTTGAGGTAACCTGAAAGGTACTTCAACCTTACCTAGGCATTGCACCGCACCTCGACATCGTCTCCACGTGTCGATTTGGACGTCCGCGTACCCCCTAATCGATAACAGGCTCGTTCGTCAACAAACACAGCTCCGGAAGCACCGCAAATATCAACATCGAACGATGTAGCGACGACACGCTGCCTTTCGATACCAATCTGGACTATGGCCCTGCAAGGAAGAGACCTGATCCTTGCCGCCATCACATGCTTCATTGCCTGGGGCTACGCCGTCAGTTGGGCGCCGACGTTGCGATGGATCGGATATGCCCTCTTGGGAGGAGCTCTTCTGACCGTCGCTTCGATTCTAGCAGTCATTTTCCTCACGTCCCGAGGTTCTAGACGAAGCTTCCGTCATCGATCACCTCGTCCGCAGGGGCCCGCCTTCATTGCGCCGAAAGCCTGGTCTCGCGAAGTTGCCGACCTCTATACACGCCATTCCTACTCGAAAGTTTCCCTCGACCCCGATTCGCCCCGAATATCCGAAGCTCTTGACCATCTTCTCGGTCTTATCGTTCGGGACTTTGTCACCTCGTGGTACTCCAACATCAGCAAAAACCCCATTTTTGCAAACCAAGTGGACAAAGCTATCCGCGATGCTCTTATCAACATCAGAGAGAGGCTGTTGGAGCTTGATCTGGTGGACATTGTCACCACTCGTGTTGTCCCAATGCTAACGGCTCACTTCCGCGACTTCTACGATGCCGAACGCTCGGTTCGGGGGAGGAAGCTCAACCGATCCGTGACGGAATCAGAGGAGTTGGACTTGGCAATTGCTTCCAAATACAAGGATGGAAAATTACACCCTGCCGCATCGTTGTCGTTTCCCGATACCAAGCTCGTTCAGCAAGATTATCTTCGAGAAATGGTTTCTGGCATCTTGCCCAAGGTCCTCCCCCCTAATATGCTCGCCAGTCGCGCCGTCTCCACCATAATTCGAGAAATTGTCGCATGCGCTGTGCTGTTTCCCGTGCTTCAGATGTTGGCCGAACCCGATACATGGAATCAAGTTATGGAAAATTATGGTCGATCTATGTTGCAGGACCGGTCAACCGTCCGTAAGCTCAGGGCTGCGCTGGATCAGCATGCTTCGCCAACCCCGAGGGCGGGCAAAGCCGCAATTATACCACGACTTTCGCCCACCGACAGTGAACGAAAGTTTGAAAAGTTCATCCGCGCCATAAGAAAAGTAAACAATCTTTCGGAGGCGAGGCGCCTGAGAAGCGAGGTGGCTAGTCAACTAAAACGAGATTCGTTAGAAGACAACCAGGACCAGGTGTATCTCCGCCGGCTGGAAATGGGTAAGAGGCTGTTGGACCAGCGCGTTCAAGTGCTCGCGGCGGGAGGAGACAGACGCAACGCAGCCGCCTTACCTCCTCGCCCCGCAGGCAATACCAAGGCGGTGTCAAAACTTGAGCATGCCTCTTTGGTGGAGCTGCTCCGAGATGCATCAGGGTTGTCTTACTTCATGGAGTTTATGGATCGTCATCGCATGATGCCTCTCGTTCAGTTCTGGCTGGTGGTTGATGGCTTCCGCAACCCGTTGGAGGATGAAGGTCAGGACGACGAGCAGCTCCCATTGAATCTGTCCATGTGGACCGATTCTGATCGCCTAGACCTGGCGCAAATCGACCATGCGTACTTGGCTAAGGCTGAATTGAAGGTGTCGCAGTCCACTCGGGACGAAGTTCGGGCTTTTCTGAACGCCGGCAAGTCGGCTACTGCAGAGCAGTACTACAAAGCCCGGCGAGCCATCTTGAGAGCGCAAACAGCGGTCTTGGAGAGGATGCAAGCACAATTTTTTCAATCTTTCAAGAAGTCTGACCTCTTTTACAAGTGCTTGGCAGCCGAAGAAGCATCTGCAGCTATCACTGCTGTCCCTCCAGTTGAGCCGTCCTCGTCGGTGGCCCATCCGCCTATACACCGAAGTTCCCAATCATACCAGTCCAAGCCGAATGCGGTTGCAAGACTTGCACCGAGATTAACACGTCCGACGACGAAGCGAGCCGGATCTGCGTCGGATCTGAGGATCTCCAACGTTAACGGCGGCGGTCTCGACCCGGCAACGGCACAGCGACGCTCTCTAGACGACGACTCACCAACCCCGTTGTTTGACGATGAAGACTTTGAGCATGACAACATGATGGACTCGGTGCAGAGTCTGGACCAGGAAGCCAGCAATCCTATTCCCGATACCACTGTGGTTCAAGCTATGGAAGAAGCTCTAAATAACATCATGGAAGATAACCGACCTCAAACAGCCGAAGAATTCCGGGCGTCATTATTTGGGGCTGAAGATGCAGGCTCAAGCCTCTTCTCTGGCGATAATGATTCCCATCGAGGATCACTCGACGTGTCGAGGCCGGCACAGTCGTCCAAGGAAGCCGAGAGACCGAGTTTGTCATCTTTGGGCCTCGTAAGCGCCGCATCTCGAATAGGAGTTTTCGTTGACGATGATCTCTTCGGAGATGAGGACAAGTATCTTTCTGACGAGCAGGATGACGATGGCGGAGGTAAACAGATGGATGTGGAGGACGAAGTTCACGAAGCCGCGCCCGGAGACCTGGGCCTGGCGGAAGCTATCACAGCGCTGTCTAACGACATTGATCGCCTTGTAGCGCAAGATGCCATCGTCGAATCTCTTACGAAGAAGGCCGAACTCACGAACAACACAGCCGAATTACGTATTCTAAGGAAGTCCAAAGCAAGTCTGCAGCGCGAAATTCGGCGTAAAGAGTTGCAGAGACAGCAGTACGTAGTACAGGAAAGCGACAACAGCCTCTACGGCCGCTCCACGATCAAGATCAAAGCCATTCAGGTGGGGCGTGAAGACGACGGCAGGGAGTTCGCTCTCTATGTAATCGAGGTACAGCGGGATGCTGGAGAGAAGATGCCGGCAGCGACATGGATCATCACTCGGCGATATAGCGAGTTCCATGAACTACACCAAAAGCTCCGGTCGAGGTATCCATCCGTTCGCAACCTCGATTTTCCCAGACGACGAATGGTCATGAAGTTTCAGAGCGAGTTTCTGCGCAAAAGACGGGCTGCGTTGGAGCAGTATCTTCGCGAACTCTTGATGCTACCGGAAGTTTGCCGGAGCCGTGATCTACGAGCGTTCTTGTCTCAAAGCGTGATTGCTCAGGGTCAAGATCTAGTGGACCGCGAGGACAAGAAAGACATGATAACGCGATTATACGACTCAGTTACGGACGGTGTGGAGGATATCCTTGGCAATATTCCAGTCCTGGATCAACTTTCGCTAGCCGGCCAGAACCTGATTGCAGCAGCGACCAACCAGTTGAACGCAATGCCCCTACCAGTCAATGAAGATGGCGTCAATGCGGCCGAGGCCGAGGCCGAGTTGAATGCTTTCGAGAACAAGGAGCTGGAATCTTTTATCAAGCCTATTTGCGACATTTTCCTGGAGGTATTCGAGCTCAATCGAGGCAACAACTGGTTGCGCGGTCGGGCAGTCGTTGTGGTCCTCCAGCAACTACTCGGGGGTACCATAGAACGCAAAGTACGTGACAACGTCAAAATGCTGGTTCAAGAGGACGCGATTCTTAAGTATATTGCCCTGCTCCAAGACAGCATGTGGCCCGGTGGACAAATGAATAAGAATAAGCTGCCAAGGACAGCAGCAGAAAAGAAGCAGACACGCACAGAAGCCAGTCTGATGCTAGCAACACTTGTACCAGACCTGGCAGGCAGTGTGGTCGGTAGAGTCAATGCCCAAGCAGCCAGCCGACGTGTTTTTGCAACCTTTAATAATTCAAGACTCAAGTAAGTAGCTGTTCTGACAGCTTTTGGTTGCAATGGGCTAACTACATGTCAGCGCTCACTTAGCTTTTACTTTCATGGACGAGTTTGTGGAGATTTTGTTTGGCTGATGTGGGCGTGTGAGCCATTTTCTTTACCTTCTCGGGGACCGGAACAGGGAGGTACTCTTTTCCTCGTCTTAATTGGGGGCAATGGGCATATAGAATGGCGTCTTTGGCGCCCTAAACTTATGAGCTGGCGGGTATTGGGGGCGGTGCATCTTGCTGCATAGAAGCGGGTGTTAAGGATCAACTTGGTACAGGGCGACTCGCTGATGGCAGGCGGGCGAGATGGACCAAGGGGCATTGCAATGTGCGATGCTGGGTGGCGATCGGCCGAGTATCAAGATAAGGGAGAAGACCAGTAAGAAGAACGCTTTGTGACTGGGCGAGTAATGATAGTAACAAAACAACATCCCAAACCCGTGAGAAAACCCGATGTGTACATAACGACGCCAGTCAACCACGGATTGACTGAACGGCGGTCAGAATAAAGTCAATTAGGTATGCTTCTCCACGAGGCTGCAACGAGGGCAGAACAAGGGATGATCGATCCCCTGTGAAAGATCGCGGTCTACTAGGTGACAAGGGAAAAGCTTGCGAGTTTCGCAATTGGCTCAACGACGGCCCCAAGATCCCAAAAGATGCTTGAAACAGTCGGGTGGGCATCGCAAACATTCTTGGTCAGGCTTTTGTCACTCAGGAGAAGCTGAAAATGGACCTTTTTTGACTCTTTGAGAGTAGTACTGACTAAAATACCCAGCAACCTGCTACCCACATCAATGCGACACGACAACCCGAGATCCGAGAGAGCGTCGTATCATCTTCTTTCGAAAGTCCGATCGTGGAGGTGACGATTCCTTTGCAAAGCGATTTAGCACCTTGAACCTCCGGTTTGTAAGGTGCTTCAAAGGTCAGATTAACAGCATCAAGAAGGTTGATGATGATCAGACTCGGGGACCGGTGAAACCACAGGGGGTACTTCGAATGCATATCCGGCGGGCTCTGGGTAAGAAGCAGAAAGGCCAACGCCATTGCTGCTTAGACATGGTCAATACAAGTACCCTGCAGTTTGCAAGGCTTATCAAATTAGCAAGATCTCACAGCCCGCAACCGTCTCCTCATTACATCGATAGCAATCGTTGACAGACGTTATTAGGTCTCTTCCCTGAATTTGTATCCGGTGTCTGAGCGGGCTTCTTGATCGATCCTGACCTCAAGATGACAGTTACTTGACAAGTCGACAGGTATCGCTGGTCAGCTTATTTTGACGAGTTACCTGTTATACCATTTACAACAGTAATTATTTTGTTTGGCTGGATGCTTGGGCGAAATTGACTGTCGACTGTTAGGATCCCCCCCTACCCCCCCCAAAAAAAAAAAAAAAAAAAAAAAAAAACCACCTTCCCGTCCCCCCTGCCCTTGAGAACTTAAGGCAGGTGCTCACTTGGTGAGGTGGAACGATGAACCAGTGGACGAACGACCTGGGGAGTCTAGGTAGCTCTTGTATGGAAGGTAAGGTAGGGAAGGTCCCTCATAGGCCAGGACATGCTTGACAGTGCCAGGGTATATCAGCTTGTCATTGGCTGTCTACGAGAAGGCCCCGCTGTGAAGCCCCAGAGCCGGGCAGCCTGCATGCTGTAGCTCCTGCTCCTCCTCCTTTCTCCTCGGTTGTGCAGACCACTGCAGCACTCCAGGAGCTCCTCCCCTCTTCAGCCCGAGCATGGCATGCATGCTTGACGCTCTTCGGTCGCTCCACTATCCCAATTTGTTTTTTCTTTTCTTTTTTTTCTTTCCCTTCTCTCTTCCTTCCCTTGTTGTCTACTCTCTCCTGCTCCTCCTCCTCCTCTTCGCATCCATAGCAAGGACCTCAGGACCTCAGGTCGCAAGGTCAGGCAGCTAAGGTACCTACCTATCTAGGTACCTATGAATTAGCTACAAATCCACACTTGATTGGATCTTCTTCCCCTAGTGCTTCGAGCCCTTACCGGGAACTCGATTACAGCACGAGATACCGTAGGTGAGCCAGCTGCGGCACTGCGGGCACCAGGAACCGTCAAGTACATTACATTAGCTTACCTGCTTCTCCTCCAACAGCTCCTACCCCATCCCTCACCTCACCTCATCTCCTCTTGACACCTACAACCGGCACCTTTCCCCCAAGGCGCACACACTACTGGGTACTCTGCTCACAGAGGTGCCCGACAACATTCCCTCTTCCGACCAATCGCTGCTCGACCGACCGGTGTAACGTCGATACTAGAACCCTTCATAACTTCTCCCCTCCCAGCCCAGCCCATCGTCTCGCTCCTGCATTTCCCTTCCGTCTTCCCCGTTTAGTCGGCGTTCGGAAACTGGCACGAATACGTCCGCGCTATTCCTTCCTGTCCTTCAATCACCTTTTTGCCTATAGGAGGTCGACCTGGAACATCACAAGTCGTTAATTCTCCACGTCATTGCCGCTTCTTGGACTCGGCCGTATCGTTGACACGCCTGTGGCAACTGCTACTGCGAATCTCGCTTGGCTGCTCTTCTACACGCGACAGACTCGACAAGGCATTCCCATCAAAATGACCGAAGTATCGTCTACCAGGTTGTACCTGGGGAATCTCCCGCGAACTGGTTAGTTCAACTTGGCCCAAATGCGTCTCGATGCATCGCGCTGTGGTAGCAAATCGCTAACCTATGCGCCTCTGGCCCCGCCAGCTACCAAAGCCGACGTCGAAGCACACTTCGCCACCCATGGCACCGGCGAAATAACTGAAATCAAGCTCATGAACGGCTTCGGCTTCATTGAATACAAAGATGCCATGGATGCCCGTGATGTAGTCCCAGGTAAGTGTCTCAACGCTGACGCAGTCTGGTCCCGTCACTTTCTTCATCGCTAATTCCTTGTCTGCCCAGCTTTCCGTATGTTCTCGCGCGTCGATACACTGCAATCTGCTTCTTCCGGTCCGGTCCGCTAACCATAGCATCGCATCAAAAGATGGATCCGACTTTATGGGCGAACGCTTGACAGTGCAATTTGCCCGTGGAACCCGGCATCGGGAGGGCGGTAATGGCGGCGGCTTTAACAACGAGCGCGCTCCCCCAAGGCCTCGTCGTACTCCCCATCGGATGCAGATCACGGGACTTCCCACCGATACCAGTTGGCAGGTCTGTTGAAATCTCTCCCCATTCTCTCAAGCCGGACACCTGGACTTTCCCCCTCTCCCCTTTGCTGGCGCGAGGCGCGTTGGTCGACCCTTTCACCGCGAGATGGACTTCCCGGCACGTTCTGCGGTTTTTGGCACACAGATACCTCCCCTCCTGCCGTCCTCATACCAGCGCGGACCATGCGGCTCGGATGGAACTCGCATTGCCGTGTCAGGACTGGTTCTATGTCGGCTTGGCCCTATCAGAACAAGGAAGGAAACCCTTGGGATGGCCGCCTCGACGATGGCTTTGTTCCCACCGCTGACTGGACGCTGTCTGGTCGTTGAACTCCGGACTTCCAACCCTCTTCGGCCCATGCCACAGCTCCTGGACACCAACTTACATGGACTCTGGATATAGGATCTCAAAGATTTTGCCCGTCAATCGAGTCTCGATGTCGTCTATTCTGAGACCGGCCGCGACGGCAATGGTCGAGGGTGAGTCAATTGCCACCTTTCCCGCGGTCTTGGCAAATACTAACTGAACTATACAGATTCGTTGAATTTGAGACCGCAGCCGACCTGAGAACTGCGGTCGAGAAGCTTGACGGCCGAGAATTCAAAGGAAATCGTGTCACCTGTGTTGCCGACGTGGGTTACCAATCTGTAAATGAAAATGCGCTGTCTGACTGAGCTGACGCACTTCATCAGACCCAACCCGATATGCCTCCTCGCGACATCCGCAGCGCGCGCTCACGTTCTCCTGGCGGACGTCGCCCTTACCCGCCTCCGATGGACGACTACGATAGGCGTGGCCCTCCACGAGGTTACAGCCCGCGCAGAGATGGATATCGTGACGGCTATCGTGAGCGCAGCCCTCGTCGAGAGTACTATGATGATCGCGCTCGATACCGATCCCCTCCTCGCCGCCCTATGGATGATTACCCTCCACCGCGAGGCCGCTATGACGACCCCTACCGTCGAGACTATCCTCCGCCACCCGATCCCTATGCCAACGGTAGACCCTACGACCGTCCTCCGAGAGACTTCCCTCCTCGAGATGGGGCGTACCCTCGTGATGGGTACCCTCGCGAGTATGACCGTGGTGGCCGTTACTGGTAACTCATCTCCTGCTCAAACACTTGCCTCAAAGGGGCTGTCCTTGACTCTGAATAGATCCTGGAGGCGCCCAAAACATGTTACAGTACAGAGACCGCATCCTCGCTTCTAGTTCGCATTGGACCATAAGGAAGGAAACGATGTGATTTGAATGGCGGTTGTTCGTGGGCCTGAAAAGCTGTTCTAAGTCTCCAAGCTTTCCAATCATGTAGGATGCGGGGATTGGGGGTAACAGAAAATGAAGTGTTGCGTCGCGGAAATCGAGATGGGAGTACCCAGAAGGAAATGTATATTGTACGATTACACGCATGGATATCCGACCAAAAAGAATGAATCCTTGCCTGCACCCCGTCACACCCTTCCACTTCGCTTATGCGATGATGAGTTGGGCCTAAACATCGAAGAGGATCACGGCGTTCGCATCGACAATGTGCATTTAATTGACAGCCAAATTCCCTGCCTACAAGTACCTGCCGTAGCAATTGAACCTTTCACCTTTGCTGGCTTAAACCGGAACGCCCCAACATACCCTCCATTATTGGATGTTCAGATGATACACTTTCGAAGCCTTCTTGCCGTCCCATCAAAACACGCTCCAAGCACAGAAACATGCATGCGCGTCTTCACCGTAGGGTAAGATTACGCCGTCTTCTTCCACTGGGTGTATACACCAATCAAACTGCTTACGGTGCCAGCGAGACCAACAATGCCATCGTCAAAATTGGCCCACGCCAAGGCGGAGGTGGGGACGGTCAAGTCGCAGAGGTCGGAAAGGAGCTGGAGGCGGCTACCAGCGCGTTCACTATAGTTTGATTAGCTTGAGCCGGCTTGCCAACGCGAAGAGGGCGCGAATTTTCACGTCCCAGAGACGGTTCTGAGGGGGGTTCATCTTGGGGATACTCACATGGCTATTCTCTTTGCCTCAACAACACCTTCACCTTCCTTCTTATCGACCTTGGCCTCCCGCTGCTGAAGACGGTAAAGGGTGTAGGATTGAGCAATGACACTGCAGATCAGACCAATGGCCCAGCAGCGATAGGCCTCCTTTTGAAGCTTCTTGGCACCCTCCCATTTCCTAATCCCAGCCGCGTCCAAAACGGTGGCGGCATCGAAGGTCAGATAGCCAGCATAGCCAAGCTGGCGACCGACAGCGGCGTAGCGGAGGACAGGGTCCATAGTTTTGGCATCGGAAGCAACGGCGGCAGCTTTGAAGTGCTCGACGTTTTTGCCTACGCGCATGATTTTGCGGGTGAGGCCAAATTGCTTCTTGATGGCATCCCAAGGAGCGATCTCAGTTTTGGAGCCATTGGTGCGAAACAAGTACCAGGCGTAGAAACGGGCGAAGTACTGGAGAGTGCGGAGGAGCTTGTCGCGACCGACAGTCGTGGCGACGAACTTTAGGTAGTGTGCGACGGAAGGATGGTAGATGACGGCGTCGGCAACCATTTTGGAGGCGGAAGGCAGAGTATCAAATCAGAAATTCGGGACAGGCGGTGACTTCGGAGGATGCGGCCAAATGCGGAGTGGATTTGATGGAGTTCGGTGGGCTTCGAATGGAGGCAACTGTTTAAGTCACGAAAATTGTTGTTGGCGATGGGAAACGTCGAGGTTCTGGCCGAAGCACGGGGGATGGGCACGGATAGTAAACTGGGCAGATCGACTGGCTGCTAGTGCAGCTGCCACATGCCGAGGTCCGCCAGCGAAACCGAGACATCAGCGAAGACTCCCAGCACAACGCGGCCGAGACGGGGGGTTTTTGCCGCGGGCTACTGTATGAAGCACGTAAGGGCACCATGTCCATGACCTTGAGCACGCTCAAGCGGGGGGGCACGTGAGCGCAAAATAGGGGCTTATCTAAGCTCGTTGGCTCGGCACCTGCGGCCCTGCGGGCGCTGCGCGGTGGACCAGTGAGTGTGGTCTTGGTCAGTTGTGGGGTTAAAGCTGGGGGAGTTGGGATAAACCCAAAGAGGCCGGCAGATGAGGAATCGCTTGCGCCTCAGGCGTCAACAAGTCAAAGGTTTGTTGGTCCTAACTCTTGTGTGTGTCGTGACTACTGCTCAGGGACCTCAAGCTCCACCTCCACTACGGAAGTAGGAATTACAATTACAATTACATACATAGCACAGAGCAATTACTGGCCTTTGTCAGCGTTCCGCACAGGTCCGGATGGGACCTTCTGGTCATAGTGCCGCATGCCTCCATAGTCCGGTCCACCGGACTTCGTACAGAGCGGGAGAATCAAGGACCGCGATGGGTTCCATCACTCTCGATGGAAAGAATAGAAACAGAGCGGAATTGTCAGATGCCAAAAGTATTGACCTAAACCAAGCTACAGGCACTTCACCACGTCCTCGTCGTAGCCATGGACAGCCCTGCCACCCTTAGCGTTTCTTTTCCCGCCACCCAAAAGTACTCCCTACCTACTATGGGACGGAAAAGAACCAACCAACCTACCGACAGATTACTCACTTACGTAGTCCACGAGAAATAGTAGTGAGAAACAAGGGTGCTTCTCGCTGCATACCGCGCCGAGGGTTTCCGAGAAATCCTCTGAGGCGCCTCGCGTCCCGTACCATTAGCGCCTTCATCCCCATGTCTCGGGTTCCCCTCGGCCGGTGGTGCTTGCGGTAGGCCCCACTTCGTCGTGGTGACTCGGGATCGTACGCGATAATAGGACGTAGCACCGTAGCCCTGCGATAGCCGTATGCCGAATTGAGGGGCACTGAGCTCTGAAGACGAGAGCTTCCGGCAACGCTGTCTGATGTTTTGTTCCAGACCCGGACTTACAAACACGGTCCATTTCCTCCAATTGCCACCTCATTTCTCCTTTCGCATTTCCTTCATTTCGTCACCTTCATCTACAACGTCTCCCCTCCTGTACCACACTCTCTTGCCGCATCGCACTCGCCATACTTTAACGTACGTATCGTCCTTCGGCTTAAGCCCGACCCCTCCATACCGTGCGCTCGTTGTTCTTTGTAACGTCCGTCGTGGACCACCACCTTCACAAGCCTCAATTACCACTAGAAAGCACTTCTCTCCTTTCTATCTTTTCTTCATGTCAACTCCCGGATGCTCACAATCTTGACCAAAGAACTGACGCGTCCAGTCACAGCCACCTAACCCATCATGTCGGCCTACACAACGAACGGCGGCGGCCAAGAAACCGAAAAGATCAACACCAACATTGTTACGCTGACTCGCTTCCTCACCGAAGAGCAAGCCAAACATAAGGAAGCCACCGGAGATTTCACGTAGGCCTTCAACTCCCACTTGCTCCGCTACGTTTGTCTTCTAACCATGCGCATAGACTTCTATGCCATGCCCTGCAGTTTTCCTTCAAGTCGATTGCCTACTACATCCGTCGAGCTACCCTAGTTAACCTGACTGGTCTGGCCGGTTCTTCCAACACCACTGGTGACGATCAAAAGAAGCTTGATGTCATCTCAAACGATCTCTTCATTGAGGCGATGAGATCGTCCGGCAAATGCGCTCTACTGGTCTCAGAGGAGGAGGAGGACGTTATCTTCTTCAACGACAGTACGGGCGCCCGTTATGCCGTCGCATGCGATCCCATTGACGGCTCCTCCAACCTGGATGCCGGTGTGTCCGTTGGCACCATTTTTGGTATCCACAAATTACAAGAGGGTTCAACTGGCACCAAGGAAGACATTCTGAAGCCTGGCACTGAGCTCCTGGCTGCCGGCTTCACCATGTACGGCGCGTCGGCTCAACTCGTCATTACTATGAGGGGCGGCACCGTGAATGGTTTCACGCTCGACAACGGTGTCGGCGAATTCATTCTTACCCATCCCGACATGAGACTGCCCAAGTCCCGCGCCATTTACTCGGTGAATGAGGGTAACTCGCTATACTGGGAGGATGGCACAAACAACTACTTCAATTCATTGAAGACACCCCAAGAAAACGGTAAACCGTACAGCGCTCGGTACATCGGCTCTATGGTGGCTGATGCCTACCGTACTCTGCTCTACGGAGGCGTATTTGCTTACCCGGCCGACAAGAAGAGCCCTAAAGGCAAACTTCGTATTCTTTACGAATGCGCACCAATGGCATTGGTATTTGAGAATGGTAAGTCTGAGCATCTCTATACCCTGCCCAGTTTCACTTCTAAACATTCTCGCAGCCGGTGGTCAAGCGGTCGACAGCAAGATGAGGAGAATGCTCGAGGTCGTGCCCGAACACATTCATGACCGAGCCGGTATCTTCATGGGCAGCTTTGATGAGGTTGAGAAGGTGAAGAAGTTCCACCAGTAACTGATTGGAACTCGCATTTGTCTCATCCCAACCAACGACACCGATTTTCATGACATTTAATGGATGCGAAATGACATTTTCTTCTTCTTTTTGACTGATGATTGATTCCCGTTGGAGGCGCTTTGGGCACCAGATTGGTTGTGTGGGTGGACGCGCGGTGGGCACAGAGGAAAAGGGGGCTGACTGGGGCGATCGTAAACTACCTCATCTAGGCAGGTTAGTCCATTCGGACCAGAGTATGTGGTCGTATTGGAAACTCCATATTGAGAAGAAATAATCTTCAGTTTGTGGTACCAATTTCTCAACATCACAGTATCCCGGGCTAGAATACCTTGGGAATCAGCTTCGGAGTGTTCTTCTTCCATTCCTGGTAGTCCTTGCGGTCTCCATAACGCTTGTCGTATTTCTTCTCGCTCAGGGGGATGCCCGAAACCTTTGTCAGGAGCAGGGCGACGAATGCTGGACTTGCAAACGACATTGCAGTTGCTAGTAGAGGCCCAGCAATGCCGCCGTAAAGACCTAGACTGGCTTGGACAGGCTTTGATACGATAATCCCGGCGGCGGCAGTTGCAATGCCAGTCCAGAGAGAAATTTCTCCAAAATAATTCGGATATTGGCTGATGTTGTGTTAGTCATGCCGTAGTTCGCTTTCCAACTGGTGCCACTCCTTTATGGGAGCAGAGATGGCAATGCTAATTGCGCAGTTCAAAACGTACCTGACAGTCCAAAGGCCGCGGGTCATGAACTGCTCGTCATGAAGCTTTTCCCTCTTTTCTCGCATCCACTTGCTCTTCTGCCAATCAGCTGTGATTTCGAACGCGAACCCGGCAACGTAGACGAGAATGCCGACGATGTCAGATATCTTGACGGGTGGCAACGCAGCGAACGAAGCTGCGGGAACGGAGTTGAGAGCTATCACAGGGAGTAGGCACAAGGAGACCCAGGTGGCTTGAGCAAAGAAAGCACCCGCAAATTTTGCGGGAGATTTCTTGATTTCATCGAAGCGAGAGTCGTGGCCGTCTTGCAGGATACGTTGGAATAGGTATGATCCCACTATAGATGCCGCGGTCAGATTAAAAAAAAAAAAAAAAACCTCACATCAAGCCACGGAAGATGTGTGTAAACTTACGTCGTACAGCCCAAAACACGACGGCACCACTCAGAGCAACCTGTCGCCAGTTCAGAGCTCCGAGTCTACCAGGGTTGGTGAACGGAGCGAAAAGACTCGGCAACGGAGTAGACACGTTGGCTGCCGTAGACGAGAATGTGGTGCGCAACGAGGGCAGATACAGGCTGAGAGCAGTTACGGACAGAAACGTCAGGGAGCCGGAAAAGTCATAAAAGCGTTCATTCTGTGCGACAATGGAGGGGATCGCGAAAGCAAATTGGATCGCGTATGCGGCGGAGACTGAGGGAACCAAAGTCCGTAGCAAGGGATTTTTGAAGTTGGTGAGATGGAGAAGCGATTGTAGTAGAGTCATGGCGACTACCGTTCTTCAGTGGAAATAATCCTGAGAGAGCCAGGAAGTCGTGGGGAAAACGATGGGTCACTCAATTGTCGACAGCAGCGAAGTTGGGGGCATTCTTGTATCAGCCGTACATATTTGTAGAGATGCGTTCGGCCGGGGGATGGGATGCTACCTTATTGAATGACGACATGACCTTGACAGGGCCGGGACGAGAACGGCCCAAGCTCCGATGCTGGAATGCACAGGCTTCCGGTTGCCGATGCAGGACTTTCGGTGCAGATGCTCACCGAGTGATAAGATAGAGTACCCCGAGAAGCCCCATGTTGGGTGCCCCGCTGGTGCCCCGCGGTCGGAGGTGCAGAGAAATTAATCATCCTGCCCTCCTCCTAAACCCCTCTGTTGCACTCAACACTGAAACCACAGGCAAACGGCCCAGCTCACATCGCGTCTCAATAACTGATTAGTCCTTGAAATACAGCAATGTCTTCTCCCAAGCAGATATTCATTGCCATTATCGGTACGAGCATCCCTTCACACCACCTCGGAAAAGAACATCATCTAAACGTTTCTTGGCATGCGATATAGGCGCTGGCGGGGTTGGAAAGTGCTTCCTCTCCCAACTCGAGGCGCTAGCTGCGAGACGACCCTCCCCAAAGCTCAGCCTATGCTATATTTCAACCAGCAAAAAGGCTCTGTACGACCACAGCTACTCTGCCATCCCCATTACTGGCGTCACCGAGAAACTCTCCGCCGCTTCGCAGGCTCCGCCCCCTCTTTCCCAGCTCGCTGAGTATCTTGCTGCCGCTCCCGCCAAGGTCGTCCTTGTCGACAACACCAGTTCCCAAGATGTCGCCGATGCCTACCCGGTCTTCCTTGGTCGTGGTATCAGCGTTGTCACCCCCAACAAGAAGGCGTTCTCGGGCTCCTACAAGCTGTGGCAAGATATTTTCTCCGCAGCGTCGACATCTGGCGCCAAAGTCTACCACGAGTCATCTGTCGGTGCGGGCCTGCCCGTCATCTCGACTCTGAAAGATCTGGTGGAGACTGGTGACCGTGTTACGAAGATTGAGGGCGTCTTCAGCGGCACCATGTCCTTCCTGTTCAACTCTTTTGCTCCTGTATCAGGCTCCGGGGGCAAGTGGTCCGCCGAGGTGGCCAAGGCGAAGCAGCTAGGCTACACGGAGCCGGATCCGAGAGACGATCTTAATGGACTCGATGTCGCCCGGAAGCTCACCATTCTTGCAAGACTGGCTGGACTGCCAGTGGAATCCCCGACTTCATTCCCCGTTGAGAGTCTGATCCCCAAGGAACTCGAGTCATGCTCGAGCGGTGACGAGTTCTTGCAGAAGCTTCCAGCATTTGACAGTCAGATGGAGGAGACCAAGGCAGCCGCAGAGAGCCAAGGCAAGGTTGTGCGCTTCGTAGGCAGCATTGACGTTGCTTCCAAGCAGGTCAAGGTTGGTCTGGAGCAGTTCGACGCATCTCATCCCATAGCCGCGCTTAAGGGCAGCGACAACATCATCAGCTTTTACACGGAGAGGTATGGTAGCAACCCACTAATTATCCAGGGTGCCGGCGCTGGTGGTGATGTGACGGCTATGGGTGTGACAGGCGATTTGATCAAGGTTATAGGTCAGATTGTATGAAGCGCTCATCAAGGTAGCTTTAGAACAGAAAGATGGACAGCCATAGCGCTGTAACAAAATGTCATCAAGTACATAAACGAATGCACCACGAGTTGTGATTGTATTCTCCATGAAGCATGGCTGGCGCCGGATATGGAGTCCATGATCACGGGAGGTCATTTACCCTATCCACAAATCCAGCTAAGCCACGACGACTGGGCCCCGGGAGGACGCGCAGCAGCACGCACGGCGGCATGGTCCTTTTCGAATGATAGCTCTGATCCTGGTGACGTGGGTCTGTCGCTAATGGCGGCGAGATGTGCAACAGTCAGGGTGAAATCTCCCTCCTGCTCTCCAAAAAAGCTGACACTTTATCAGCAAAAAGGCGATAAAATGATGGGTATTGCATTACCTTCGCATCATGAAACTGATTCTCTTAATACTGGATAAGTCCAGCGGCTTGGCATCAAGCTTGGGTTTGCCCCTGTATGTGGGTTTGAAGTCGCTCCAGAGGATTTTCACGTCGCCAGTATCACAGACGAAGTCGTACTCCCAGCTGATTGTGCTCTGGTCGCGGCCATCGTCCCGGGGAGGCAGGATCTCGTCCTTGACAGTAAGAGTGTACTTTTTGGAGTCGCTCTCAAGGATTCTGATGACGAAACCATCATACTGCCTCAAATCCAGATGGAGTGTACCAAGAGTCCTCTGAGACGCGAATCCAGCTGCTCCGAGGGTGGTGATGTCTAGGTGACCAAAAAATCGAGCTTTCTCCGGCGATTCGCAGTGCATGTGAGACTGGCTCTTTCCGCCGCGGACTCGGTCGTCAGAATCAGTCCAGAGACTGGAATCCCAGGGACTAACAATATTGGTCAATCAGATGTCTCATGTGTTCCGCTATTTCAAGGGATGAGTGAATCATGAGAAGGGGTAAGGAAGCGGTGCGGGTTTCTCAACGCAATGGTCCCCGCACCGAATCTGGGCCAGAAAACCAACCTGTCGCCTCCATAGAGGTATAGCAACTTCCAGTCCGGTGCCATTGCGGTCGTTCTGGACTGCGTAGAGCCGGCGGTTGTTCAGCTGGTAAATGGAAATAATATGCGGATTCTATTCGGCGGGCTGCAAGAACGGCGAATGGCAAGAAAGTATTTGGGCGGTTTGGAGTGTCCGCGGTTCGGCGGGGGTGATTGGGAAGTAGGGATACTTCCTGGGCCGCATCCAATCACCTATGCCTCGACATAAATCCAAACAGTTTTTTGAGGGATTGAAGATGTTTCGCTGGAAGCTTGCAAGCTTGCTTGCAGATGGCGGGAAAACGTAAGCCAAGTGGAGCCCGGGCTAATTTCATCACCAACTAAGAAAGGTAAATGCAGGTACTCTGTCGAAGCTGCTATGTGGCACAGTGCCATGATTACCTAAGGTAATGTGCAGACCACAACTTATTGAAACACCAAGTGATCGACCAGGCTATATTCCCCAGCCGGGCGCGCAAACGGTGAGATAATGAGTGCAAAAAAACCTCGTCGTGACTTCGTGGCTGAGTTTCGAAGCATTTTGGTTCCGACCGAAATGGTGTTGCAGCTTCCCCACATCGAAAGTCGTCACTCTTTGCGTACCTCCACCTCCAGTATGCAAAGGGCTAATGTGGAAGGAAAGGAATTTGGACTTTGGACAAGTGGCTCGCATTAGGCGCCGATCTACCTGTGTCATGGCAATGTCTGAGAATGTGACTCTTGAGTCGTTATGGTCCTTGTTGAGGGAGGCCGCGCAAAGGCGCAGATAATATACAACCTCCTACGTAACCATCACGAGCTAATCATGTACGGCAATACCTTGGTCCCTACTCTTGAACATCCCCGCCGGAACAGATCCACAACGGCTAATGGTCGTCTTGAACACAAAAGAGACACGACACAACGCAAAGCGAGGTGCTTGTGGACGAGCATTATCCAGTGTGCCCGATCTTGACTACGAAGAAGGATGTTGACGCAGAAAGCATAACAAGTATGTCTGGGTAGCAGGAAATGCGGTACGGAGTGGTGCGATGCAGGTTGCATTGTTCTAGTCTTTCTATTTCGGAAGAGAGCCGGAGGCTTGGTGAGGCAAAAGCGCGTATCATTGTTCAGTTGGGTAAGGAAACCAAAACATAGTTTAACCAACGATAGCGACTCGTAAACAGGTAAGGTAGCGAATCCTCTTTCACGTCCAGCCCAACGCTATGATGACTGATCGCTTGTGGCGCAAGGTGACGGACGTCAGGCGGGCCTCAGACACCGCAGCTGGGAAGATCCATCACGGCGGGTAAAGTCATAGTGCGTAGGTAAGTGCGCTGGAAGAATACCTAGGGGACCTCCGCGATGTGTTTTAGCGCGTGAAGTCGAGTTTAATGGGGGCGGGCGTGCGTCTCGGTAGGCCGGTCCAGCGTCTGTGCTAAGCATTGCCGCATCGGCTCCGGTCTTGCTCAAGGATGGAATTAGCATCGGAAACTTAAAACCTCTGTAGGATTTGCGAACAGCCGGGTGATGTTGTGAGAGACCAGATAGGATGGACGGGATGAACCAGCATCGACCATGAGGAATTGCTGGTGGCCTCGACACGAATTAAGATCCCTCAGGGTTCCATTGCCCGCATGCAGCTCTGATGCGTTTTTGATCCTTGCACTGTCTACACCGGACGATAGCAACCAAACACAGGTAGCCTCGATCCAGTCAACAAGATAAAAGCACGAGGCATCAAACACAGCTTCGCAAAGTACTTGTCATATGTAAAGGGTACTCTGGATTGAAGACTCTGCTTTAGCGCCGGTGATGTGACGGTTAAGACCGACCAGCATGGTCCTCCCGCCCTCCGAACCGAGCCAGGCAGCACGGAGCAGAAGATACTGATGCAGACCTCTTGACTTCTTGAGATGGTGACGATGAGAATGAGTTCGAGCTGTATAGCCACTGAAGCCGCCGCTGACTGGGTATTCTTAACTCCGGCAACAGCCGGAGTCTAGGTCCGTCCCTCTCAGCCTTCCAGGAAGCACGCCCCCGTTTTCTCCGTGGCCCTACTGATTACCCGTCTACTCACGGGTCAAGTAACCTACCGAGGTAGCCTCCTAAGGTCCAAAGTTCCCCCGGCCACTGCACGGTGCCCTCCCCCTGTCCCATGTTATGTCCTCCACCTCACCCTCCCTTGCCAAGTGCCCCGTGGCGTCCATTTGTAACGTGTCTGTGTCCTATGCTAACTAGCGCCCCCGGTGACTTTCCGGCGAGTTTCCTAACGTCTGTCAATGGACAGCCGACAGGGAACCCTCCTTGTGTTACGTCGAAGTCGGGCTTGTAACCCAGGCCAGCATACAACTGACAGAAGCCGCTGGGACAGGAGGAGGATTAAATCTTGTGTAACGATGGTATCCTCGCCTGATTGAGCAGCAGACGCAGATGTGGGTGCAGCCAGGGTTGACAAGCGACTTGTAGCTGCAAATATTGCTGCCTCGTATGCACGCACATAGGTTGAACGAAGGTAGACCGGGAGAAAGGGGCCGAGAGGAATGTGTGTATGCATATGTGTAGTGTGCTGGCTATTACCTGAAGCGCACATCTCCATCGCCTCGTCGTACATGGATGCCCATGACTTTACCGAACGAAAGGACCGCGCAGCCGAGTGCCCCATCACATCATGTCATTTGTTAATCAACCCTGCAAGCTACAGTTGAACCTCGAGAGTCACAGAGGGCGAGCCCGCCAGCCTTCTTGACGAGGACGCCCGACTGTGCCCGCCTGCAACCCTGAGTGCTGGACCAAAAATGCGGCACGTACCCTATACAACAACCGGGTCTGCACGGACGAGGCAGAGGCAGTATCCGAATATCAAACAACATGGTCATATCCCGGGAGACTCATCCCTCCGCGCCATATGTTTTTTCATGTGTACGGGTTTCTGGTCATTCAAAGTCATGAGCATCCATCATTTCGTCTCATGGTCAACTCAATATCTCGTACCCCAACTTGTTTGCGCCCAGGCATGGCTGAGGTGGTCACTGAACATAGAGCTAGTGTGCCGCACCCGGCGCTCTCCACCCATGAGACCAGCCGTGCCCATCCCATCCCACCCATCACCTAGCATGTACTTTCCCTCCATCAAGCCTTCGAAGCCCAAACAATATCCAACACTGGTTGTGCCGTTACCCATGCTGTTGCGCTGTTCGTCTCTATCCGAGCAGAAGAAAGCCGACGCTCCATACAGACCCCTCGCATGCTGAGGCCTTGTCATTCCAAGCAAAGCCAAGGCTGTGAACAAAAAGTGCTGGTGTCTTCGAGGGGAAAAGGTACAAATTGAGGGGAAGCAGAAAGGGGCAGAGCCGGGTACGGTCTCCTCAGTGACGCGCCAAGCCAAGCCTTCATGGCCTCGCCTGTGGTCTGTACAGGGGCCCAAGTTGCGGCAGCAAGTCTGTCATTAAGTGTGAGTGGGAAGCATGTTGTTTCAATGCCTGTGTAACCTTCAGAGACGGCGCGAAGTGGTCGCTTTGCCCGGTGCAAGCACCCAGCGCCGCCTGTTTCTTTGCGCGGCGTGCTTTGTCAGCCAATGTGGTGGCTCAGGTGCCCTGGAATGGTGTCGGCCTAGGAGTTAAGCAGCATGGACTTTGGAAATCCTTATTCCGGGCGAGACTACGGCGAGACTTTTGTCGATTAACTCCGGTGGGATCGCCCCGGACGAACATGGAAACATTACCTTCTGTGGGGAGGGGACGTCCTTGTCTTTGACGCCCTTCCATTGTAAATCTTCATCCATCTCGCTACCCACGCCAAAGCAGAGGGCCTAAGGCTGTCCGGGCACACAAACACGCGCGCTTCGAGCAGGCGTTGATCATCATGCAGTAAGGGGGGGGATATTGGTTGACTGTAACTTGGTAAATTTTGTTGGACATGCTACTCTTGTGACATTCTTTCTTGTTTGGATTGTCGTTGAAGTTTCTAAACTGTCCACAACACAACGGAGTACCTAGCCAAATTGAAACGCCGCCGCCCGTTCCCAGTCATCATCTCCGCGTAAGGTCGAGCGCTTCGACCATTGCATGCAACCCTAAATGCTCCCGAACTCCTGGCCAAAGCCACCCTGCATATGTCAAGTAAATTCCAATATAGCTCGCTCGGCGGGATTTATCGAAAGATGAGTCGCATCCCGCTGCGACTTGGTTGTTCTTTTTTTTTTTTTTTTCCTTCTTCTCCTTTTCTCGCTAACACCCTCCACCAGGGGCCATTTTATTGTTGAATCATGCCTGGAGATCCTGGCATGGACAAAGGTGTAGTAGGGTACTCGTAGCCAGCGTCAGAACAGTTGGCCGAGTGGTCGAAAGAGTGAGAGAGCGGAGGAGTCTGCTCATCAACCCATCAGCACTGTGGATCGCGGGGAGGCAGATGCCGCATATAACTCACATCAGGGTTCGAGGGGTCGTAGGAGCCAGTTGCGTTCATGTCGACGCCGGAAATATAGCCGTAGTTCACGTAGGGGGAGAGGCCATCGTCGCTGGAGTAGGATTCGCGCTTGATGGCATCGTTGAAATGGTTCATTGGGGGTAGCGTTACCGGCACCGCTGCGGCCAAGTAACTAGGGTAGACCTCTGCAGTTGTCATGGGGTAAGGCTGAGTTGTGTACGAAGGAGCCAGGAGCATCTCTTCAGGGGGAGGGTAAGTCGAATAGGCGAAAAGAGGCGGAGTGTTTGATCTTTCACGACCGTCTTCGTAAGTTTGCGCGAAGAGAAGCTCGTCATCGGTGTGCATTGGGGGGGTAAATTGGCCCTGATTCATGGTCTTGGTTGGAATCGGCGTCTTTTGCGTCTTGGTGGAGGATTGCGACTGGCGCTTAGCACTCTTTGGCTGCGTCTGCTTCTCAGTGGTGACGGTCGAGCCTTCCTGTCCTGCGCGTCTCTCGAGGTCCTCGAGGCGTCTCTTGAGCTTCTTGCCTATGAATCTTTGTTAGGAGGAAAGTCTGTTGAGGTAGGGAATGACATGTATTCCATGATGTTGACGTACGATAGTTGCGCTGAGCGATGCGGTTCTGGATCCTCCGGCGTTCAGCGAGGTCGGAGATCTTGGTCCAGTCCTCGTCCGGGTTGGCAGAGCTACTGAATGCGCTGCTTGTGCCGTGACCTGAATAGGCCCTGGGTGCCGGGGCAGCAGGCGGGTAGGTGTATTGATGTTGAGACATGGTGAACATAGACATGGCGGGCGATGCTCTCGGGTTTTGGCTAGGACGAGGTTGTTGTTACAATGAAGGGATGTGCGATGTAGAAGACAGCCAGCAAGCAACCAGTTGTATGAAGACCAGTTGTACGAAGGAGGCTGAATGGAAGTGTTTCCAATCAAGTGTCGATATGGAGGAGTGAAGATATGTGGTTGAAAGACGAGCTGCTGGGTCAAGACACGATAGACGATGGAGAGGAAGGGAAGCTATTAAATAAAACCGGCCCAAGGCTTCGCTTGACTTCCAGTCCAGCCCAAGGAGAGTGACCGACGAGCTGGAGCAATGACATGGCAGCGGCAGCAAGAGACAGGGCTGGCGGGCGTGGTAGGCATTCGTTTGTAGTGGGTAGGTAGTGTACCTTAAGGTAGGTAGATAGGCGTACCTAGGGTGGGGTGTGCGAATAGGCATCCGCACCCGCACCCGCACCCGCAACCTGGGCGTGGTCCGGTCTGTTCTGGTGCGCCTGGTACAAGTCCCTACCCATGCAAGACGGTTAACCTGGGAGCTGTCTGTGTTGAGAGCTCGAGGCAGAGGGACAGGCAGAAGGGTACCACTGCCGTGGCCGGTAGGCTGTGGGAAGGATGAAGGGGGGAGGGGTGGCCTGTGGAAGGGTGTGTAGGGCACAGCAGAATACTATGTATGTAGGTGCTGTGCGGCAGAGGCAGGGTACCTCGTACCCAAGGCGTCCGCAGGATACGCAGTAGGTAGGTATGCGAATAGATACCAAGTAGAGAAGACTGAAGGGAACAGATGAAATTTGGGAGGGGGGGGGGGGGGGGGTG